GGAACTCAGCTGGTATGGGATTTAGCACTCTCGGTGCTCTGTCTGCTGGTAGGGTTGCCATCACCAGTCTGTTTATTGGTCGGACCTCTGGGGCGTTTGTTAAGTCATGCAACCTGGGAATAGTATACACTTTATTTCTGTGTATGTGATGTATTCCCATGTTGTATGTAATAGTTTTTCCCTGATGATTTGTCTTCTGGTTTGATACAGGAAGTGTGTATGAAAAAAATAAATAAATTATGATTTAAAAAAAAAAAAGTTTGAAGGGCACAAACTTTCATGTAAATCACTGACATTAAAAAATAAATAAAAAAAGTCTGTTTTGCTTGTTGTGTGTTCCAGGGGCATTATGTTTTCCTGTTTCACAATCCGGTTGTATCATGGATGCTTAGTTCTTGCACATGTTACATTATTACGGTATGTCACTGTAGTGATAGCTGGTTGTCATTGTATTGCGGGTATGTGTGACTCGGCTGCGTGTATTTTGCTATTTCTAGTGACTCTCCGTAGGGTGTAATTGCCTGTTATGATTCTGCATTTGGTTTTAGTGTCTGGTGCGTCCCTTTCACTTATTTGGTGTTTTCGGCGTTGAGGTTCACTCTCTTGTGCCTCTAATGTGCTCGCTGCTATGCTCTTGTTACTGGGTCTCTGTCCCTTGACATGGATCGCTGGATGGTGCTGCACCTCTTGTCTTTTCCGGGTTGGGCACATTTTGTACTTCTTTTTGCCATGTTCCTATACTCTCCTGTTTCCCTACTCTATGGTTTATACCCGGGTTTCACTTATCTGGGTGACACGCTTGTCTAACCGATGTCCTGCCAAGGAGCTCATCCTTCCTGCAGAGTTTGCCTGTCTTGCCTCGTGTCCACCAATGGGGGTAGGTCACTTTCTCTTATTTTGGTCCTCAATCTGGCCCACTCTGAATTATACGTTCCCGGTTCTACACGGGTCCACGATTTTGCCCACACACGGGCATACGTTCTCAGTCACCATTCTAAATGGATCCACAGTCCGGCCCACACAGAGGCATACGTCCTCAGACTCCAGTCTGATTGGTTTCATGACCTGGCCGCGCAGAGGCATACGTTCTCGGACTCCATTCTAAATGGGTCCACGAACTGGCCCATGTTGAGGTCCCCTATTAGCAGATAAGTGCTGGTTGTTAGGGATCTAAGTGCCCACTCTGGTAGGTTTCTGGCCTCTATGCCATAGTCTAATGGTCCCGCAAGGCCAACACCCATCCTTATACTCGGAGGTACCCCTCATACTCAGAAGGGCGACGCCATCGGCCCAACGCATAGTTATTTGCCTCACATTGTTGCATAGGGAGGGCCTCACCTGTCACTCCCATTCTATCTTATGTTTTAGTAGTCACCAAGAGGCCATCACCCCACCACTTAAGTTTCGGTGGCCTCTACCTCCCCTCGGGCCAACGCATAGATAGAGCCTCTCATGCAGCTTGGCAACTAGCAGGGCCTCAGCTATCACCCTCATTAGTTGAATTCTTTGCCACTTGGCAATAGCTAGCCTGCCGGTACGTTATATGGATCATACTAATGGTGGCTTTGTATAAATTGTATGTCTCCAGTTCCCAAATCACTGGGGTACCATCTCTACCCAACACCTTTGCAGGTCTGGGCTCTATCTCACCAAGTATACACAGATAGTCCAGCATCCCTTAGAGCCGGGACTACTCCACGAATCACAGCAGGACATCATCCTCTTATACATTATCTATACCTGAACCGGTTAGGGATTCATCAGGCATCTCGTGTCGTATCCAAGTACTATTCAAGTATTGTAGAATATATATAAATATATATATTTGTATTGTACACTTCTTTTTGCCCTCTTTATTACAGGCCTACTGCATTGTCGGTTCCAGCACACCACAACCGACTGGTGCTATTGACTAAGATGTGTATTGCTAATTATGTGTGATCTAACCATTACGGCAATATTGCCCCGACCACATATATATATTATGTTTCTATTTTGCAGTACACTGCCTGGACCATTTTTGTGCCGTTTTGGTTCTTCAGACACGCTTCCAAATCAGGTTTTCGGTACCGAAATGCTGCCAAGGCAAACTGACATATTGCCTAAATTCCAGTGTCCCAAAATAAAGTCTATTTTTGAGAAGAGATGGTTCAGCCAAACCAAATTTTCTTGCCGTACACAAGTCTAGTCTCTACTGTCATAATTATACTTGTCCCTGTTTATTGATAGATGGAGATGCTCAGCAGCTAATCATATCAAGATTTTGAGGTACTTTTGAAAAAGCGCTTTATGGTATTTATATTGTGTATATATTTTGCAGTACAGTAATTGCCCACTACAGAATGTCTGAAATTCTACTAAACCGAATTTCCACATGGACGAAACAGGAATCACCCAAAACTATTTTTTTTCCTGCTGTTTACACGTCTAGTGGGCGAACCATTTAAGAAGCCACTGCAATGCGTTTATGGCAAAGAATATCAAGAATATCATCAAAACTTATCTTAACAATGGATTGAGCTCAACCTAAAGGAACAAAATGTATTTGTGATTGCTGGTGAAACTAACTTTGAGCTGACTTTGATTGATTCTCCTCGCAATATCTGAGGTCAGAAATCGACTGAACATTTCCTCTCGAAGGGAAAAAGCAGAAACATAATTATGTTCACATGAAAACAGTCAATTTAGCTTTACGCAACAGCAGCTCTTATCTCATTCCTACATATTTTAGAGACAGTCATTTTTTCTGGCAAATTTCCTTTGAAGGTATACTCTTTTCCTCACACAAGGTAGTCCCTTTTTAGTCGTGATGAGGATCAGATTAAATATTTTCTTTATGGTGCCTTAGATTATAAATTACAATCTTGGTGATTATTTTCAAATCTATTCAATGCAGATCACAATCATTGGGGCTGATGAAGAACACCTGCATTTTCTTTTTTTTTTTGTGCAAAACTTAAATATGGATTTTTTTTCCACTGAAAATTTTAATTTATGCTTTGATTAATTTTCTGTGCCTCACTTTATTTTTATTACCTATAATTATTGCATAAAATTGTTTACAAAAAAAAGACGCATGCCATGTATTCCTGTAGAATATTACAATGTAAAATTCAAGCAATCTGAATTTTCATGGCATTTGCATATCAGTGTACATCTCCTAGGCAGAAATCATCACCCCAAAAAAAGTGAAAATGCTCTGTGTGCTAAATTTTTGCTAAAAGTAAAATTTCACGCAGGAGTATAGTGTGAGTGAAAACCTCTAAAAAAAACTTTTTATTAAAACTGCATTTGGAAGACTATGATTGGACATCAACAGAAAGTTTGGGTTATAAAGGGAGGGAGCAGATTAGTATTATTGTTATTTTTTATATAATTAGGCAATATATAGTGATGTCCCGAACTGTTCGCCGAACGGTTTGCCGCGGACTCATCATTAAGTAAACTTTGACCCTGTACCTCACAGTCAGCAGACACATTCCAGCCAATCAGCAGCAGACCCTCCCTCCCAGACCCTCCCACCTCCTGGACAGCATCCATTGTGAAGCTGCATTTTTAGTGAGCTGTCCAGGAGGTGGGAGGGTCTGCTGCTGATTGGCTGGAATGTGTCTGCTGACTGTGAGGTACAGGGTCAAAGTTTACTCAATGATGAGTCCGCGGCGAACCATTCGGCGAACAGTTCGGGACATCACTAGCAATAAAGTGTCCCATTAAGACATGGATATTGTTCTGCTCCAGAAAACAAATCTAAATGGCACATATTGTATGTGAGTAATTACTTGCAAGTCTAAATACCAAGTAAAATCCATTATACTGATTCATAGAAATTTATACTTGACTTTGATCTTACATTGATTACATAAGAATTACAAAATGCACATTACTTAAAAGTCTAAACTTGTAAAAAGAACATGAAATCCACATCAGCTCTAGTGCAGTGGCATCAGGTAGGAACTTGGTTCATGCACCATATTTGCAAAATAAAGTTCCAACATTTCTTACTGTAAAGGTTAGAGCGTTGCTTACAGTGCAAGAGCATGCATACAGAGAGGCAAAAACATAATAGTTTGCCCTTTGGTTATGGCTCACATGTGTTATTACAGATAGAACCTTTGCTTGCTACATACCAGACTGATCCCTTCTGTCAGTCCAGATCCAAAACACCATCAAGACTTCATCTGCAAGAAAGATACAGCAACCCAGACAATTCGAAATTTTTTAGACCTCATCAGTGAGGTGTAGCTGAGACCATCTAAGCACCAGGAAATCAAAGGATATGCCATCAAATCATGGTAAAGCTTTATATTTATATAGGCCTAATACGATGAATTACAATTTAACAGTTTATACAGGAATGGACCTTTGTTCTCAAGGAGGTGCCCTGTAGTGTAGTGGGTCACAGAGAACTGTAACTGTGGGTATAAAAATACCTTTTCTCTTGCTGTCACTAATTTGCCTGAAAGTGACCACTTAACCAGTGATAATTATATGAGGTGTTATTTATGCCTCCAACCCACCCACCCACCACAAATGGATGGAGGATTGGGGAATAGCTAAATTCCCCACTTTATTTTTTAGGGTCCCCAACTACCACATGCGTGGGGCTGGAGTGGAAAAGGGTCCACCCCCATTAATATTTATTCCCCCCACTACCCACCCCCCCCCGTCAATGGATGTTTAATAGCCCCCACTCACAGGGCATGTGCGGGCACAGTGGTACACTTAATTATTTTATTAGGTGCCCCACCATGGGGCCTTGAATTTAGTTTCCATCCTTGGGTCCTCCAAGAACACAATCTAACTATCCCGTTGTGCCTTTTGAGCAATCCAAATAGCTATTCAATCATACATTCCATCTGGGGACCAAAGTCTCCTGTGGTCTTTAATTTCTAAAAGCTTAACCTTGCCAAAAATAATTATGACATAGAGGAGACAGACATCCTGACCATCAGCATAGGAATGACAGTTTGCTGAGGGAGCAGCTCACTCCATCACAGTCTATATCGACCACCTACACCTTGGATACTTCCATTCTGCCTGGAGGTGCTACTCCATCATGCTTGCTGGGGCTTGCTCTTCATGCATCTTATAATGTATAGACAATGTTCCAGGAACTAGAAGGCAGATGCTCTTTTCTGACTTTATAACTCCACTGACATCTGCCCTTCGTCGAACACCATCCCCCAGCCTGGACATTTAGTTAACCGCACAAATATTACTGTTAAGAACAACAGTTCTCAACATTCTGAAATGTTAGAAATATGCAGGAAACAAGCCGATTTTGAATTGCAGGAAAAAATAAATGGCTAAATAGAGCCTGTGATAGCCTGTGATAGCCTGAGATACCAGCAAAGGCTAGTATAAAAATGCAAGAACTCGAAGCATGATAAACTGAATCACAGAAATGGGGTAGCCAAACTTTGGCATTCAGATTTTGTGGACTACTCCTGCACTACACCATTGGTTTCGGACAATCCTCAGACACACCAGTAGCTCAGAGTTTGATACCCTAAATAGAACAAAGTAATAAAATCAGTAAATCCTGGACTAAATCACTGAAGCAGACAGTATTTGGTTAAATTATATATAATATTAATTACTTGCGCATGCCAACATGGCAATGTATATATTTGGCAATTTTATTATTTGTCACAATGTATATAAATACATTAGTCAAACTCAGTAATGGAAATTAAACAATGTCAGCTTAGCGTTCCAGAAGTGGATATAAATATGCTAATAAAGTTTCACTTTGCATTAGTTGCAAGCACTTAACTAAAATATGTATACATTGTTTTAAAGGCCATGTTTTATCCTGTGTCAGTGTGAAATGAAGGTTGGATTATTCTGAGCTTTTCTGGTTACACAGATAATTATTTAAGTGTGGTCACACAGAGTACAGTGAGCTATAATTTATCCCACACCTTTTGTTCTAACCACAAGTGGTAAAGAGGAATGTTAAACACCGCAGTCAATTTACTGCAACCTAAAATAGCATTAAACAATAATAACCACAATGGATGTGTCTGAAAAGGTTAACGTGTTTAATGTATAAATTAGCTTTAATTCTACAGGTGAACAGGCTGAATAATGGTAATATACATTTGTTATTGATATTAAGTTTATTTTAATTTCTTGACACCCCCTTAAATGAATAAATTATTACTTTGTTTCTGTATAGATTTTTAACTCTCACATGCAGATCCATCACTGCCTTCCATTTTGTGACGTGTTCATATTTTGCTGGTTAACCTAGTAATGGTAGATCACAAAGTGTATACAGTATAAACACCCATTTTATACATATTGTGATTATATATATATATATATATATATATATATATATATATACACACATATACATATATATACATACACACACACACACACACACTACAATGCACTATTCACAATAGACTAAGGCGGTCAGGATAGGGAACCCAACACGCCAAATAAAGTCACAAGTACAGGAAGAACAGTAGGTAGGGAAGAGTAAGCATTACCGGACCTTAATCAATAAATGTAATCAATAAAGAGTAGTCAAGACCAGTCAAGATAAATAACCAGGAATAAGAGTATTAAGAAAAACGCGCTCTTGGATAATCAAACTAGAATGCACTACAGGGCAAGCGTAAAATCAAAAGGTAAGGCTTATATAGGCTAAAGAACACTGTAATTCATTCATTGGCACCAATGACGTTAACGCATACCAGATGCGACACAGACACCGCTTGAGTCCTAAAAGGGGGCAGGACCACAGTGTTCCATGTTCTATGCCCAAGGAGATTCCAGACAGCATGCAGGGGTCTGGAGCCCCAGGAGGTGGCGACCAGCAGAAAGACAGTTTGTAGGAACCCTGACAAAGGCAAGTTGTACAAGCTATCTTGTGTCTATAATATGAGGTGCTGTCATGAACCTTCACTAGAGGATGTTTTTAAAAACTGGCCAATGCCGGTGTTTTAGACGGTAGGCCATCCTTGGCGTATAGAAAATTGAATGTGAAAAATGTGTTACTGTTTAAGCTAAATTGTCTGGTACCATCTCTCATAGTTTATTCAAGGGCTGCTTAATTCTGAACAATATAAATGCTGCGTATTTGTCACCAAGGCAGAAGACAGCTTTATTAATCATGATTGGAAAAGGCTTTAAAGTGGGTAAATTGGATCAATGAGCATTTGTTTTCACTTTGGTGTACAGTATTGTGGGGTTTGCAATCCAGGGACACACAATAAGCTTTATAATTTTAAAATAAAATGTAATAATGCATTCTAACCAAAAGTTTGATAAAATACTTCTAATTCTTATTCAATGTGCTAAACAAACTCCCATACAGTTTATTAAATCTTTCTGTCTTCTTATCATTGTAATGGCATTATTATGAAACTTTAGCCCCCCCTGGTGGTTTTTGGGTAGTAAATACCAGTAACGTCACAGTTCATGATGTTAAATTCTGCAATCAAATAAGAAAGAAAGTGACTTAAAAAAATAAAATAAAAAAAAAGTCTTCATGCAGGTGACTCGCATATAAAAAATAAAGCATTCTCTTTAGGTTCATCCGCTTGCTCTCCAGAACACTTTCATGACAGACATCAGAAAGTGAAGTTGCAATATCTTCATTTCTGTTTTAGCTGTCTCATGACACACAGTGCCAAGTATATTAAAATGGCATTGCATGTGTGCTTCTACACAATTTATTCATTATATACAGTAGATCTTACATTCATTGAAAATTCATTTGCAAAATGGACCTCTTTGGCAGATTATTTAATTTATTTTAAATTCACTTTCAGTTTAAGTATACAAGAATATATAAGAACTACTATTGGTGAGCATGATATTTTGCAATGAGAAGAGTTTAACCCCTTTAAGGATCAAGCTTCTGGAATAAAAGGGAATCATGACATGTCACACATGTCATGTGTCCTTAAGGGGCTAAAGGACTACTATAACCAAAATAAAACTTCTGTGCTATTTAATCCCTGATGCATGAAATCAAAGAATTAGATTTTCTTTTTTTTAAAGCAAGTGTATTGAAATTTAAGTAAACCAAACCCCTACATCACATTATTCTCTTTTTTCCCCGCCATCTGTATACACCATCAGTTGGCTGGAACATTCATTCAACCATTCATTCTCTATGTTGAGTCCTGCTTCATTCTGACTGGTGATGTCATCATTAATCATTCTGTGCTGTCTGAGTTTCCTATGTGCGTCTCCAGTGTGTTTATCTCCCACATACCCTTGAAATTGGTAATTTTTATGCTTAGAATGTGTTTAAAAGCCGACGCACAAAATTGCTACTTTCATTGTATGTGATCTATTGGTGCAAATCACAAACTTCATTCAATGCAGTAATAACCATCTACTAAAACATTTCAAAAATTTGCCCTTCATAGACAGAGGAGAACACAATGTTGTTGCCCACATATTGATATCTGGCTCAGGAAGAAAAGAAATATAAATAAAGTGGTGGTGTGGAAGTATATGATACAAATGGCATAAAGGAAAGGAAAACTGAAGAAAAAAAAAAACGCACAAAAAACCAAAATACATGACAGACAATTTAAATAGGAAGATTACTGAGAATGCAACAGTGTATTATATCACATCCATAAACTACTAGAGAGAGCAATGCAAATGCTGGAATTTACTTCCATTAACTAGTGTTTCAGTAAATTAAATGCCGTCTACAGCAATAATGTGTAATATGTCACTTCACTGTACAAGGTTTGAACTATACAACTTTAGTTTTCCATGCCTGTTCGTCCAGTAAGAAAAAAGTAACCAATTTGCATTTTCAGAAAAGAAAAAGAAAATGCATCTGGTATCACAAAACAAAGAAATAAGAATAAAATCAGGAATGTGGTTCACATTTTCTTAAAAAAACAAAAACAAATCAAGCAATGTGAATGAAAAAAAATTCTGTGTATCAATTGTCTACAATACAGCGTTGTCATTAACAGGGGCTAAATCAAGTGAGGCGAGTTTAAATTCAGAAACTTGATAATGCTGAGAATATGTAGGCTATATAAAAAGGTCTGTAAAGGAAGACTCTCACGTAAAAATACACAGCAGGTCACTGAGAAAAAAAAGAATAATTACACGCAAGGCGTCGGGTCATATCTCCGTTTTGTGCTATATCCAGAAATGAGAAAATCTGAGGTTTAATTAATTAAACAATACTCACACGAAAAAGTTATTTAGTTTCAGGTTATTTAAAGGGACACTATAGTCACTCAAACCACTTCAGCTCAATGAAGTGGTCTGGGAGCCAGGTCCCTCAGGTTTTAACCCTTCACATGTAAACATAGCCATTTCAGAGAAACCTCTAGTGGCTGTCTTCCTAACAGCCGCTAGAGGCGCATCTGCGACGCTGGATGCAAAATTCACATCCAACATGCAGAACGTCCATAAGAAAGCATTGAGAAATGCTTTCCTATGGACTGTTTGAATGCGCGCGCTGCACTTGCTGCGCATGCGCATTCTGCTCCGCTCGGGAGCTGACGTCAGCAGGGGACGAGAGGTCACCAGCGCCGAGGGAGCCCAGTGCTGGATTAAGGTAAGCTGCTGAAGGGGCTTTAACCCCTTCAGCATCACGGGAGGGGGACTCTGAGGGTGGGGGCACCCTTAGGGCACTATAGTGTCAGGAAAATCACTTTGTTTTCCTGACACTATAGCGATCCTTTAATTAAAAAGACGAATAATCACAGAAAAATGTCTCAGTTTGCTTAATTGATTGATCGTCAGCAAAGGAATAAATGAATCACTAGATTATTTTTGTCTGAGCTTTTTCCTTTGTGTAGTTGAACTTGGTCGAAGTTCTTCCATCCCGTGTGCATATGGACAGGATTCGGCAGTGCGAGGGCAGCTATTCGGGTGGTTGACATAAAACCAACAAAGACGTGTTTTTAAAACATCAGGAGAGAGCGTCCTCTTGGTTTCTTCTCTGCGCTTATTTGTTGCTGTTTGCGCTTCTTTCCGCCAGTCACGAATTGAAACTTTTGAATTAATCACTAAGGGGAAAACAAATATACATACATTGGATTTATTATGATTGAAATAGTCACCTGCAAATTATTTATTGTGTTTCCATAACTCTAAGATATGTCAGTATAATCAAAATGGTTGATTGTAAAATCACTGTTATAACCTTCTATTGGCTAAAGTAACTTTTTTGACAAATGAGACAAAGTATCCTTAGCAAAAAACCATTGTTTTTATTGAATGAACTGTTTAATCCAAACATAGCAGTGATTACATTATTTAGATTACAAATGAACACGAATAGTGAAAATTAGACTGGTTCTTAGAGTATAAATATAGAACAGGATAAGAAGTCACATTGAAAAGAAGAGACAAGGGTGCACTTTGGGTGCAGTCTCTCCAGTTTATGTCAAACTATTTTTAAAATGTTTTTTAAAAAAACCAAGGCTCTTATGGAACTGAAAGCCAGGCTACGTCGCTGTAGCTTGGCTTATTTGGAAGGGAACTTTCACAATTAGATGTCCAACTAAATGGAACTGGTAGACTTGGGCTGCTTGGATAGCTTTGCATTTTGTAGCGAAAAAACTGTTGGCGGCCAGAGACAATTTGCACCACTACTACTACTATGAGCAGTAGTGGTTATATTTAGAGGATCCATTTTACAATTTCACCTCTCTGATCAATTTCATAAATAATATATTAAACACAATAGATTTGAATTATACAGCAGTAAAATAATTAAGTAAAGGTTTTGAATATTTGGGTACGGAAAATAAACTAATGTTTTTAAGTGAAGTGTACCTCCTTTTGGGAGCAGTGTGTGTTCAAACAAGGTGCTAAAGTCAAAATATAAATGGTAGCAGCTCTAAACACATGTGTGGAAATATCCTCTTCTCCACACTCAAAAAGTTCAAAAGTTGTAAAGTGGTTTAAGTGAAAAATCTACACCTATAAGTGGGGTGCTAAATTATGGATGTGGTAAACTTACCCCCAGTGGCTTAATAACAACCGTGATAGGCAATATATGTAAGAGAGAATAAAAAATACAATATAGTGCAGATGGTACGTAAACAACATCGAGGCAAAATGGCGGTGAAATAGAAACACTCACATTTAAGGGAGCCTGTGTATAAATACTGGCTCCGAAATAGAGCTTGAATGCTTTTAAGGCAGCAGCACACCATCAATCCACGGTATGGAGTATCTCAAAGAGAAAACATAAAAAGAGAGGGACCAATGTGCAGTCTGATTGAAGTAGTATAAAAGGTGAAATAGGTCAAATGCTCACCTTGTAATCCTGGCTCTGAGATATAATTGCTTGGTGCCAATATGTGAGGGGATGGCACTGCCCCAAGGTAGATTGAAAGAATCTGATTTTTATATGTCCTTTAGTACTTACCCCTTTAGTCACATGTGTTTGATTATCCAATAGCATAATCCTGACAGATAGGTGTAATGCTTTTGATGAAGGTACAAATATAAAAGTGTATAAAGACAATAATCATACTGAATCATACATATTGAAAATTGGTGGCAAGTGTTAAACACAACCCAACACAAAAATCAGACCCAACATCAGAAATACAAGCTACATTTTACAATCTTTTAAATAGGTGTCTAAAAAAAGGAATTTCAAGTAAAAAGGAATTTGAATATTTAAACATACAGTTTCCAAAAGTCCTGGTATTTTACAATCTCCCAAAAGTCTACAAGAATTCTGAACACCGACCCGAAAGACCAATAGTCTTGGGCATCAACTCCATATTTAGCTGGTTATCAGAATACGTTGATAAATGCTTACAACCGATTGTCCAGAAAGTCCAGAGTTACCTGAAAGACACTGGCAGCATTCTAAAACACATAAATGCACTAGATTGAAAGGAAGACTATTTCTTAGTTACTGCAGACGTAAGTGCCTTATACACTATCATTTCACATGAAAAAGGTTGCTCAGCCGTCAAATTCTTTTTAGAGGAATCCCATATTGATTTTATAATGGAGGCCATTAAATTAATCTTAACCACCAATTATTTTTGGTACGATGGCACTTTCTTTTTGCAGGGATGTGGAACGGCGATGGGCACCAGATTCGCACCCATCTATGCCAACCTGTTTATGGCAGATTGGGAACGTCAACATCTACAATCAGACCATGGCTGGGTGGAGGGCCTGGTGACCTATCGCCATTACATTGACGACCTATTTTTTATTTGGAAGAGCATAGAGGACACTTTAAGTAATTTTGTAGACCAGCTCAACCACAACGAATGGAGCATAATTTTAACTACCAATTTTAGCAAGAAAAACTTTATGTTTTTAGATCTTGAAATTATTATAGACAAAAACTCACTTCAAGGACGTAGACGTCAACAGTTTTATCCATACTTCTAGCTGACACTTCTCACCATGGCTTAACAGTATACCTAATTTCCAACTCAACCGCATTAAAAGAAACTGTACGGATGACTATGTATTTAAGGAACAAGCAAATATATTAAAAAAATATATTTTGGAAAAAGAATATAAGGAGGAAATACTGGAAGTCCACTCAACAGAAAATCTACAGATACCAGGGCATACTCTGTTGCAGGAAAAAGACAGAACCGAAAAACAGAAAGGGAAAGGAGTAGCTATTATGCAATTACAGCTACAATATTTTGGCATTAAAAATAAGTTTTAATAAACATTGTCCCATTTTAAAACAAGATCCCCTACTGTCCAAGCACCTTCCCGACATACCCAAAGTAATTTTTAGAGGTGCCCCCAATTTAAATAGGCTTTTAGTTAAAAAGCATATTAAAAAAAGAACCAGACCCTACTTTTCTAGATATGGGTAAAGGTTTCTATGGTTGCGGCACATGTTTGGCGTGCAGGAGTACAAATAATAATAAAACAAAAATCACCAAATTTAAAAACTCCACTAACAATGAAGAATTCAATATAAAGGAAGTAATAACATACCATTCTACACACGTTGGATATCTATTTGAATGCCCTTGCGGCTTGAAATACGTGGGACGCACCAAGCGCAATTTGCACATACGCGTGGAGGAACATGTAAGAATTATTAAAAAAAGAATGTGGGACACATTGTATCCCAGCATTTCAAAACCAAACACAACAGTGACCCTAGAGGAACTACATTTATGGGTATTCAGAAAGTTAAGAACAATTGGCGTGGAGGAAACTTAAACAAATATCTGGGACCAAGCAAGACTTTACAGCCCCGAAGTTTTGAACATCGACTTTGAATTATGCCATTTTATTTAAGTTTACTACATAGCACTTAAAGATCAGCACTTTAACACTTGCCACCAATTTTCAATATGTATGATTCAGTCTGATTATTGTCTTTTCGCACTCTTTCTAAAAAAAAACCTTTTAAGATATATCAAATTTTAATTAATCTCCATTTTTCCATATTTGTACCTTCATCAAAAGCATTACACCTATCTGTACACAATATTATTAAGCAGCTTATAAAGTTATATATATGTATGACATTAATCCAAAGTTATGCATACTTGTATTTATTTAGGTATTACTATTCACGATATCCCATTTATATACACACTCTTTTTCTCTTTCTCCCTCATTTATTTTGCCCTTCCTGTTTCCCACTACTAATATGGCTGTTCCCACCTACTATAACCTCCGATCCAGTACCAGCACTTTATTTAGTCTACCTCAATACAAAAAGAAAGCAGCCCGATCCTACTTTTCCTACAGAGCACCGCAATTATGGAACGACCTCCCGCACACTTTCAAATCTTCCCCACGCCTTAAGTCCTGTAAGAGATCCCTCTCTATATACCTTAAACAGAATGCACCTGTCCTGGTTCATTATATGTTTCCTACCTGTTCTATGTTAAATTTTGTATCTATTATGTATTAATATTGTTTTTCTATTTTATTGTACCCTATTGTATCAATGCAATGTTTTGTGGACCCAGGACATAATTGAAATTTAGAGAAATCTCAATGTGTCAATGTGTTCCTTTGAGCTACACTGGGACAGGGGAGGCAGCGGGATTACGTCACACGTCGGGGAGGCAGGGCAATGCAACTAGACTTCCTAGAACGTGAATGACGGACAGACTCCCCTCCCTGGAAGCCATACCCCTACCAGTCAGATGGAGGGTGTGCTCAGGCGGAATCAGGACGACGCTTGGTTGCAGGCGGGTGACGCTCACTGACATCCATGACGTCAGTTCCGCCAACCACAGCGGGCGCAACATGTATTTCCGCCAACTACCACTAGCCACCAATGAAATCAAAAGGATAAAAATGGCGCCAAAGGTGGCCAATGATCCACACCATTACCCAGCTGCACTTTATTATCAACACTACATACTTTTTCAGGATTATGCTATTGGATAATCAAACACATGTGACTAAAGGGGGAAGGACTTTTATAACAGACTGCACATTGGTCCCTCTCTTTTTAGGTTTTCTTTTTGAGATACTCCATTGATTGAGGGTGTGATGCTGCCTTAAAAGCATACAAGCTCTATTACGGAGCCAGTATTTATACACAGGCTCCCTTAAATGTGAGTGTTCCTATTTCACCACCGTTTTACCTCATTGTTGTTTATGTACCATCTGCACTATATTGTATTTGTTATTCTCTCTTACATATATTGCTTACCACGGTTGTTATTAAGCCATGCGGGGTAAGTTTACCTCGTCCATAACGCAGTGCTCCACTTATAGGTGTAGATTTTTCACTTGCACCACTTTACAATTTTTTTAATTTATTTTTTTTAAATCAAGTTATAACCATTCCATAATTTCATTTAAATGTCAGCACATACATTCCAAAAATATTTAATCAGAATGTTAAACTATTTTGGAAATCCTACAGATGTGAGTTAAATCAATATAGAGATGCAGTCAATGGACATAGATGTACAAAGACAATCAGTGGACAGAGATCTACAGAGATCCAGCCAAATGGACAGAGATCTACAGAAATCCAGCCAATGGACAACGCTCAAGCCAAATGGACAGGGATGTACAGAGATCGAGCCAATGGACGGAGAACTGTAGAGATCTAACCAAGGGACATAAAACTATAGATATATAGCTAATGGACAGAGATATATAGAGATCTAACCAATGGACAGAGAACTACAGAGATGTGTATAATGGTCAGAGATCTAGCCAATAAAAGTCCATACAGATCTGCATTTCTCACAATTTACAGACAGCCTTATGAATAATACATGTTTTATTCTATTAGATTCTATTGTTACCTTCAAATACTTGATGACTGTTCCTTAACAGTGTTTGTAAACCTCCACATTCATTTTTTAACCTCTGCAAAGTTTCTTTGCCCAAATCTTCTGCTACTTCACGCAATAATAGGCATCCTACAAAAAAAAAAAAAAAAAATGATGCGAACTGAGAGGATTTGGCATCAGTCGCCTATGATACAAATAAACACAATAATCAAACAAGCACCTATTTAAAATCTGTATTACATGGTTGTTTCTCAATTGAGTTTTTATCACAAAATAGCCATGGCCACCTTTTTGTATCCTATACATACCACACATTACAATGTGTTTTCGACTTCATAATGTTTGTTTTTAATGCACAGTCTTTCTTCTTGATAGGGAACAAAAAAATTAATTTTTGCTCATAATCTCTCAGACAACATTGTGTTGAGATGAAATAGTAACAAAACTTCACACAGCTTCAAGTAAAGTGAGAAAATGTAGTGCAATTCACATATAGCTAGTTAAAAAGAAATAAATAAAATAAAACCTGCTAACACTGGAGTTATGAAAGCGTTTGTTTCAGCTCCACTTCCAGAGTGCCGTGCATGATATGCAAATAAGCACTAACAATATTATCAATGTTCAGATTTCCAGGTTAGATTTCTGTAGTATTCATGAGCTATAGCTTGCCACTTCACAATTGGTGTTTTGTACCGAATTGTTAAAATCTAAATGGACATGTACATAACTGTGTACAAACTATTTTAGCATTCGGGGGCTTATCAATAGCTACCGAATTCTACACTGAATATACATGCTGGTGTACAACACGGTCACACCACAAGACAATTAAACATAATAATGATAATTATAAAAAAGATTACCCCATGCAGGAACTGTGTGTGACTATATATATATATATATCTTACGGTGTCAATATTGCGGAAAGCTAGCATACTAAAACTGCTATATATAAGAGCCAATAATTATTTTTTTTATATTTGCTTTGTGATAATGTGTTTCGAATATGCACATTTCAGTATTTTAAGTCTGATTCAGAAGTCAATGTTCTACGAAGACATAGATCTCATTTAAAGGGACACTATAGTAAACAGAGCAACTACAGCTTAATGTAGTTGTTTTGGTGTGTTTAGTCTGTCCCTGCAAGCTTTTTAATGTAAACATTAATGACTGCTACTACAGGCCCTTCCTAGTCCAGTGCAGCACTGTGTTCAGCACTTGTGTTCGGCATCGCCACGCTCTGCATGGAGATGCTGAATGTTCCTCACAAAGTTGCATTGATTCAATGAATGTCTGTGAGGAGATGCTAACTGGCGCAACGCGGCATTGTGCAGCACATGCACACTAGCCTTCCAATGCTTTCCCAAGTGTTATTCCCGGTGCTTACGTCACACATCAAAATACAAAATACAAAAAACGGCTGCACTCCAAGGACTTAGAAAAAGGATAATTTAGTTAATACTTAGCTTTTACTAGTACATCTTAAAAGAGTAGAGTCAATGTTTCAGTTCCCACAGTAAAACTTTAATCAGGACATGTACTAATTTACTGATGAAAGTTCCACTGTGGGAACTGAAACGTTGACTCTACTCTTTTAAGATGTAATATTAAAAGCTAATTATTAACTAAATTATATATTTTCCCAAGTCCTTGGAGTGCAACAGTTTTTTGTATTATATACACACACACACACACACACACTATATATATAAATTTACATCTAGTAAAAAATCTCTATAATAGCTTAAAATTCTGAGCCTATGAACTAGGTGCTTTTTGATTTTTTTTTTTCTCTGTAAACTCAATTTACTGTTCTTTTCTGAAACAGCTGAGTACATAATCACGAATGTGCACGAACTAAAAATAATAATGTACATACAGCATTATACATTAGTGATAATTATCTGTATTTTATGCAGCGGATGTTAAATTTTCTTGAGTTAATAATCACATCAATTACCCAGGACATAATTGGAAAAAAAACAAAAACTACGAACAAGAGTTAAATGTTACATTCCTGATTACATTAAACTCTACATTATTATTAAAACAACTTAAATAAAGCAGTTTGACACATCTACTCTCACACACAATAAATTAAGTTTAGAAATTAAGTAATATGAACACTTACCACCTTTATTCCAAGACGGAGTATTTGTTTCAATAACATTTTCACTCTTCTCTTCTTTTAGTAATAATGTTGCTACATGCAGGACTACCTTGTCTATAAAATCCCTTGGCAGTAAAGCACAGTTCCTTATTTGTTCTACTTTATCCCGGGGCTGAAAGTTGGAGATCCACTGTCCATGTTCCTTTTCTGGAGAATCTTTGAGTGAGTTGGAACTTTCGTGTCCATCAGCAACGTCTGTAAGACCATCGTGATGCCCAGAGAGGTCCTTCATTTCCGTAACACAATGAGAGGGCTTATTAGAAGAATCTAAGGGGTCGCAGTATTGAGTCTTTATGTATTCTTTCCTCTTTTCATCAATCACTGCTTCTTGGGAATGTAAATATGTCCTAGACTTTCCTATAAGGCACACCTGAAGTGAAATCGTGAAAACAATATATAATCATGGAAATTATTCACTGATTAAGCTAAACTATCTATGAAATACGCAAGTGTACAGATATACTAGAGCAGTATTATGCAAAAAAAAATCTACAAGAAGTATTAACCTTAAAATTAGTTCTTGTAAATTGGACTACTTTGAAAGAGTGATTTTAAAAAAAAGAATGAAAAAAAAAAAAAAATGTAAAAAATTATTGTATAAGCCAGATACAAATTGTGTATTCTAAAATTCAGACTTTCCACTTACATGCACTTAAAATAATATTTATCAATATAAATTATTACATCAAAGAGTATATTCTAGCCTGACGATAACTATAAACTTCCAAGAAACGGGGCTTTGCAGGAGCCAACCATTGAAAAAGTTCTAAAATAAATTAAATCAAAATGCACATATCACATTAAGTACAAAGTTACAGAAAATCATAGCTAAAGAAAAAAAAAAAAAAAGTCTATTGATCTCAATGAACAGTTATTGATAGGGACACGAATTATGTACATAGCATTATCTTAGCTATACATTGTTCTAAAGTAAAATTAGATCTGTGACCTATTTTATGACCAATTAAATTCTGCAAACCACATTCACCGGTCTCTTCCCATTGCCACCGGTTTTCCCATCGCTTTGGATAAAAGTACAGCTGCAGAAAATGTATTGTGGCTAGCTCCCTAGGGCCTGATGAATATCATGTAACTATTCCCTACAGTGGTGACTACTGAAAATAGCACAGGGACACATTTTTGTTCCCAGTCTGTGGTTTAAACCACTGATTTAATGATCCAATTCGTGGAGTTATAACACATTTCTTTTAGCCTTATATTTAACTATATCAGATTTTTTATTTTATTTTGACATACAAATCCTAAGGCAAGCACCCATACAAATTGTATAAATAACAAAACATTTAAATCTTGCATGAAAATGAGATACAGAACAAAATATATAATATATAATAAATAGTAATCAACAGTAATGTTGCTGGAAAGAAAATGAATACAATTAAGTTGTCATCTACAGCAGTGGTTCCCAACCAAGTCCTCAAGTACCCCTAACAGTCCAGGATTTAGGGATTACCCAGTTGTGTCGAAGGCGTTTTTAGAGAAGAAAAAAAAAAAAAAACATTCGACACAACAGGGTAATCCCTAAATCCTGGACTGGTAAGGGGTCCTTGAGAACTAGGTTGGGAACCCCTGATCTAAAGTGACCTCTGGATGGACTTAAAAACCGGCTAACAGTTAAATGCACGTTTCCAGGTTAAATATTTCGATATTCTTATAAAATCTGAAATACACTTACAAATTTCTTTACAGAAACCCAGTGTATTTGAATGTACATAGACCACCGGCAGATCTCTGCCAGGGTGGCTAGTGTTGCACCCCTACTACATCTCCAGTACATCCCAAATGACCTAGAACTGGTAGCATATGGTAGTAAAATATTGAGACAAGTTTTGTTGTACCAGGTTCTCTCTGGTATTCCGCTTTAGGGAGCTCCATAAAATTGTCCCTAAGAAGTGCAACACAAGTGCATCATTAAACACACTCTGAGTCAATGCATCGGGGAACCAGAGGGCACTATAGTGTTAGGGACATAGATTTGTATACCCAACACTATAGAATGCCTTGAATGTTGTGCATTACATAGCACAAATGCGGCTGTCTTTATTCTGTATTTTCGGTTCATGGTCTTTGATTTAAATTATATCTCTACCAAGTTTACGTGTTGATGTTTCCAGGCAATCAGAATGAATGACTGATTTAAAATGTTTATTTTTTGTCTCTCCTTATGGATCATTACATACAATCTCTAAAATACAAGTATGACAGCCACTAGAGACAGAATGGCATTGTTTTCCGCTGTAGGGTTAAAAATGGGAGAGAAGGGGAAGGGTGACATGACAGCCAGACCACTTTATTGAGATGAATTGGTCTGTGTGCATGTATAGTTACTTTAAACAAAAATAAAAAAAAGATAGTTCAAACTCCAATCATGTTCAGAAATGAAAAAAATAAAAAAATAAAAAAAAAAATACCCTTTTTGTAGATGGTATTCTGAGGCAATCTTCTTCTACGTTAAACCCACAATGATGGCCTACGTCCGTGACAAAATCAAGATATTCTCTGTATTGAGTCTTCTTGCTAGATTTTCTGTTATATTTTCCATAGAAGTTGAAGAAGCAACATGGGAGCACAAAGTAGGAGCAACTATAAGATGAGCTGAAATAATATACAAAAGGACAATGATTAAATACAATAACATTTTACAAATTCAATAAAAAAAAAAAAAAACACACACACACACAGAACTTTGTATTACCAATAAAATCAAAAGATATTACAATCCTAACAGTGTTGTATATAGATCAAAATATTGAAATTCTTCCCTAAGCAATGGTTATAGATGTTATATTACGGAATTCAATGGTACCCATTTTAATGAGCTAATAACGACGAAGGCTCAATCAGTCGAGCCTATAATGAAACATGTAACCGAGTTTCACTCACTGGCTATTGAATATGAAGAAGAATAATACATGGATAAAACTCTTGCAAATAACAAACGTGTTTTATTATGCCATGTTAAAGCAGCACTTTTACAAAAAGTAAAAAGTTGGGAGCTCTAAATAAAATTTAAATCTGGGGAAAAACTAAGGGGGTAACCCTAATATAATAAATTGAAAACCAAAATAGCAAAAGTACTGTTCCGTCTGCCAGGAGTTCGATTAAAACTTAACATTTGATAAATAATCACTTACAAATTACAAATGAGTATAAGTAAGAAAAATATACACTAAACAAAATTATAAATGCAACACGTTTGTTTTTGCCCCCATTTTTCATGAGCTGAACTTAAAGATCTAAGACTTTTTCTATGTACACAAAATGCCTTTTTCTCTCAAATATTGTTCACAAATCTTTCTAAATTTGTGTTAGTGAACACCTCTCCTTTGCCGAATTAATCCGTCCACCTCACAAGTGTGGCATATTAAGATGCTGATTAGACAGCATGATTATTGCACAGGTGTGCCTTAGGCAGGCCACAATAAAAGGCCACTCTAAAATGTGCAGTTTTATCACACAGCATAATGCCACCGATGTTGCAAGTTTTGAGGGAGCGTGCAATTGGCATGCTGACTGCAGGAATGTCCACCAGAGCTGTTACCCGTGAATTAAATGTTCATTTCTCTATCATAAGGCATCTCCAAAGACGTTTCAGAGAATTTGGCAGTACATCCAACCGGCCTCCCCCAAAACTGCACATTTTAGAGTGGCCTTTTATTGTGGCCAGCCTAAGGCACACCTGTCAGAAAAAGAAAAAGGGTAATAGGCGCTCACTATAGTAATTTGTGAATAAGCAGCAGTATACATTACAAGGATTCCCAAAACCTTGTAATAGTGCAATACAGTAAAATTATAGCATGAAGTGGTGAATGTAACTAAACACAATCCACTCACATTTCTATAAGCTATAACAGAGCTGTTTTAGCTCATAGACATGTGAGTGGATTGTGCTTAGTTACATTCACCACTTCATGCTATAATTTTACTGCACATTTTATTTTTTTATTCTATTTTATCTCAAGGTTTTCGACTCATTGGAAATACCTGCAATTATATGTATGTACTTCTTATATAAACACAATCCACTCACTTTTCTATGAGCTATAACAGAGCTGTTATAGCTCATAGAAATGTGAGTGGATTGTGTTTAGTTACATTCACCACTTCATGCTATAATTTTACTGTATTGCACTATTATTTTTTTATTCTATTTTATCTCGAGGTTTTCGACTCATTGGAAATACCTGCAATTATATGGATGTACTTCTTATATTTATAACAGCGCGGTTTACGTTTTCTTTTTTTCCTAAGGCACACCTGTGCAATAATCATGCTGTCTAATCAGCATCTTGATATGCCACACCTGTGAGGTGGATGGATTATCCCGATAAAGGCAAAGTGCCCACTAACACAGTTTTAGACAGATTTGTGAACAATATGTGAGAGAAATAGGCCTTTTGTGTACATAGAAAAAGTCTTAGGTCTTTTAGTTCAGCTCATGAAAAATGGGGACAAAAACAAAAAAAACAAAAAAGTGTTGAGTTTATAATTGTGTTCAATGTTTATCCAAATCAAGGGGTATTTGGTCCTAACCTCTATTTTATAGCTAGAATAGGGTATTGCTACAAATATCTACAAAATTTTGAGATTAAACAAATGTTGCAACTGATTGTTACTGTATCAAATCTTCACTTGAAGATAGAACACACATATATTGTGCCAGTTGGTCTATCTGCTGAGGGGATTATTACCCAACCAGTAATTTGGAATCAATAGTGTAAAACTAGCTAATAAATCTAAATGAAAGATGTTAATATCTACTAAATGCAGCAGTATTGTCCATGACTAGATATTGATTTAGAGTATACAAGCAAAGGGACAAAGGTTTAAAAATAATATCAGGAAGTATTACTTTACTGAGAGGGTAGTGGATGCCTGGAATAGCCTTCCAGCTGAAGTGGTAGAGGTTGATACAGTAAAGGAGTTTAAGCATGCGTGGGATAGGCATAAGGCTATCCTAACTATAAGATAAGACCAGGGACTAATGAATATATTTAGAAAATTGGACAGACTAGATGGGCCGAATGGTTCTGATCTGCCGTCACATTCTATGTTTCTATGTTAATTGCAAACAAATTTAGAAAAATAAGTAGCATTATAGAAAAGAGAACATTTTTTAATGATATAGTTAAAGTAGCTAGACAAAGTAGCTAGAGACAGTTTATAGATGTATTAGTAGTGGAAAAGATATGTCTAGATATGAATACAATCGTATACAATTGCCTAATTAGGGTGCACTCTGTCTAATGTCTAGAGAGTATATATAAAAATTCTAATAAACTATATATAACTGCCCCTTAATCCGTCCTAGCTACTACTGAGAATCTAAGGAACGACAAAAGTAAACTGTATATGAATAGGTAAGGGTTAATAACAGGATTGCCGCTGATATGGTGATGGTTAATATTGAAGGAAAATATGGCTTTCTAGATGTAGAATCTGTGCCTTAACGAGCGCCTAGACAGATCTCTGCAAAATCTGTAAGTAGTTGCCAAAAATAGGCTTTTGTGCTAGGTCACTGTGCCTTTGAGGGCACCTAAGCTTGTAAAAACCAAAGTATAAGGTCTAAGTTGCAATGATTCAGGAGCATATAACTGCTAAATCAACTGATGAAAACCTATTAGATAACTGAATCTGTGATTGAGTATATAAAAGGTATGTCGATCACGGACGAAACAGACAATTGCGAACCCCATTAATATAAATAAATAAATATATAATCACTATCAAAGGTGATCTTATAGTATATCATGCAGTGGATGGGGTAGTCTGTTGCTGGAGCCCCAGCACGTGTTTTGCTGATAAGCAGCTCTTCAAGGGTGAGTTTTTTTTTTCTATTTTCTATTATGCTACTTCTTTTTCTAAATTGCTTGTAAACTCTAAATTAATATCTAATAACGGATAATACTGCTGCATTTAGGAGATATTAATATCTTTCATTTAGATGAATTAACTAGTTTTACACTATTGATTCCAAATGACTGATTAGGTAATAATGCCCTCAGCAGATAGACCAAAGGGCACAATACATGTATGTGCTAATAGCTCTCTCTTCAAGTGAAGATTTAATACAGTAACAATCAGTTGCAACATGTTTGTTACATCTCAAAGCCTTGTAGTATATTTGTAGCAATACCCTATTCTAGCTATAAAATAGAGGTTAGTACCAAATATCCCCCAATTTGGATATATATCCTTTTACAAAAAGTTTTTTCCTTTTTCCAACTGCGGATTTTCTGGTCACATTTGCAGATAGCAGATAAACAATCTCTGTCTTTTTTTGTCTATGTAAATACCTACCGTTTTATGCACTCAGTTTAACCCCTTAAGGACCAAACTTCAGGATTAAAAGGGAATCATGACATGTCACACATGTCATGTGTCCTTAAGGGGTTAAACAAGTTCAGTAATTAAACCCTACCAGTGTCAGGGGAGAAATGATGCCTGGTAGGTAAGCCTATAATAAGTCCATACCCAGAAACGAATAGCCTAGCTTTTACCTTGATTTGCCTTCTGAGAATTACAGCATCAGTACTGCTGTGATACATCAATCCATTCACAGTTCTGATATTCACTGAGCAATTTGTACTGAGTTGCAAACATTTCATGCTTCCAAATAAAATTACAAAATAAAAACAATATAGCGTGGCTTCTCAGAATTTTACGTGTATGGGAACAGAAATGTAACAGATGTGTCTTTAGGGGTACACAGCTCATCAGCAAGCTTTTCTACCAGACAGCAGCCTTTGTTTTATTTACCTTACATGACATGGATTTGTTTGTTTGTTTTAGGTTTCAGTACATCATTTTTGTGAAAGTAATTGCAGCTGCGATTTTGTGTATGTACTTCCTTGTTTTGGTTTTGGCACAATAAAAAGTATTGTCAGCATGATTGAGAATTAAGAGGACCTTTGTCTAAGCAGTAATCTCGAAAAAGAAACGACCAGCACGCCAGACCACAAGCTTGACAAAGACCTCAAAGGAAGTGTAAATGTTGCTTGCTGCTGTGAGATCTGAATATATCTTGGAGTGCCTCTACACTTCTGCATTGTGCTGGATCTTTCTACTTATTGCTAATAGACTGCAGTAAATAATAAATATAAAAAGTGTCTAGGGGCTTCCAAAGATAGACATACAGTGTGTTGTGCGTGTTAAAGGTTTAGAGTGCTCCCCACCAGCACTCAAAAACACAATACTCAACAATAAAATAGGCGCAGTGACACACACTCAATGAATATACCTAAAAATCTAAAGTAAGTGGTCAATAGGAACCAATGAATACAAAGGGTAACCTAAAAGAGAACATAAAAACAGTACATTGCTTAATACTTTATGGTAAACACAATATGAGGTAACTGGTGGAATTGAACTCACATGATGCAGAGCCGTGCCAGCCTCTTTATAAAAGGCCGAAGGGTGCCTATGCAGACTATGGACTTTAGAACCAATGTCATAATGCACCCCCAGAATAGTGAGAAGTACAGTGGGCTGGCCACTAATTGCGTGTGGCAAGAATGAATATATGAGCTAATGCTGGAGCCAAACAGCAATAGAAATAAAGGTAAAAAGGTATTGGGATGGCTGACATGTCAGTAATAGTCTATTTTACATTCATAGGGTTGGACAATTCATACAAGTCCCCACAAGCCTGGATACAGTGTAAACACTGGGTGAAGATTTTTCTACTTCCTAAGCACCAACCATTATCACGGGGAATACGGATACATCACGTGCTGTTATTTACTAGAGGACCATGCTTTTGTTTTTAGATGCTCATTTTACCTTAACATTAATCTTTTACAGCATCCAGTTTCCAGTTAATCATTTGCACACAAACTGTAGTGAGGCCAAATCTCTATTTCCGAAGAGCTATTTGGGATCTATTCCAAAGCAGTCTGCATGTATATGTATATCGTAGAGATGCTGAATTGGGAGGTACTTATTATTTGTGTGTATTTTTTATGGTTTGCTGGGAATTTTAAATCATTAAAACATTTTATTGTTTTAATACATGCTGTTAATGTTAACAAGTTTCAAGGAGCCCCATAAAACCCATTTGTGTTAAGAATAGGGGAAACTCATGAACCTCTATGTTCTGCGTTAAAGGGCGTGTTTGGCAGTGTGGTTGTGCTTTTTTCATCATTTTTCTTTTTTTGCTAATTCACAATGGCAAAATGAACACTGTTTGAGTGGTATGTGTAAGGAAGGTTTATGGAGCTGACAGGATAGGCCAGGGCTGTATAGAGAGAGGTTTGGTGAGAATGTGATATCACATGACTTCTGCTCTGTCTCACAAAATGCCTAGCTCTAAAGAGCAATGACAGGCTGCACAAACACAATCCTGTTAATGCCCCAACACAAACACAATCAACAGCAAAGGGCAATCTTACAATTTATTTTAGCAGCACTGTGCCCTGTTCAGAGTATTCAATGTTAAGTGTTGAACAGTGTGTCAGTACATGAAGGCTCCCTGCCACCATGCTCTGTATCATGGTGAAACCACCAGGGCAGTAGGTCACAGCAGAGGTCTGTAGGCAGGTGGCCATGTGTTGCTTTTTTGAATATTAAATAGTTATAATTTTATGTGTTATTCTCAATAAGTTGGACAACACCAGCACAGGCTTTCAGCAGTTTCCAGTTATTTCACGTGGACTGCACAACAATGTATAGAATTTGAAGCAGAAACATCGGCCATGCATTTCTGGACCCATACCCTCTAATTAATTAGCTTACAAAACAAATATCCCTGGGTGAGTGGACAGAACAACAATGCAATATTATGAGCCACAATGCCATGACCCATTCAGGAGGAACAGAACAAACAAAATATATGCCTAAAAGAATGTGCCTTATCTCCTGCGGCAGTATGTTTTATATATTTGTCATGCTTACCGAGCAGCTATAACTGGAATCCATGGGGTAAGTTCATCCGAATGGTTTCCAATTATCCAGTCTGTGTCTGGAAATAAATATTCATCACTTGGCTTTATGGCACATTCCTTAAATAAAGACATGGTATATTTAAATTAGGAAAGGCATGGTCTGCGATCTTCGAATTGTTGCAAATAAAAAGATAACATTTTAAAAAAATGAAACAGTCATTTAAAATATATATATTTTTTTTTTTATATGAGAGAGAATAAATAACCGAGAAATCAGCACTTTTATAAAATAGTCAATGTAATAGGATACTCCTTGCCGATTAAACACTTCAGCACTGGGTGTAGAGTGGTCCTTTAAACTGAGCCATAGTCAAAACAATTGAGAGAAAGTAACCAATAGAGGGAAAAGAAGAGAAGCACTAAAACAAAAACAAAGAAAACCTAATATCTAAATTAAATCAAAAGAAATTAATTTAGTTGTCCTGATTTACAGAGTATATATTATGTCTAGGATTTCAGTTTCTTTTTATTAGATACAGGTCACAAAATACAAGGAGTGAAATAAAATGTCAATGTAGTAAGCTAAAAGTTGATGTTGGTCTTGTAAGCATAATAGCCATCACAGAAAATAAAATTGCCACACTAAAAGTATATATTAATGTAAAGTAGACATCACAGGCTATTTACTGGAGAGTATTTTGACATTTTTTACGTAGCCATTTAACAGCCAATCTCTCCTAAATGTTGTAGTAAAATTGTTGGTTTTTTTTTCCTGATTTTAAACACACACACACATATAACAAGGTTTTTTTAATGTGTATTTTTCCTGTACAAAACCCTATATTGTGTTCAGCTACATCTTCTGAGTACAACAATACTCAGATGTATGCATTTGCCACTATCCTGTGAAGTTACAGTGCCATGTAGGAGACCTGACCATTTCAGGTTTTATAGTTAGAATTTTGAAAGATGAATTTGATGGGTCTATGTTTCATTTTGGGTCATTGTAGCAGTTTGACTGTTAACATAACCCCATAAATGCATACCGTTTGTGAAAGTACACATCACAGTGTATCTCATGTGGCATATTTTGAGCCTTATTATACAGCCATTTTAGCACCAATTTCATTAACCCCCTTCAGGGGGAACCCTTAATGACGAGTGACAGACCTAGTCCGTTACGCGGTAAAATTAACCCCGGATCGCCGCTATTGTGGCGATCGCGGGGTTAATGGTGCTCCGGTCTGCCTCTGTATTAGAGGCAAACCAGGAGCACCCGATCATGGAGCCGGAACAGTGATGATCCTGCCCCCTGTTGGAAAAAAATAAAGTTCATTTAAAATACCACCCCCCTTTACCCATTGTAATAAAAAATTAACCCCTTCCCTGCCAATTGATCACTGACTACAGTGATCAATTGGCAGGGATTACATTTTACTATGAACTGATTTTTAAAAAAAATTTTATTTAATTAATTTAAATATTTTAAAATTATATATTTAGCTAGCTGGGGTGGGTGGAAGTTAGTGGGGAATTGGGGGATTTGGCGTTAGGCTAACTAGGGGTTAACGTTAAAAAAGTATTAAAATAAACTTTAAAAAGTTAAAAATTAAGCTTAAAAAAGTTTTAATAAAGTTTAAGTAAAAAAAAATAAAAAAAACAACCCCAGTCCAAATAAAAATTAACCCCTTCCCTGCCAGTCGATCACTGCCTACAGTGATCAAATACAGCTCACAGTATTATACTATGATCTAATTTTTTTTAACCCCTGAGGATTAACTTTTATTTATTTTTTAACCCTCACGGGTTCAATTTATTTAATTTAAATATTTTCTAACTATATATTTTGCTAGCTGGGGTGGGTGGGAGTTATGGGAAAATGGGGAATTTACTGTTAGTGCTGCTTACTGCTACTTAGGGGTTAACAGTAAAAAAAAAAAAAAAGCTTACAAAAATTTTAAATCTGTAAAAAAGTTTTAAGAAAGTTTAGGAAAAATTAAAAAAAATTAATAAGCAAAACAAAAGTTTAAAAACTAGTTTTTAAAAGTAAAAAAAAAAAAAACACATTTAAAAACGCTCATTACCACTACACCTGAAACAAACTAGAGAAAAAAATATCCCACGCCAAGGTTCAAAATATGCCTTCTGAATTACCCCAGGGTGTATTCTTTAATAAATACTGTGTTTGTGGGGAAGTTTCAATAACCAACCATCTAAACTACTCCAAATTGGAACATGGACACAGCAAAACTGCAAAGTTAGAAAAAAACTGAATGGCTGCATCTCAAATGCGTCCCTTAAACATCCACATATACCTGGCAAAGGTACATACGGGGGTATTGCTGTACTCAGACCACATAGCTGAGCAACATATGAAGTATTATACAGTCATAGCACACATAAGGTTTGCAAAATATACTGCACAAACTTTGTGTGTCAAAAAGGCAGAAAAAAATGCTTATTACCACTACACTTGGTACAAGCTAGTGGAAAAATGATCCCACGCTAAGGTTAAAAATATGCCTTTTGAAATATCCTGGGGTGTCTACTTTAAGAAAGGGTAGGCCTTTGTGGGGTAGTTTGAATTTAAAACCTGCAATTGGAAATTGCACATAGGCCCAGCGTCAAAATTCAAAGTTCGGCAAAAACGGATATGGCTTGATCTCCTATATGGCACTGTAGCTTCGCAAAATAGTGCCAAACATATTCATTGAGGGTGTCTTTTTACTCAGAAGACTTAGCTGAGCATAATTTGGGAGGTTTGAACTTAGTGGCACATATGAAATATACAAAATGCCCAGCAAAAATGCACAAAATTATTTTTTACCACATACTTTGGCATATATTGGTGAAAAAATGTTAAGGCACAATATGCACCTTATGGAGTGTCTACTTTTACAAATGGTAGGACTTTGTGGTTTTTTTTTGAACAGTCAAACTACCATAATACCCCAAATGGAAGCATAGGCTCATTAAATCTGTCTCTCAAAATCCTACTGTGAATACTGAAAAGGACAGGTATCCTGTATGGCACTGTAACTTCACGAAATAGTGCCAAAGACATACAATGGGGGTGTCATTTTACTCAGCAGATGTAACTGAACACAAAATAAAACTTTGTACAGGGATAGCACACACCAACTTTACAAAATACACATGAGAATTTCTCTGTTATAAGTTTGTGTGCCAAAAACCAAAAACCCACAATTTTACTCCAATATTTAGCAGAGGTTGGCGGTGAAATGGCTACGTAGAAAGTGTCAAAACAACCTTAGGTAAATAGCCCGTGATGTCTACTTTATATAAATATATACTTTTGTGTGGCAATTTTGTTTTCTTTTATGGCTATTAAGCTTACAAGACAAACATACCAAATTCTAAAATCGCTCCACATTAAAGGTTTAGTTTACTCCTTGTGCTTTGTGACCTGTAAAAAAAAAAAAAACACCTTAAAATCCCAGACACATTATATATTCTGTAAATCAGAACAACTAAATTAATTTATTTTTAATTACTTTCCTTAAGCTGCACTAACTGTGCACACATTATTATTGCAAAAACTGTGAAAAAACCCCACAAATTTTGTATTTTTATATATATATATATATATATATATATATGTTACATCAAATTAAAGCCCTTTCTGTCCTTTAAAAAACAGTATATAATATGTGGCGGTGCAATAAATTTGTAAAATGCAAACAGCAAAAAATAAAAAATAAATGCTGTTGTCATTAAGTGAAAGACAAGCTATTTGAAGCTCTGTCCTTAAGGGGTTAAAATGTTATTGTATGGTTTTATTTTTGCATTGTTTACAAACACATTGCACTTTAGCAGTTTATTTTTTAGTAAACGTGATATTTGCTACTTGAGTGCGGGGCTCTACACTTGACAAAGTAGTCTCTATGCTTTATAAATATCTGCTAGTAGGGTCTAAGTCAATAAACAACACTTTTCAAAGGCAATGGGAAGATCTCATGGGCAAGACTTTCTCAGCATCGCAATGGAAAAAGGTAGTACTATGGCAACAAAAGCGCTCCATCAGCTCCCAGTACCAGTGGATGAACTATAAACTGATCTCCCTGTGGTATAAAACACCACCCCTTCATAGAATCTTCCCTACGGTCCCCTTCACATGCTGGAGATGCCAGGTGGAGAGAGGGACAATGATCCACATCTGGTGGGAGTGTCAAAACATTATCCTAAAGAGAGAGATGGTGAAGGAAGCAGTGACCGAAATCTTAGGGGACTCGGACTCGCTTTACTGCATGTGTCATCAAAACCTGTCTCGGTCTATAAAAAGTCTATCTTACTGTTACGGACCGTCGTCACTGAGTACCATGCCCACTGATTATTTGTGTGCTTTCTCCTTTAGTGTTTTGTGCCTGTATATGCAGCAGCTCTATAAAGTAGAGTAAGTGAAATGGATTGCTCTGTGTCTCTACCCCCACTCCCTTCCTTTTGTGAATGTATGGTCTTCCTGTATCTCTCCCCCGTCCCCCTAACGTTTCCTGTCCCAGCAGGACATTGTCACAGAAACACTGCCAGCCCAGTTTAACCTAGATGCCGTGTCCTTCCTCCATCCCTCTTCAGCTTCTCTGGCTCTGGATTTAAACCCCTGTCTGTTAAACCATGTGTAACAAAATAAACAGTCAGTCAGTGTTGTAACCTCCAGAACTGTGTTTTGTTCAGGGGAATGGATGCCTGCTTTTTGTAAGGGTTCCTGAACGGCTGAAGGAAGTGAATTCGCAGAGGTAACCGGTCGGGTTACTCTGGGTCTGCTACACTTGCGCCACTTATTAAATGCGGCCAAGGCCCTTGTCCCGGCCTTCTGGAGGAGGATCGAGGTTCTCACTAGGGAAGACTGGCTGCGTAGAGTCGATGATATAAAGGCGGCGGAGGCGCTTCATGATTCTTTAACACGGGGTGGGGGATCCAGACACGCAGAGGCATGGCAGCCGTGGTTTATGTTCGTGGCTCAAGAGCTGTGATTGCTTTAAAAGTCGCAGGAGAATGCCGGGGGTGGGGTGCTCGATCTTCTTGGGGGCAGGGGACACCACATCTTTCTTATCCACTTGTACTTTATCCATCTTCAGTATCTTAACTGTCCTACATAGCAGGCCTACCTCTAAGAGACAGTGTATGGCTAGCAAGCAAATATACAGGGGGATACCCCGATCTCAGAGAGAACTATACCATTTTTATGTTTTAGGGAGGATCTCCTCAACCAATAATTGCCCAGTTACCATATGCCGACTGTGGGGATATATGTCTGCTGTACAACTTCTGCGGTAACTGAATGTTGAGCGTTCAATCACAGAGCTACCGGTTATGTTACTTATGCTTTATATGGAGAGGCCTGTGCGCTCTCTTGTATATATTATTTATATGTACCTCTTTGAAAAATACAAAACAGATTTACAAAAAAAAAATACAGGACTTAAATTATATCCTGCCCGGTAAGTTTTTGAAAAAGTAAATGGCATTTCAGTAGCTCATAAATTTAAATTACGCCATAACTGCATTTGCAAAAGTGGACATTGTGAGGAGTTTTGTGAAAGTTTGTGGCATTCATTTTTATTTTTCTATTTTTACATACATATAGTATTTTTAATGCTTATTTTTTAAATCTTCCACTGTAACAAAATTATCTTAGCTGTACTCACCAACACCTCCTGAGTGCAACAAACCCCTCTTTGTATATCTTTGGTAAGTAACAATCTTAATCCCTAATCATCTCAAATCCAAGCCCTACTTCTAAACCAAATCCTAATCCCACATCTAACCCAAAACCTCATCCCAGTACTAACCGAATCCAACCTAATCTTTTTTTTTTTTTGACAATTTTTATTCTGTTTTTTTCAGGTACAGAAATAGACAAATCATAATATTAACAGTGTCTGACTAACACATGACAAAAGCACAGAAACCTGATATTTGGTGCCTGCATGCTATTTGATTATACAGTTGAGAGAAAAAAATAAATAAATAACTAACTGAGCAGTAGGTGCATTCTCCTCTGAACAAGCTGACTGGTTAGGTGAAGTCTGTGTATGGGGTGTTGGCTTTCTTATTTGTCAAACAACTTTTAGAGAGAAGAATGGGGAGGAGGGGGATAGGGCAGAGAGTTGGTCTGGAGGGTTATACGGGGAAAGAAGAGAAGAAAGAGAAAAAAAAAAGTGTGGGGGGCAGCAGGAAAGGGGTTGTCTAGAGGTTAAAAAAGTTATCTAGTGGCCCTCTTCTTTCAGTAGGTAACAGGTTTGGTTCCTCTAGTTTTGATATATAATCATTCCAAGGGAGCCATGTTGTGTTAAATCTTTCAGTATTGTTTTGTAAAAAAAGAAGTTAGAGCTTCCACTTGTTGTATATTGTCAACCCAGCCACCTCACATCACCAGCTCAAATCCGAAATCTCATTATTGAACTTGTGAAGGAGCTGCGGGGCACGGTAAGTAATGGCCACCGGACCACCATGGAAGGGTATGTTGTCTCCCCCCTATCACCATCAGACCTCACATCACCCCCCCCTCACCATCACCTCCCTCTACCTCCCACACCATCACCTCCTCACCCTCTCATCATCAACACCCTGTCCCTCTCATCATCAACCCCTCACACCATCAACCCCCCATACACACAACACACTTCAAGCAGCTACTCCATACACATAGGGTTCCAGACAAAAAACGCAAACATGCACACAGAGACATACATTCACACACACACACACAAGGATACTCTCTGTTTGAGTTTCGCCTAAGGCCTCATAAAGTCTAGAGCCACCTCTATCCAAGACATTATATGAAAACAGCATAACAAATGCAATTAAACATTAGGAAGGAGCACATTGCTCAACTATGTGTACAGTGGTAGGATACAACTTATGAGACATCAGCATTTTCGGGGCAATGTTCACTTTTGCTGTTGCGGTTTAGCATTCAAAGGGCAAGAGATCTTTTTCACTCCACTTGGTGGGAGCTTCTGGGCAGCTAAGATGGGTAGGGTTAATAACTGTGCCTGTGTGATACACAGAAGAGAAAATAAACCAGGGGCTATGCAAGACATTTTAATCAAGCTGGGTGTGGTGTTTTCTGGTTGGTGGTGGCAGTAAGGGTTACAGCTTGAGTTGTTGCCTGCGGACTTTAAACCCAGTTCTTGTAGCCTGGGGCTGCGCCGTCCCTTTTACTGGGCAGTCTTGTGATTCTCGTTCCTCTGGTGCTTGTGCTGCAGATGTTGATGACTTGGCTGGCACTCCTAATCTCTTGAGGAATGTCTCTGGGTTGTCTGCAGAGGTCAGGGTGAGCATTGCAAGCCCTTGTGTGACTATGAGTTAGCCCTCCATTCCCCAGCGGTACCTGACTGAGTGGTCTCTTAGCCGTTTCGCAACTGGGGCCAGTTCTTTTTTCAACCAAGACTGTAAACGGGAGGTCTCCATATAGTGCCACCGAGCATCCCTCAAACTCTACCGTCCCTAGGGCCCTGGATCGAGCCATGATAGCGGCTCTTGCTGTGACATCTTTAGTTACGATGATTGTGTCTCTGGTTTCTCCTTCTGAGGCTGCTGCTGCTTTTCGGATGTTAAACGCCGACACCACAGGCCACAGGTCAGCTCAACCTTTGAGGCCCATTGTGGCAATCACCCTCTGAGTAAAGTGCAGTCCACCAACTCTCTCAGGGATACCTCTCAGCCGTATGTTCCTTCTTCTATGTCTTGACTCCAGCACTGCCACTGTTCTGCTCTGCTTCTGCACTTGCTGAGAGAGGATGTCAGTAGTGGGTCTGGATGAACAATGATACCAGGCATTTCATTCGCTCTCTGTATCATTTAAAGCGAAATGCATTCCTCAGTGCCTCCGCTTCCCTGTGCCGGACTGTTACATTCAAGATTTCCAACCTGTTTTCATAACATTTTTAGTTGGCCAATATGTAAGCTGTGTCCTTATGCTCGACACCACCAAACTCCAGACCCTCACCCACACCCCCCGATCATCTAGTGAGAGATCTGATAGACCTTTTGCATTGTGGTAGGTCCACGAGCATTGTGCTCGTGCAGCAGCTATGATGGGTTCCATTGTCGGGTAGGAGTACAGCTGACAAATGACATCCCTCGAGGGGCCATGTGGATAGTAGGGGCAGAGTGCCCTGTCTATCTTAATTGGTGTTGGCTCTTCGTTGCAGAGGACTTGGCTGGAGAGGGCTTGCAGAGATTCCTTCAATCTGTCAAATTTTTGAGTCTGGGTAAGCCACGAATCCTGATCTTGCATCTAAGACACATATTGTACAGATCCTCCACATGGAGCAGAAGTTCCAGTAATAGCGAGCCTCTTTCACAATTAAACTAGGGCTTCAAGCATTAAAAATATTGTGAGAACTGACCAGGTTTTTAAAAATAAAAATAAAAAAAATATACAATTTTACCATTTACTTTTCATCACTATGGAAATGTAAGCATTTAAACTCAAAGCTACAACAAAAATATTATAGTTCAAACAGAAAGCAATAGTGTCTCTAAAAATAGTGCAGTTTCAAAATACCTCCAAGATGGTTTCTGAGCCGTACATATCCCAAATTTTTCTTTTTCTCACATCAATGCCTCGACCTCGATGCTTAAAGAAAGTTAAAAAAAAATTAAAAAACCATAACACGTCATTAAATGATGAAGATTTGCGTCAATGTAGGATTTAAAAACAATTAATTGTAAATTTAAATTATTGCAGACTGTGACCTTATGCAAGGTGACAGCTGCTTCCAGATAGAAAAAAAAAAAAAAGACATGGATGGCAGAGAGACAAAGGTTAGCAGCCTTGTAACGTGTTATTAATTGTAGCATACCTGGCTGCTAAATGAAAAGCATTAAATCAACTTGGCAATTTAAACTTAAAAACATTGTATGGCAGCAATAAGTGAATGAATATTCATTATTTTTTTAGACCACTCAAGTTCTATTGTCAACCTGAATAAAGAATAAAAGCGATTTAAAAAAAAAAAAGAAAACCTCCTTGAAAATGATTTTATGTATCCACTCAATTTATGCTCTTAAATGTTTTCAGTATTTAACGCAAGTTTGCCAGTTACCACCCGAGATGACAGTTTCTATTTCCTTGCCTAGATTGGTCGGCCCCTCCACTGTCTATAGGTTTCACCTTATTGTTCGGATTCTTCCTACATAAATATTTCTTGTTAGCGGTTTGACAGGCCTTTTTCTTTCCCCTTTCTCCTTCTTCCCGGTCAGTTTTTTCCTGCCCATTGAATAATGTCAGAGTGGGCAAATAACTTCCTTCAAGTATTGACACTGCTCTTTTAAATGACGGTTTGCAGGGTACAATGTACCTGGTGACCCTGACATTCTGATTCCAATTGCATATTTGCATAAAACTGCCAACTTAAACAGAAGATTAGGAAGTCTTTCATTATCTGTAATAGGGAGATGTAGCAATGCAAACATTCTTCATTACGTAGGATTTATTGGAAATGTATCCTGTTTCCACATATTACCAGGGGTACAGATATTATTCTTATGATGCTGAGAAGTACTCATTATATGAATCTCACAGGAATGAAATACACATTTGACTCTGCTGGGAATAGAACCTAAAGCACTAAAGTTTTATTCTAAACATCTCACAAGCAATAATATGCAGTAAAGTCTTACAATCTGACAAATGTGTTCGGATTCAAACATTTTCTATATTAACCAAATTACTCTCTCAAACTTTGATTTCTCCAACAACATAATATGTATCTTTAAAATGATACTATTTCAACAAAGAGCACATGCGTTGCAATCACCTCACTCCAATACAAAGAATCCCTGTGAGAAGCTTTAGCTGCATCCGGCGTCGCCATGTTGTGCGTGACGAAGACAAACATGAGGACCTTTGAAATTCAAAAGTCTTGAGGAGGAAGCACCCCAAATGAATGTCTGTCTGATAGTCACAAGAGGCGTGTTCTCAGACAAATGTAAGCATTGCAGAAAAGCCAGAGTTTTACTTTGTATGAAAAAAAATACATCGATGCACTAAAACCATTACATTAAGATGCAGTGGTTTTGGTGCTTATAGTAATTCTTTAACTCCTTAAGGACAAGGGGTTAAGCACATGTTCTGGCATGCTGTAGAAAACTTAGCTTAGCAATCTCTATATCCAAGCTGCACATTCTCTATACAGAAGAAATAGTTTAACTAGAACCCATTTTTATATATAAGCGTGCATGAGCATATGGTACTTACCCCTTCCCTGATTAATATATGGACTAGAAGACCGTTTCCACATCCCAAGTCCACAAAGGATTGTTTGTCACCGAGGCGCTTTTGTAATCTTTCCTCTTCCCAAAGAATCTTTATATATATAAATAAAAAAAATAAAAATAAGCAGCAACCTGTTAATTACCATATTTTGCAGCCTAAACAGAATACTACTTTCCTGCAGAGATTTAAATAAACTGGAGACTTCACTTGGCAAGTAGCGGGTTAGATCCAATATCGATGAATGCAAAACCATGTATTTCTAGAACAAAATAAACTTATATCTAAAATTTGAAGAAAAAAAAAAAAAATCTAAACAAGAAGGGATAATTGTAGACAACAGCCCTTTCAACAATATGCAAAGTGGTTGAAAAGGTAAGGTATGCTCGTGCAAGTCTGAATTAATGAATACGATGAAAATTACTATTTTTTTAAATAAATGAAAGATAAACTATTTTGATCTGCCAATATTTTGCACACCAGTTTTCAAGTCATTTATTAAAGAAAAATGAATAAGGATGGAGTATTAAGGTACATAAAATGGCTAGTAAAGCGCTATTCCTTTACATATGAAAATGTGTGTCTTAGAGGAAAAAATATCGTAGAAATATAAATCAGAATGCTTCTGGAAACAAGAATAAAGCTGTATGCTGTCCCTTACTCTCTGTTACAAATATAAATAGGACCAGTACAAAAAAAAAATGAAATAATGCAAGATGGCTGGAGATCTGCGATATTTATAAGTTAATTGGGCATCGTTATTATTCATATGTTGTATTATTAATCACATGTTGTAAAGCCAAGACATTATATCATTTTGGAGTCCACAATTTTTTTGATCTTCATTTTGTTTAACAGCAGTGAAAGGATTTGCTTAAACGTGAAGGATTATATACTTATTATACTACAGCCACATATTGTATTTAGAATTTGTTTTGTTAAACCACCACTTTAGCCTATCTAATGGTAAGAGTTTCTGTATTTATTTTACATATGTTGCTTTTATTACTTTTTTCTATTATTATTATTATTATTATAATAGTACCAGTGAGCCAACTTATATAGCTGTCTAGTTGTGTCTAGATATATTATGGATAGTCCCTAACTATAGACCACAAAAGTTAATTTAAGGATCTCTCTTAGCTCACTATAAGCATGGTCCAAGTACAGCTCCACTACTTCTGAACATGCATCCAATGAAACATCGGCTTTATTCATACGCACGCAGAAATTCACAAAATAATTGATGTAACAGATGCAAGGCTTACCAATAAATACGTAGCTATGGCCACATCTTCATAAACAAACTTCTCAGGATCTGTAACTTCAGGCCAGACCTTAAACAAAAATATATAACATTTAAAAAATGATATAGAAAGAATGACAATTCATGTTCAAGGTTATTCATTTTCCATATGGAACAGCAGCCGCAGTGGGACAGGAAAGCTATTTAGCAGAAATAGTTATCCAGATTGTCTGGAGACACCAGACATTCAGTAAGGAGCATTATGTAATCTCCTGGATGCATGGGCTTACTGTTGGGTATTACTATACAGAGTGGAACTGCCAGCTAGGAAAAAAGTGTATATTAAAAATCAGCTGGACATGCGGTGTTGACGTGTTGAAAATATTTCCAACACAACTGATGCAGGAAAATAAAATGAATACTACATTTCCAAAGGGCCTACCTGCAAAAAAGGGTGGTGATAAAAAAAAACTATCTGTCCAGTAAGTTAGATATAAATATATTAAGCCAGCAGCCAGTTAAGGAAAGTGGGTCAGAGGCATACTGAGATATGCAATGTTGATTGCACAACAGGGAGGTAAAAAAATATACATATGCATAGGTGATTAATGAGAGTGACAGGTTCACATTAAAATAACTCATCTTAAAGGAATTAAACTGTAAAAATGTTGCCCGGTGCATTGCAGGGTTACAAAAAAAGTACTATATGTTTAGTTCATTTGACCTGTTCCTGCTTCCTCTCTGAAGAACAACATAATTTCTCCATTGAAACTGCACAAGTGTACTATTAGAATTCCGTAGAAATGTTTGAAAATGCAAACTTCATTAACAACCTGCACAATGTGAAATAATGTGTATAAGTATATTACACTCACGAATGCACACTGTATACATTTGCTTTGAAAATAAAGAATACAAATGTAAAAAATGTTGAGTGAAAAACTCTGAAGGCAAAGACAGCCTGTACACAGTTATTTACTTACAGATCAAGCGGTTATATTGCAAAATATAACTGTGAACCCCAGGTAAAAAGACAAAATGTTAAAAAAAGTAGGATGGAATGGCCCACTAGCACCATAACCACTAAAGCATACCCACTCCCACAGTGGGTAGATATACTTGAGTAAGTAGCATCTATTTTACTTTATGGAGGCAGATCTTAACCCAGAATTCTCCATCCATCAATGGATCATTTGAACAATAATTTAAACGGACTTCTGCCATACTGCGGCTGCTAGTATTTTATACACAGCCCAGGTCACGGTTTACTGAACCAGGCTGTGTTGTGGTCCATAAATGTGGCTTGACTCAGTTTCCTGGGAAGGGAGAAAGCATCGATAAGAAACCTGAAAGTGCTTTCAGGGCTTGTTGTCTGACAGTCCTAATACAAATCGCTGTCAATTTATTCTTCTCTTAGTAATGACAGTGGGCTCAGGATGCTTTAAGCCAGGGCTGTCCAACCTGCGGCCCCCCCAGATGCTGCTGAACTACAACTCCCATGATTGCTTGGCTGTTTCATTGAAAGAATCATGGGAGTTGTAGTTCAGCAACATCTGGGGGGCCGCAGGTTGGACAGCCCTTCTTTAAGCAATGAGACAATGTGCTTTTGGTGTTTAGCCTGACCCTTTAAAGGATCACTATAGGGTCTGGAACACAAACATGTATTCCTGACAGTGTTAAAACCACCATCTAGCCCCCCTGGGTCCATCATGCCTCCCTAAATATAGCAAAATCTTACATGTATTCAAGCCTGAACATCTGCTGACATCATCAGAAGTGGTGGCCTGATCCAATCACAATGCTTCCCCATAGGACTGGCTGAGACTGACAAAGAGGCAGATCAGGGGCGGAGCCAGCATGATTCAAACACAGCCCTGGCCAATCAGCATTTCCTCATAGAGATGAATTGAATCAATAAATCTCTATGAGGAAAGTTCAGTGTCTGCATGCAGAAGGAGGAGACACTGAATGTTTGGATGCATTTTAGGCAGCCATGACCCAGGAAGGATCTATAACAGCCATCTGAGGAGTGGCCAGTGAAGTTATCACTAGGCTGTAATGTAAACACTGCATTTTCTCTGAAAAGACAGTGTTTACAGCAAAAAGCCTGAAGGTAATGATTATACTCACCAGAACAAATTCAATAAGCTGTAGTTGTTCTGGTGACTATAGTGTCCCTTTAATATAAAAAATGTGGAGTTACATCAGTCTTTAAATTTGAAGAAAATACATAAAATGTTTAGGAAGTAATTATACAGATTTTGATTTAGATTGCGGTATTGAATAGTTTCTGAAAAAGTGCAGTGTAGCATTCAAAGCCATCTGGAATACATTTACAAAGAATCATATCCAGAACTTTTGCCAGCGTGTACATTACTAAGACATTCCTGGTATGAAAACATGTGTAAATAGATTTTATATATATATATACATACCTGTATCTAAAATGACACTTGATATGCATTGCTATGTTGCAATAATTATTCTGTACTTACAGAAGTAGTAGAAGTAGACTCACTTCTGGGATAGACAATAAAAATAGCCAACTAAAAATTGAGTTTTTTTTAAATTATTATTATTATTTTTTTAATCTAACACACCAAATCACCCATGATGCCATGCTCAAGGGCTTTTGAAGGAACATGCTAAAATGTTTCTGTGTTATCAAGACACTGTCAGCAGTCTACCCAGCTGTAAGTTAGTATTTGCTCTAAATGACATGTGAAAAATTTGCATTCCTATTTTCTCTTCTATTATTTCGCTTCTATTAAAATAACGTGGTTAAAACAAATGTTAAACACTTAAACAAAAAAAAAAAAAACATAAAGAAAGGAAGAGTTACCGGTAACTTTTTAAAATATTGAACTGTCAGCTGAATAAAGTCATCCTAATTACAACGCCAATAAAATATAATTGCAAATTACCTTCACCATCTCTTTGTATTTCTCCTTAAGGCGCTGATATAGTGTGCTATATTTATCCACAGCAATTAGAGATAGGGTACTTTTAAACTCGCTTTTCTTGTCCTCTGTGGACCACTTTGCTAGCTTAGATAGCAGTTCATTTCTCATCCAGCAAATTTTAGGGTAAACCACACCATCGGAAGCCCAGCTTTCTGGACACAACGTGGAGAGAGTGATGGACCTAAAAGGCAAAGCAAGAAGGCACTAATCAGCTCGAAAAGCACTGATAAAACACAAAAAAACTGCATTTTTTTTTAATTTTTTACATTTTTACACAGTTGTTCTCTTAGATCACGGAGGGCCAATAGCAAATTGCACAGCAGATGGCTGGCTGGTGGCATAGCAGTAAAGGCTAAGGAGGGCAAGAAGTACATTGAATGTAAAGGAAAATAACTGGTCACCTTTGGCTAGTAAAACAATACAAATGTATTTCACGTAAAGGTGACACAAAGCTAAAGCAAGAATAGCAGATGTACTTACAACTATACTTATTACTACAGTGCCAACATATTCCGCAGTGCTGTACGACAGGCAAACAAGACAAACACAAAATTCTAACAAAACATGATTGGCATACGAAAAAGGCAGGTGAAGAGAACCCTGCCCTAAGGAGCTTACAATCTAAAAGTACCTGAATTGGTGCTGCAGTCAGTACATTAAGCAATCTCACCTCATAAAGCTAAATGACACATGAAAAAGACTACATGCCTATTATTAGACATAAGATAGTTATGCTAAACTCATTCATGGACAAATTTCCCTTTCAAATACGAATATAAACTATATAAGCTGACTGCATTAAACCACTGTCTACCAATATTAGAAGACATTTAACATGGATATCTGTTTAATGGTAATATATTCAGCCAGGAATATTCTATTGCAGTCCTCACCATTCATCATCCTTGACATGTGCAAGACGGATTTGATAAATGTTATTTTTCTTGACCTGGAAATGTCCATAATTTGGTTCTTCCAGAGGTATAAATGTCACAAGTCTGTTGGGAATATCTGAAAGGATTTTGAAAAGCACATATTACTGCCCAGATAGAGAGTAAAAATTGGATACAGTAACCATAGAGGGATTATAGGAAGTTAATTTATATATCATTGTAATGGATGTAAACATGTAAGTTTCTGAAGATGAAGAAAAAAAACAAAAAACCACACCATATGTTAGGTAAACTCAGAACAATGTGGGTTGTGAACCAGACAAACAAACAGTTATCAAGATATAATCTTAATAGTTAATGGGTGAAGCGCTTAGTGATATTGGCATGCAATAGTTGCTTACCCCTTTAAATCAAGTATGGAAATTCTGGTGTACTGGAATACATTAAAGGGGATAAAACACAGAAGAAAATTATATATAGATAAAGTGCAGATGAATATAAGAGAGGAACTTATATTGTGCCTGAAAATAAGCCTCTATATAAACGGAATGGTGCTCATTCAGGTGGCACCCCACCTTCTTCCCACAAAATCCTCTTTCGGGATAAAACTGAAAAACAAGAAAAGTACTTATGGTGTAGTATTACTTAAAAGTAATACAATTATATAAAAATATAGTAAAGGACTCTCACCTGTTTAAGAGCCCATTGATGCCCTGGTTCTAAGGTGGGAACACCAGATATCAATATTTAGGGGTGACACTCCCCCAGCTGGAACCTGGAATCTGGACTAGTAGGCAGATTGGGTGCTAAAAGCTGGTATTTATTAATAAAAGTATTTATAAAAACAGCCAACTGAAGAAGCCCAGGACTGGACCATAGAGACTGTTAAGGAACACCATAGGGTCAGGAACACAAACATGTATTCCTGATCCTATAGTGTTTAACCCACCATATAGGTGGCTTGCTCCCTCTTAGCCCCCCTATAAATGTTTAAAACTCAGCTTATTTCCAGTGCTGCGCGGGTCCGATGGCGCTGGCTCCGCCCCCTTTGACATTATCAAAATGGACGATTGTTAGCCAATCCAAAATTGGATTGGCTAAAAATGGCACGGGGCGGGCCAAATGCAGTTTTGGCTAATCAGGACCTCCTCATAGAGATGCATTGACTCAATGCATCTCTATGAGGAAAATTCAGCATCTCCATGCAGAGTGTGGGGATGCTGAACGTCAGGGCTGCTTTTTCGGTAGTACTGACCCAGGAAGAACCTCCAGTGGCCATCTAAGGAGTTTGCATGAAAAAAACCCTGAAAGGAACTATTATACTCACCAGAACAACTACATTAAGCTGTAGTTGTTCTGGTGACTATAGTGTCCCTTTAAGTGCTTGTCATTTGATTTTATATTGATTTATTTTTATATATAAGTTTGTTAATAAATACCAGCTTTTAGCACCCAATCTGCCCACTAGTCCAGATTCCATATAGGGGGGTGTCACCCCTAAATACTGACACCAGGTGTTCCCACCTTAGAACCAGTGCATCAATGGGCTCTTAAAAAGGTGAGAGTCCTTTACTATATTTTTATATAATTGTATTACTTTTAAGTAATACTACACCAGAAGTTCTTTCCTTGTTTTATCCGGAGAAAGGATTTTGTGAGAAGAAGGTGGGGTGCCATCTATATGAGCACCATTCCGTTTATATAAAGCCTTATTTTTCAGGCTCTGGAAATTGTGAGTTCCTCTCTCATATTCATCTGCACTTTATCTGTATAACAGTACCAGTTGCACTAGCATTTTCTTCTGTATTTTATCCCCTTTAATGTATTCCAGGACACCAGAATTTCCATACTTGATTTAAAGGGGAAAGCAACTATTGCATGCCAATATCACTAAGCACTCCACCCATTAACTATTAAGATTATATCTTTAGAACGGTTTGTCTGGTTTAAAATTAAGGTGAGGGGAAGGGGTATTTCCTCACAGGTATATTAGAGCAGCTACTAAAATGTTTTAACACACTTTTAAACGCTTTTCCACACACTCACTCCTTGTGAGTTTTCATTCTGTGTGTTGTGACTTGTAAAACTTATTTTAATCCCGCAATGTAAAACATGTCAGTTTTGTAGAAACTGCAATGTTTATCGTGCAGGGTTAAACACAACTTCAATAGCTTTAAGTAGTAGCTTCTACCTCCAGAACCAAATGAAACTTAGCCCTGATTGAAACATTTTGATTGGAGGAGTAGTGCATTATTTTGCCATGTCCCTATTAGACATTGGATTGGATGATATCGTGAGTGATAGAGATGTACTGGATACCGCACACACCAAGTAACGCAGGTGCTCTGAAGCCAGGGCTGGCCAGGCCCCCCTTACAAGATATGCAGAATAAATAATGGTACAACAAAAAAATAGCAGCATTATTGGGACAAAAGCAGCAACATTTGGACCCTACCAGGTTTTTATCAAGTAGCTTAAAAAAAAAAAGACCCAGTAAGGTTGAAACGTTGCGGTTTTTGCCCCAATAAAGCTGTTATTTTTTGTTGTACCGGAGTGCCTGAACCGTTATTTATTCTGCATATCAAGAGCGATGTCAACTTGTATACGAACATCAATGGTGGCAAAGCTGGAGTTTGTAGAGTAGAGGAGTCTCAGTGCTCGAAATTGGGAGAGTTATCTTTACTTACAGGGACTCTATAGTTACCAAGACAACTTTAGCTTAATTAAGCAGTTTTAGTGTATTAAATCATGTCCCTGCAGTCTCACTGCTCCATTCTCTGCCATTTAGGAGTTAAATTACTTTGTTTATACAGCCCTAGTCACATCTCTCTGCATGTGACTTATTCAGCCTTCCTAAACACTTCCTGTAAATAGTCATCTAATATTTATACTTCCTATTTGCAAATGCTATTAATTTGAGAATTACTTATCTCCTGCTTTGTTAAGAACTTGCTAGACCCTGCAGGAGCCTCCTGTATGCGATAAAAGTCCAATTTAGATACAAAGTTTTAAAGCAAGTTACTATCTGATTGAAAGGGAATACATTTTTTTCATGCAGACTGTGTGATTCACAGCTAGGGGAGGTGTTACCTGGGCTTCATAAACAAACAGAAACAAAAGTGATTTAACGCCTAAATGACAGCAAATTGAGCAGTGAGACTTCAGGGGCATAATCTATACAACCAAACTACTTTATTTCGCTAAAATTGTTTTGGTGACGATAGTGTGCCTTCAAATTCTATTGAGCAAAAGGGTGGTGGACATTGATCACATCACAGTAAGGGAACCTATAGTCCTGAAATAATATTTGTTATTTTCTGGACAATACGTTGCCTTTAATTTTGACAATATTACACTATATTTGTTACACACATTTAGCAAGAACACACCATACTTTTTAAGAGGGAGGCATATATACTTTGAGCGTAGCTGGCAAGAGCTGCGCGCGCATTCAGCCGGTCGCATAGGAAAGCATTATCAATGCTTTCCTATGGACGCTTGCGTGCGCTCACTGTGATTTTCACGCAAGCGCCTCTAGCGGCTGTCAATGAGACAGCCGCTAGAGGCTTTGGGGGAAGGCTTAACCCATTGATAAACATAGCAGTTTCTATGAAACTGCTATGTTTATAAAACAATGGGTTAACCCTAGCTGGACCTGGCACCCAGACCACTTCATTCAGCTGAAGTGGTTTGGGTGCCTAGAGTGGTCCTTTAATTAAACAGAACTTGCAATAAAGAAAGCCTAAATAGGGCTCTCTTTACAGGAAGTGTTTATGGAAGGCTGTGCAAGTCACATGCAGGGAGGTGTGACTAGGGTTCATAAACAAAGGGATTTAACTCCTAAATAGCAGAGGATTGAGCAGTGAGGCTGCAGGGGCATGTTATATACACCAAAACTGCTTTATTAAGCTAAAGTTGTTCAGGTGACTATAGTGTCCCTAATTTTACATCCATACGGATTACTGCATCACATGCGATGCTTTATCCCTTTATATTGATATTTAATTATCAGTACATCCTAAGTGGAAATTACATCAGACAAGCCATCATATTTGAGCCAAGAAGGCTCATGTATATGTGAGTTGCCATTTATCAACCAAACACTGAAATTAAGTGTGAATTTACAATTATACCATTGGTGTTCTTCCATGATTTTATATCATTACATGCAAGGACAGTGTCTCAATTAATATACTTAAATATGTATTATAGCACGTAATGCTGTTTTCTGTTGAGCATTGCATTGTTCTGTAGAATGTGAAAGCTTTGTGTATACGCCGATTTACTAAAAGCTACACAAATTCACATTTGTTTTTTTTGTGTGTGTGTTTTAAATACCAAAAATAACTATCCATCTATTAAGTGATATAACTTTTCATCATTCAGTTTTTAATTTTTCATATAGTTATCTTTTTCTTTTATTTTTCTCTAGGGCACCTACATTCTAGGTATTACTCTTCAATGAACTGCCCACATTCTCCTTTTAGGATCTTCAGCTAGTTAGGTGGCTATTTGAAAAGTAACTTTGAGCCTTCAGATTATTGTACAGAGTGCGCTCAACTCTGCGTTCAGTGTATTACCGTCACATTGTTACCAAATCACCTGCAGAGTTAATGAAAGTTATATGTAGGGGTATGCAATCTTCAGCAGCTACCCTAATGCTCTCACAGCCATAATGCAAAAGATCAGGGAGATTTAGTCCACAACAACCAAATCTCAGCTCTAAGAGTGGCTTACAAGTAAATGCTAGAAACTCTCAGCCTGACCCTCAGACCTGTCAATAAGGCAGCCAAGGTTGAGAGACACAGGCTATCTGTACTATTTTTGTCTAAGTTTTGCCACAACTTGGGCTCTCACCTGCTAGGGGGAAGATAAGCTATGCACTGCATATATAATAATATATGCAGACCATAGCTCTGATGAGAGCTCGACAAAAAAAAAAAAACTAACCGAAAGGGGCCGGACAAATTGGTTTGTTATACAAATCCATTAGTTTAAGGAGATGTGCAACAAATGAACATTTATACTAAACAGAATATCAAAGGAAACTCTAAAAGATAAATAGTTTAAATTCATTTTGTTTTTGTTTTTTTTTGCATTTGTTATGCATTCGTTTTATAATACATAAAATTAGGCCATTTCTGTTGCATTTCTCCCCTTTAACCCCTTAAGGACCAAACTTCTGGAATAAAAGGGAATCATGACATGTCACACATGTCATGTGTCCTTAAGGGGTTAAAGCAGGAAGCTGACAAAGCATCAATATAGTTGTAGTTCTGCAAAATCTGTTATTCTCTCTTTACTGTAAAGCCTCTAAATATACAACACTTAGTATAGAAGATAGGGTCAGGAAGCAGTGCCTGTAGCAGTATTCCCACGCTTAAAGGACCACTCTAGGCACCCAGACCACTTCAGCTTAATGAAGTGGTCTGGGTGCCAGGTCCTTCTAGGGTTAACCCATTTTTTTTATAAACATAGCAGTTTCAGAGAAACTGCTATGTTTATTAATGGGTTAAGCCTTCCCCCTAATCCTCTAGTGGCTGTCTCATTGACAGCCACTAGAGGCGCTTGCGTGCTTCTCACTGTGATTTTCACAGTGAGAGCACGCAAGCGTCCATAGGAAAGCATTGTAAATGCTTTCCTATGCGACGGCTGAATCGCGGCAGCTCTTGCCGCGTGCGCATTCAGCCCAGGGGAGGGGAGAGGAGGAGGAGAGCTCTCCGCCCAGCGCTGGAAAAAGGTAAGTTTTTACCCCTTTCCCCCTTCCAGAGCCGGGCGGGAGGGGGTCCCTGAGGGTGGGGGCACCCTCAGGGCACTATAGTGCCAGGAAAACGAGTATGTTTTCCTGGCACTATAGTGGTCCTTTAAACCAACATGGAGGAGGAAATGAAAAAGGCGCAAATATAGTGCAGTATGTTAGGCCACTGGCATTGGTAAATAAAAGAAAAAAAAAATGACATACCACCCACGCCTATTAATATTGAGCAATATTCCATTTGCTCCACACTTGTGAGTATACCTTCTTTTATATTTGTTTTATCCTGTACCATAAAGAGAGCACTATTTTGTGTTTTTATCTTTTTCCTGCAAATTGATAACTCTTAAATGCTGGACCACTGTCACTAAAGAAAAGAACAGCCTTACCATCTCTAAAGATACTCCTGAGAACGCTCAAGGACCAACAATACATCCACAGATAGGGATTGCACCGTCCAGGCGTATACATCTGGAGCGGAGTATAAGCTCCAGAAAATTGTAAGTGCATTTTTTCTTTTATTTACCAAACACCAGAGGTCTAACATACTGCACTATATTTGCATCTTTTTCCTTTCCTTCTCCATGTCGGTTTGAGCGTGGAAATACCGCTACAGGCGCTGCTTCCTGACACTATCTTCTATACTTATCGTATCATCAGAAAAGAAGAGATTCCAGCATCCAAACACCATGATTACAGGTGTGATTAAGTGGCACAAAAGGCAAAATTTCCAACTCCAAATAATATAATACTCTAAAATACTTTTAACCCCACATTCTAGGTAAGAGAAATACTATAGGAGTTCGCTTTATTTGCTTAAATTACACCTGAACGAAACGGCAAATAACAAAATACGCTAAAATACACTTTTACCCTACAATATTGACTCTGTGACTGCTTTGGAGTATTCCACTTTTTTTTTTGACTAAAATTTTGCAAACCAATTTTCGGTTTGCTACAAGTTGCAATAAAACCCTTTGAATTCACTTTCACATCCCAAACAAGTCACACTTTGGTGGATATCCCTGAAGGTCCAAGCCAGTGGGTACCTTGGATCACAGCTTCTCTCCTGGGGTGAACAGATGGATAGTGAGGGTTAGCCTTTGGGATTAGTGTCCTTAGGGTGATGGTGGTGCCACTGGCTGCTCCCCTCTCTCCATATCCTCTGATCCTCTCCAGCATACCCCCATCTTGCCCAGGGCTACAGATGCCAGAGAGTGCACCAAGCACTCCACCCAGCCCCTCTGGCTCTTCCTCTTCACCTGGTCCAGTCTGACTCTCTGCAGGCACTGCAGGGCTCACTTCCCACCTCCACTGGGTGGTGGATCCGCATAATCGCTTATTAAGCACATGTGGTTTCTCCAGCCAGACAGTGACAGCTGCCCAGAATCCCTGGGGCAGGACACAGCCAGGATCCCGCAGGCACACAGTCTCCAGGAGATCACCCATCATCATAAAACCAGCATGGGAGGGGGACTTTCTGGCGCTGGGAGATGACGTCACATGGGTAGAGTTCTAAACACTGGGGAATTACTTAAAACACAACTACACGATGATACAAACAGCACTGTGCTTATCACTAGAGCCAAGGCTGCTAACTATTTAACTATTACTTGTACCTGGCTGGGAAAGTTTGTAGGAGTTTCCTGTTTTTTTTGTTTTCTCTAGTGTATATAACTCTTGCCATGTATCTCTATGGAGACGGCATTGGCGGCCATGATGGTTATGGGCAAAAATTACATGCATTAAGAAAAGCTGTGAGGCATTGCAGGAGGGTAACCCTGCTAGGGCAGCACATGAGGGCACTAAGTCATTCTGTCCTGAGTGACCCACTACCCTCCTCACCATAGCCAGGGCTGTCAGTGACAGCTTCACCTTCCATTATGGTTACTGGCATGTTTCTCAAAACAAAAATGACAGCTCTGGCTCCTCCTCTAGCTCTGCCTCTGCACTTCTAACCTGCTGCCAGTGTTTCTTACATTGAACACCTGGTGCTGCAGTGTCCACTGGCTGCCTGCTGTGGGTGAGTGAGGGGACTGACTGCTAGACTGTGATGGGGGAAAGAGGAGGGGGTGGGAAAAGGTAGTGGGCTGCAAGGCAAGGCATGGGGGTACACATAATAAGAAGCTTATTTCCCATCTCTAGGTGTAGTGTTAATAATGTCTATCTGTGTCTGAGCAGTACATGTCAAATCACTGCCTCAAGTCTTGTTGCTGAATCAAGGAGAAGACTTGATTTATTTATTTTATTTATTTTTTCTTCAGTCTAGAATATTATATAAATATAATTTGACTTGAGGTTCAGATACCAGAGGAGCTTAGCAGTCACTGAGAGCTGTGCTGCCTTCTTAAATATATCTGTACATGTATCATGTTTCATGTATGACTATTCTGCAAACTTCTTCTGAAGGAGCATTGTCTTCAACTTCTTCAACAACGGATGCCCACTAACCCTTTTAATAACACTGTTTAGCACTCATGACAATGCTTTTTATATTTTTAAGAAATATTTAATGCTTATGATGCCTGTAGTACCCCAGCTCAGTGTGATGGATCCCCCTATCCCTGGATTGTCATCCTTTTTTATTTTGACTTATTTGTTACACTGGGTGGTTCGGTATATGGGATTAACTGAACGCCTGGCACCCATGTAGTTCATATACAGAATAAACTGCTGAACGGCCAGACCACCCAGAGGAGTCGTGTGTTGCTCATTGACCCTTTTGACCCTTGTTCTCACCTCGGTATCCGCAATTATCACAAAATTCTAAGCGGTCGGCTGGGTGGTCACCATTCGTATGTGCAAACACGTGGTGGCGGCCATCTTTAGCCACTTACAGCGGTGTATGGTCATTGAGTGCATGGAACTATAATCGGACACTCACTGGGACTGTTTATATTCGTGATTGTATTGTATTTGGTACTTCCGAAAGAGACCGACCGCACAGCCTGAATCTATGGAACTCTTTTGGGCAGGAACCTTGTGTATGTGGGTGCCTCGTTTGCGGTTGGTCTAAACTATACCCTAGTATGATATGTGGGGCTTAGATCCAGGCTATCCGGGGATATAAGACTTGAGGGGGTACCTACTTGTTAAATATGTATTTTAGGGTATTTTTGTTATGCATGTCCTGGACCTGAGAATTAATGTAATTATTTGTGTGCTTTTACTGTAGTCCCCTCGCAGATCCAGTGGGGAATGCCCCTGAAATATGTAAGCAGAAACCCCTTGCATGGGGACTTGAATATAAGGCCAGTTTTGGCTTCCAATAAATCCGTTCCTGCTTACCGTCAACATAGAGTCTCATCTCATGTTTGTAGAGAACAGCTATACCAGCTGTTTGGATTATCATGCTTTGGATTATGATAGCATCACTCTGAATAGGGGGAAAGAACATCCTTGGCGGCGAGACCCCTCTTCCTCTTGGAGTGCCTGCCACACAATCGGTTTCCCTCTCGTTGGGCAAATCATTTCGTAAAGGTCTTACCTGGGTCCCTTCTGGCATCTGAGAATCTTTCCATGTGTGGTGGCGTTCTTATGGCTTCTGCAAAATAAAGCAGTTTTAGTGTATAGATCATTCCCCTGCAATTTCACTGTCACTTAGGAGTTAAATCACTTTTTCTATTTATGCAGCCTTAGCCACACCTCCCCTGGCTATGATTGACAGAGCCTGCATGAAAAAAAAAAAACTGGTTTCACTTTCAAACAGATGTAATTTACCTTAAATAATTGTATCTCCATCTCTAAATTGAACTTTAATCACATACAGGAGGCTCTTGCAGGGTCTAGCAAGCTATTAACATAGCAGGGGATAAGAAAATCTTAATTAGACAGAACTTGCAATAAAGAAAGCCTAAATAGGGCTTTCTGTACAGGAAGTGTTTATGGAAGGCTATGCAGGGAGGTTTTACTAGGGTTCATAAAAAAAGGGATTTAACTCCTAAATGGCAGAGGATTGAGCAGTGAGGCTGTAGGGGCATGTTCTATACAGCAAAACTGCTTCATTAAGCTAAAGTTGTTCAGGTGACTATAGTGTCCTTTTAAAATCAGGATATGCAATGTTTAAAGGGACATTATAGGCACCCAGACCCCTTCAGCTCATTGAAGTCGTCTTAACCCTGCAATTGTAATTATTGCAGTTATTGATTAACTGCAATAATAACCTTTTGTGGGTTAATTCCACCTATAGTGACTGTCTACCAAGGGTGGTTAAGCGACATTTGGTCGCCTAACTGACGCTGGATGTCTTCACGACGTTTCCATGTCTGGATTACCCTTTTAACTTGGGGTGAGCCAAGTTAATGCATACAAGCAAAAAGAAAGAATGAGAACTTTGAGACTTGAGTAGGGATTTACCAAAGGGCAAGCTATCGAGTCTCTCTAAGCTTTTGTCCTTTCTCAGAGTTTTCATATTTTTTCTTTTTGCTTTAATGCATTAACTTGGCTCACTCCAAGTTAAAAGGGTAATCCAGACATGGACACCATGCTCACTGTGCCTAGAGGGTACACACCTCACTGAAGAGGCTCAAAAGAAGGCCAAAACGATCGTCTGGGGTTGCTGTATCTCTAGTGCTGAGGGAACTTGCTGGCATTTTGAACCTGGACTGCCCTTATGGGTTGTACCAGTCTGATATGGTTCAGATATGTTCTCTCTGTAATGGCACAAGTTAGCAAAAACTATTTTGAGACCTGAGGGGGGATTTCCGAAGGGCAAGCTATCGAGTCTCTCTAAGCTTTTGTCTGTTCTCATGTTTTTCTTTTTGCTTTAATACAGGCACCATGACCTCTTCATATTACTAAAGTGGTCACGGTGCTTGGAGTAACGCTTTAAGTGAATCAACTCCAAGAGGGTGTTTGTAAAAAGGGCTTTAAAGCCTGTAGGGTAGCATAGAAGACCTTGCATATTTGATGTATTCAGGGTTAAACCTCTGGTCACTCCGCTAACCTCAGTTATCGAAGAGGTGCTCAGACTTTGCATCATAAACACTGCTTTGAACTATTGTGGATCTGGTGCTTTGTGCTTCTTTAATGCTTTAATGCTATTAGGTGATTGACAACAATCATATCACAGTTTGACCTGTCAGGGCACAAAATTAAAGATTACTGTATTTTTAGATTGCAAGCTCTTTTGGGCCGGGCCATTTTCACCTTCTGTCCCTGTTAAAATGCTTCGTCTTGTTTTACCTATTGTACAGCGATGTGGAAAATGACTAAATAATAGTGATTACAAATATATTGAATTTACATTATAATTGGTAAATAAAATGTGCATATCTGAATGGTGCAAACATAAGAACTTTGAAGCAGGATCTTGCTAATAAAGTCAGTACAGAAATCTAGATTGCATAACAGTTTATCAATAAGATCTGTGTCAGCAAATATACTGCTGATCAGTAAACCATTAGGTGGCCTTTGAAGCAAACCTGTACAAATACGTATAATTCAAACCAGCTGTGTATTGCATTCTAATCAAAAGTTGAATAATAATTACAAATGGGCAATTATAGTGCTGACTGTTATCACATTATCATAAGTAGTAGTATGTTAAGAAACAATAGATTGAACTTCAGACTAACTTCGACCTCTATTTTTATTGACCCTTTAAAGACCAAATATCTATTCCTAACCGTATAGTGACCTCTTGTACCCTATACCTTTAATTCTCCCCCCCCCCCCCATGTAAAGGGAAAACTTTAGTCACTTACCTGATTCCAATGTCCCTTGGCACTGGGTCGGTGCACTGCCTTTGAGGGGGGTGGGAGGTGGGGAGAAAGACTAATACACATGCGTGGCGAATGCCACAAACACATTAGGCCCAACTCATAGGAAAGCATTGCTTTAAAAAATCTCTTTAGCGTAACAACCCTTTTTGGAAAGGGTTGTTCAACATACTCTTTACATGGGGGGCAGGAGGAATTGACTAAAAAATCTAAATGTCCTATATACATCCTCCTGTTTAGCTGGAGAGCTCCAAAATCAATAAAAAAAAATACTGCACTCAAATATTTTTTTTATTTTATTTTTTTATTTTTTTAAGCTTAGAAAACATTTTTAGTTTTATTACTTGGAAAAATAAATAAATGAAAAAATGCAAAGCAGAAATCACTCTTGCCAACAAAGTAGACTGCAGTAACTACACTTCAATCAAGTACCGTGTACTAAATTCATCCAAAAGTAATAGTGTATATACACCTAATATGTGTTAAACAAGGAAGGATTGGCTTATTCCATAAATAACTTACAATCAGTACACACCAGTAGGATAATATGCAACACATACAGAATCAAAAATGAAAAGCGTATATCCCTGGTAGAAAGTCCAATACTGTAAGTCCACTTAGATTATTGAATAATATGCTCATTGGTAATAAGCGATAGTAAGTCTGTTCAATGTTAAGTATGCATACCCAAGAAGAAGAATCGCACAAAAAAAATAAAAATGTAAAAAAAGAAAAAATCACTGAAGGGGGAAAAAAAGGAAGTAGGTATGTATTTGAAAAAAATAAGTCCATTAATATTGGGTAGATCTAAAAAATGGAAGCAGTATCAGTGTATCAGAATCCCGTGCTTGTGAAGGTAGTTGATCCTTTCACCACTTTTGCTGTACCAATACCAGCACCACCAGATCTATAGAGTGCCGGTTTTTGGATTTGGTTTTTAAAATCCATAAGCAGGGATGGAGAGTTGTGGCACTTAATGTAAAGAATGGACTTGTTCTAAAAATTGGGGTTACATTTGACGCATTGTGGTTTGAGTCCAAGGTGGGTGATCAAAGAGTTGCCTAATAGGTTTGAAATGGTGGTGTAATTCTATTGAGAATATCAATCAGGATGTCAAAAGAATTAGATTTTTAGAAACGTCTGTGTAAACAATAATATAATATGCAGGTTAAGAAAAGTCATTCAGAGCAGTGACTGATTAAATGCTATCAGTTAAATTCTCTAGATATGTTAGCAAAATAAGAAATAAAAGGCAAAGTCCTACATGGAGTGGAATACAGCATTTGATTACAAGGCTAACATTTCAGAAAAGTGATTTCTACCCTTGACTTTTGTTCTATTTTTTAAGGTATTGCGATAGAAGTCATTAGCGACTGTGAGCCCTGTCTAATCTGTGGGTATAAAACAAAACACAAACTGTTAAAATGGAGGTAGCTTTAATGGATCACTATAGGCACCCAGACCACTTCAGCTCAATGAAGTGGTCTGGGTGCCAGGTCCCTCTAGTTTTAACCCTGTAGCAGAAAACATAGCAGTTTCAGAGAAATTGCTATGTTTCACAGAGGTCTAATCCAGCCTCTAGTGGCTGTCTCACTGACTGATGCTAGAGAAAGGTAAGTGGCTGAAGGGGTTTTAACCCCTTCAGCCCAGCGGGATGGGGGCCCTGATGGTGGTTGGTACCTAATGACCTTATAGTGCGAGGAAAACGAGTTTGTTTTCCTGGCACTATAATGCTCCTTTAAGCCAATTTGGTATTCAAGTATTGTTCCAGTATTTGCATTTGTACAGTCAAGGCTAATGTATTATATGCAAAGTATGAGATATGACCAACCTATAAAGGAAAATAATATAGCACTGTTAATGCAACTGTAATTTTATTTTTGGAGCGTATTGCATAAACCGTGCAATACTATACTTTGTTCCATTATAAGTTTGCTATATCTCATTATATTTTGCATGTAGTATTCTGTGTCTCTGGAGTGCGGCTACCTGTGAGAAGTTAATCTCTCATTTCTACGAAGCATCCAAATTCCATTTTTTGGGGGTGTTTGGGTTTAAGGTATGTTTATACGAAAACAATACCTAATGTATTATTTATTTACTCCATGGGATCATTGAAATAAGTTTTCACAGCTTTTTTGGGGATTCTGCCCTCACCAGCTTTGAAGCAAGAAATCAAATAAACATTTTGGCACGGACAATTGTATTTGCACCAAACTCCATTGAAAATTCTCTCCGTTACCTTATACCATCTCCTCTCATAAAAACAATGGCTACCATTCTAGACTAATGTCTCACTCTCCCGCTCTCTCCAACGTCTCTAATCTCTCCTCTTCATTATGCTGGAAGCTCCTGCTAAGTGCACCATAGGATTAGGGGCAGCATTGACTTCCCATCTTGCAAAAAAGGGTTTCATATTTTACATATATTCCAAAGCTGTGTAATTTATGTGAGTTGGGAGTTGGACAGCTTTGACATTTTAACTAGACAAGGACCATCTCTCCTGGTATAATTGCCATTAATCCTATCTAAAAGGAAATTCATGGTAAGTGATACTTAGGTTGTTTTTTTTTTTTTTTTGCCCCCATATAACACTGACTTTTTTTTCAGTTCTGCAATTAATATGAAGACAGTACAAAATAAATAGCTGGTGTAATTAGCAATATAAAGTATATGGTCTTTATTGCAGCATCAAACAGCAATCTAATACTACTTTATAATTATAACTACTACTACTGATAATAATATTATAATATATACACACACCTTTCTGAAATCATTGGGGGTCAATTGCGTGAGAGACTGGTTTCAGGGCATAAATATTCAGACCTGGAAACTGTGTGCATTGTATAGTCTATTTAAAGAGAATAAGGCCTTCCTTACACAGCCTTGGAGGGTATATTTTACTTTCCATGTGGACAATTTTCAGCTGAAAAAGTGAACGCTTGATAAAACACAGTGAGGGGATCGAAAAAAAGTGTATATATGCAATGTAACTTGTTTTGTGCATAAAAATGTCATCGTTAAACTAACAACCCTTGTTCTGTAGATCTACGCCTCCCACTTGCTTGCATAGTTGAGTGGCGCAACCACCAATAAAAACAAACAAAAAAGCCCCAGGTACAAGCCTCTTTCTGTCTGTTCCTTTGCCCACATTACCTTGGCAAACAACTCCCAATGCCCATCTCTGTAGAGACTGGCACCTCACATTTTATTCAACAATCCAAATCGGGTAACAAATGTTATCCAAGTATAATGTCGCCTGTCCTTTAACTTATTTTATTTTAAAATAGCTTTTTCTTAAAAACAGGGAATATAGATTGTACTCTCACCACTTGGGTAAGGGAGGTTGCACTCTGGTATTAACCAACAACAAAAAACAACTAAATTACATAATTACTCTTGAAAACATCTAACGATGGAAGTCAATGTGCACAGAGCTGTATTTTATCTATATATTAAAAAAATATATTTTAACTGTAATATCGGTATCTTATCAACAAATATACTAGATCCCAAAGTTTGTTCAGAACTCCAACTCCCATGAAGTTAGAAAGACTATCAATACAGTACTATCAATATCAATACATTGATGAAACAGCCCTCCAGACCATTTGAAAGACTCTAATGTTATTGCTGCTGGGGTGAGCAAATCAATCATGCAGATACATTACAAAGCAGGTTTCAAGATACTTACAAGTAAGTCGAATTCAATGAATGATAAGGGTATGTTAGCAAAGCCCCAGTTTTTGGATATGTGGATTTAACATTTCTTCAAAACAAAGCAAAAGCAAGGGAGTTTGACAACAGCCTAATTAGCTCCAATTTGTCATTAAAGCGGACAAAGGAGTTCCAACATGTGGTCCATTCTGTCCCAACAATTGTCTTGTAAAAGATTTACCCCACAGGATCTTCATTAAGTGGGATAGGGCTGTCACTTGCAAAACTGTAAGTCCTAACAATCACGTTCCCATTTTTTAGGAAGGTTATTATGCCTGAAAAAACTTGTGTACGTCATGTGCTCCCAATTCCATAATCCGTTCATGTATTTTACACTGGAATTATATGAATCCAAAATACTGCCAGACAGCTCTTTCAATACAGTTTTTATTTAAATATCGTTTTATTAAAGTGTTTGCGAGGTGAACAATTCGCAGTGAGGTTATGAGCAGTGCGAAACACGCAGGTTTCAATCAGTTAGAATCTCGTTTGAGGTCTTGAGATGCGCAGATCTCTGAGGATGCAAAAGTGATTGAGACTCGCAGGTCTCCTGACACAATAAATCTCTATTTACGATATTCACTTAACATGTTGTAGATTGATTAATTACAGTCTGTCAGGTGCGTTAGCTATGGTCCTGTGGTTTGAGATCGCTCACTCTGCGTTATGATATTATTTGTTGTTTTAGGTCTTGTCGTTCGCTTGTCCTTGCAGGTTGTAATCATCTCTCAGTCTTTAATGTCGTTCGTCTGTAATGTGTCTAGAGTGTGGATGATGGGATGGGTGGGGGGTGGTCGGTGAGCATGTTGTGTCTTTCAGTCACCTTCTTCCCGCCTGTATCTTCTATGGCCCCGTCTCACAGTGCCTATTGGCATGAGTGTGGGGTTGTGGGGGGGGTGTCCTTGCGTCTTAGTGTAGTCCTGTTTAGGGTTTGATCCCTAGTGTCAGTGTGTCTGTTAGTTCGTTTGATAAGTTCCCCTCTCAGTCTCCTCCATCCTCTATATGCATTAATGTTTCAGTGTCGCTGGGGTGGGTGCAGTGTGTTGTTTCCTCCTAGCGTGGCTCCCCCAACCTCTGGTTCTTGTTTAGCGTGCCCCCTGGCCGTGTAGATTTCATTTGTAACTAGTGTGATTCTGCCACTCAGGGGTCCTAGTGTGATTCCCCGGGTACTGGGCTCATCCGCAGGGGCTCTGAGGCAGGGTGGGGGTGTGGGAGGGCTGGAGGGGGGGGTTTTACTTGGGTTTTGGGACGTCGTGCGTATCTCGGTTCCCTATGTGTCTTGTCTCCCTCCTTCCCTTGTCGGTGTTTGTGTTAGGTACACGTACCAGGATCCCCACATTTCCGCATGTTTGTCGCTTCTTCCCAGTAAGTTAGCGTATTTTGCTTCTGCTGCGTGGATTTCTTCTACTCTTTGAAGCCATTGCGTGATTGTGGGTGGTTGGGTGCTTTTCCACAGTGTCGGAATCAAGGATTTGGCTGCATTCAGCAGGTGTCTCAGGATAGATTTCTTGTAGAGTGAGAGTGGTTTTTCCGTGAAGTGAATCAGTGCGGCTTCAATGCTTAGGTCTGGCATATCTCCTAGGATCTTGGCCAGTTCTTGTTGGATCTCTTCCCAGAATGGTTTTATTATGGCACAGTCCCACCAGATGTGTCTCACTGTTCCTGATTGAGTTCCGCATCTCCAGCAGGTGTCTGGCGTCCCCGGGAATATTCTATGTAGTAGCGAGGGTGTTCGGTACCAGTGTGAGATCAATTTAAAGTTGACTTCTTGGTATCGTGAACTGATCGAGCTCTTGTGCTGAAGTATGAGTATTTGCTCCCATTGGGCATCTGTGTATGTTCTGTCTGTGAGGTCCTCCCATCGCCTTTTGAAGGCTATGTTCCCAACTCGGTCTCCCAGTATAATCCGTTGGTATAGTATGGATACTCTCCCATCCGCTTCTGGTTCATTCACACACAGGTTTTCGAACCACGTGGTGTCTCTGTGTACTGCTAATCTGTGTGGCAGATTGTATGAGTATTTGCTCCCTTTGGGCATCTGTGTATGTTCTGTCTGTGAGGTCCTCCCATCGCCTTTTGAAGGCTATGTTCCGAACTCGGTCTCCCAGTATAATCCGTTGGTATAGTATGGATACTCTCCCATCCGCTTCTGGTTCATTCACACACAGGTTTTCGAACCACGTGGTGTCTCTGTGTACTGCCAATCTGTGTGGCAGATTGTAGTAAAAATGTCGTAGTTGCATGTATCGAAACCTGTGCATGAGTGTGGGGGTGTCGGTTCCGGTCCATTCACGTATGTTCTTCAGTCCTGCGTTGGTTAGCGCCTCCTTCAGGGGTAAATAGTCATCGCCCTCTGTTGTTAGCCATGCACTCCTCGGGAGGCCGTCTCCTAGGTCGATGTTATATGTTAGTGGGATCAGCGGGCTCGGTTGGGGGGATATATATGTTTCTTTTCTCATTATGGCCCATGTTTTCAGCGTCTGTTCTATGGGCGAGGTCTTGTCGATATTTGGGGTTGCCCTCTGGGTGTGATGCCACACCTGTGAGTGTAGGGTTTTGTTTGTGCTTTCTCTATCTAGTGCCGCCCAGCGTTTGTGTTGAGGGGCCGTGTGCCAGTCTCTTATCCGTTGTAGGGTAGATGCGTAGTAGTATTTGCGGAAGTCTGGCAGTGCTAAGCCGCCCCACGCCTTGGGTAGGCATATTTTATCATGGCTAAGCCTCACTCTGTTCCCCTTCCAGACATATCTGCTAACCGCTGTCCTCAGAGTTGCGAAGAATTCCGGTGGTAGGTGCCAGGGTATGGTGTTGAAGTAATAGAGGAGTCTCGGTAGGATGTTCATCTTTACTACAGCTATGCGACCATGCCATGAGATGCAATCGTAATTCCAGGTTGTCAGGTCTTTCTGTATTTGATTGAGGAGTGGAGCGTAGTTCCGTGCGTAGGTTTCCGTTGGGTTGCTGGAAATCCAGATTCCCAGGTATCTCATCTGGTCTTCGCAGCTATGAAAGGGGTATGCTCTTTTGACGTGGTCCCAGTCAGGTGTTTGGGCTGAGATTTGTATTGTTTCGCATTTCGTGTGGTTTAGTTTAAGCCCGGATACTCGGCCGTAGCTATCGAACTCATCCATCAGTGCCGGTAACGTGTGTCTCGGGTCATCTATAAAGAAGAGCATATCGTCTGCATAAGCCGCAATTTTATGTTCCTGATCTTTATATTGGAATCCACGTATGGTTGGTGTTCGTCTGATCCTGTCTAGGAACGGTTCCAGTGTTAGGGCAAATAGGAGCGGGGATAATGGGCAGCCTTGCCTGGTGCCGTTGCTAATTAGGAATCCATCCGTGAGTGCTCCGTTGATTCGGATCCGCGCATTGGGGTTGCAGTAAAGTGTGTCTATCCACGCGAGCATCCCTCTCCCTAGTCCAGCTTTGTTGAGCGTCGCCATCATGAATTGCCATCTCACTCGGTCGAACGCTTTTTCGGCGTCCGTGGAGAGCATTAGTAGATTCTTATTTTCTCTACGAGCTAGGTGTTGGATGGTAAACGCTCTCAGAGTGCAGTCCCTAGCTTCTCTTCCTGGTATGAAGCCCGTTTGGTCCGGGTGTATCAGCCTGGGCATGTAGGGTTGGAGTCTGGTTGCTAGGATCTTGGAGAATAGTTTGACATCCGCGTTGAGGAGTGAGATAGGGCGGTAGTTCCCGCAGTTTTCTGGGTTCTTGCCCGGTTTTGGTATGACCGTGATGGTGGCTGCCAGTGTTTCGGGGTGGAATCTGCCTCCGTCTTGGAGTTGGTTTAGTGCGGCGGTTAGGTGTGGGATCAGGGTATCGCCAAATTTTTTGTAATAGCCTATTGAGAAGCCGTCTGGTCCCGGTGCTTTGCCATTTTTTGCGGCCTTGATTGCTGTCCGTACTTCGTCTTCTGAGATCGGAGCTTCTAGGGATTCCGCTTCTTCGTACGAGAGCGCGTCGGGTTGGAATTCTTGTAGATATTGTTCTACCTGCCTGTTTTCTTCGCTTTGTCGCGTTTCCGTGTGGTTTGCGTGTGTTATATAGTTTTGTATAATAGGAGCGGAATTCGTTAGCAATTTCTTCCGGGAACTGTGTGAGGTGTCCGTTTGAAGTCCGTATCGCCTGTACCTGTGCTCTCGCTTGTTGGCCTCGGATCAGACGGGCTAGCATTTTGCCACCTTTGTTGGCGTGTAGGTAGTAGAAGGCTTTAGAGCGTTGTATTGCTCTGTGGTGTTTACGGTCAATGAGCTCCGTAAGTTGTCTACGTGCTGTCAGGAGTTCCCGGTAGTATGTTTCCATCTGGCTGCGCTTGTGGAGGGTTTCGAGGTTCGCTATTTGGGCCGTGAGGTCCGCCATTGCTTGTTGGTTTTCTCGCTTTTTGCGTGACGCAATCCGAATAAGGTGTCCCCTGAGGACGCTCTTGTGCGCCTCCCAAAGTGTTATATTCGACATATCTTCCGTGGTATTTTCTGCAAAGTATTGGTTCAGGTGTTCTGCTATTTGCGTTCGGATCGGTGTATCCAGTAGGAGCGATTCGTTTATCCTCCACGTCTTTTGGGTGGGTCTGAAGAGAGGGGAGTCGAGGTGTATGGATGATTCGCTGTGGTCTGCCCACGGGGTGGGTCTGATCGCAGCCTTTTTCAGGAAAGTGAGGCCTTCCTGTTGTATGAAGATGTAATCTATACGTGAATATCGACTATGGAGGGGCGAGTAGTAGGTATAGTCGCGGTCATCTGGATGGAGTGTGCGCCAGGTGTCTACCAGTCTCAAGTCCTGGAGTGTCTTGCGAATCCTTCTGATCGCTGCCTGTGCTATGGAGCTGTGTCCCGTGGATGAGTCAGAGAGAGGTTCCAAGGTTATGTTAAAATCTCCTCCAAGCACTAGGATGCCTTCCGTGAATGCGGCTAGTTTTAAGAGTGTTCTGCAGAGGAATTTGGCTTGGTTCTTATTCGGGGCGTATACCGAGGCCAACGTGTATGTTTTCTGGGATATCATTCCCTTCACAAAGAGGAATCTGCCATTTGGGTCTACGACCGTTTCGGAGTGTGTGAACTGTAGATTGGTGTTTAAGAGGATCGAGACACCTGCTTTCCGAGCTGTTGGATGATTACTGTGGAAGGTGGTATGGTAGTGCTTGTTCCGTAGTCTGTGGTTATCCACGTTCCTGAGGTGTGTTTCTTGTAGTAGGGCGATAGATACTTGGCGACGTTTGAGGTCCTGCAGTAAGTGTGCTCTTTTTTCGGGTGCGTTCAAGCCCCGGCAATTTTGTGTAATGATATGGAAGGGTGCGGCTGAATATGTCATCCTGTAGGGATGGGCCAGTATCTACCGTGTGTGTGTGGATAGGGTCCTATGGGGTTAGCTTCCGAGTTCTGTGTACTCTATCCGGGTCAGTATGCACTTATTGGTATTTCAGTCGGGGGGGAGAATCAACCGGGTGTGGCTCCCTGCTCTTTTCGGGTGGTAGCTGTGTCAAAGGTCGGGTGTCGTGAGTAGGGAATGGGACGGTGTGGCGGTCGGGTAATGAGGTGAGTCAGTGGGTATAGATGAAGGGGTGGCTGCCCCAGAGCCCCTGCGACTTGGCCTCCTGCCCGCTTCCACTGGGTGTTGGCTGGCCAAGGGATTCTCCTGGTAAGCTTTTTAAAGGGGCCTTGCTGTTTGCAAGTGTATTTACTGGTGTCTAGTGGTGGTTCGGATGTTCTCAGTGAATGATGAGTACCTGTGTAACTGGGTTGGTTAACAAAGCCAAATCGCCACTTAGTGTATACTAGGGCGTCAGGGCAGTGTTCCCCCCAGTAGTCTATGTATACACAGGGTTGGGTTGGGGTCGCGGCCTCCTAACCGTTTACGTTTTCCACTTAATATGTGGTGAGTTGGTTGTGGTATATAATGTGGTCTGGTTTCGTCAGCCGTCCTGGGTCTCCCGTCTCGTTTGCATTCAATTGTATTTGTTACGCTAAGTCGCTACATAAGTCTGGTCTTGATTTGGGTGGTATGAGTTCTCCTCTTGTGTGCTCCCTGGGCTCCCCCTAGACTTCCCAGGTGTGATCCCGTGGCGTCATGTTCTTGTGGTCACATGGGCGTTTGTGGTGGGCATATGGCTGAAGTGGCCCGTCCTCCTCGTCTGCTACGTTCGGGTGATCTCGTGAGCCAAGTCCTGACCAGTTGGTGGCAATGCTTCTTGTGAAGGGGGAGGGTACACGGGGGGGGTGGGGGGTGGTATAGGTCTTCTATAAAATCTGTCATTTAGGAACTCTGCGGTGTATGGGGGTTGCCATTGTGGGTATTGTTTCGAGCCCCCTGCCACCGCCAGTTCCGTAGTCGCTGCGGCCTACCTTCTACCTACGGCATCTCCTGTCGTCTAATGCTGGGTTTTGTAGCTACCAATTTCTCCCCCCGTCCAGTTCCGTCCCATCTATGTCTAATCGGGGCCTCCCCATTGACCTGTTTACGTGGTGGCTCATCCCATCCCGGTCTCTTACTCCGACGATATGGGCGTCTCTATAGCTCTATTACGCAGGTCTTTCGTGTTTAGGTAGGTTGTCACACGGGGCAGGCGTCTAGCGTCAAGGTTTGAGTTGTGGTCATGTCATCGGGGGGGGGTGGGCCCAGCCTGCTGTGTGCTTGCCTTGTCAGAACGTGGTTCACCCTGTAATCAGTGCGTGGGTCTTAGGCAATTTACTGAATCTAACATGCAACATTTGGGAACCTTATAACATTAAAACATTAGAACATTAAAACATTTTCCCCTTTGTGTCTCTCATTGTGCTTGTCCGCCTGTTCGGATATAGGTAATGACCCAGAGCAGTGTCCCACCTCCATCCCTGCATCCCCTCCACCCTAAATGTAGTGTTATCCCGGTAGCCCCATATTAAGTGCGGTATTCCCCGACATTTAGTCTCAGGTTCCGTATGTGCGCGGCAAATAGCGTAGTACTTATCTGGGTCTGTCCTTTAACTTATAACTGACTGTCGCTTTTGAGAGGATAAAAACTCTCCACATACAGCCTCTTTGGCAATTCTTAGAAACGTTTAAATTAACAAAACATACGCAAGTAGGCAGGTGTGTTATGCTATTAGCAGGGAGGACGTTATTGCAACAGTTTCTCTATATTACAATGTATTCTGGTGTTTCAGTATATAATTGTATTAACCTTTCCTTAGTATGTAACTTTGTTTCTGTAGGAGATTTTTTTTACAACTGTATGCAAGGGTTATTAAAAGACACTTAAGTCATCAATACAGCTTTAGCATAATAAAGCAGTTTTTGGTATATAGATCATGCCCATGCAGGAGTTAAATCACTTTGTTTATGCAGCCCTAGTTACATTTCCCTGCATGTAACTTTCACAGCCTTCCTAAACACTTCCTCTAAAGAGTCATATAAAGTTTAGACTGCCTTTACTGTAAATTGTGTTTAATTTAGAATTTTGTACATCCTTCTCTGTTAATAACTTGCTAGAATCTCCTGTCTGCAAATAAAGTAACATTTTTCAGAGCAGGAGATATACATTTTTAAAGTGTGCAACAGCTGATTGAAAATTAAACCTTTTTTTTTACACACAGGCTGTGCCAGTCACAGCCAGGCGAGGTGTGGCTAGGGCTGTATAAACAGAAACAAAAGTGATTTAACTCCAAAATGGCAGATACTTTAGCAGTGAGACTTCAGATGCATTAACTATGCATTCAAACTGCTTAATTAAGCTAAAGTTGTTTTGTTGACTATAGTGTTCCTTCAAGTTATGCCAATTATTTTCAGTCTATACATTTATTTCATTTTTATGTTGGGTATGAGTAATTCTATACGTGGATTAGTGTTAATTTGGGATAATGCTATTTGTACTGTGACTTGAAGGGTTACATGAAATAATGGGGTAAAAGGTGTTTTTATTTAGTTAATGCGTTAGCTTCCTTTGGTGTAAATGATAAATTCCTATGATTAAGTGCAATTTTTTTTCGCAAAATGTGTTTTAGGTTTTATTTTATGCCCACAGTGGGGCTATATGCATTTTAACTTTTGTTCAGTTTTATAAGTAGTCTGTACAGCATTATTTTTTTTTTTTTCAGTTCTGTCTTCGTGCTCTGGGACAGATGTAGTAAAGACAGTCCAGTGAAACTTTGGCCATGCAATACGATAAACCACTTATTACCTGGCTTATCAGCTGTGTTGTATCTAATTTGTTACCTTCATACTAAAATCATTATTATATCCCTGTTTTATTCTAGAATAGAAATGTCATGATTATGTTTCATTATGTATGTGCACATGTAGGGTTTAGTGTATACTGACATTAATTTCTAATGTTTCCAGAAGGCTAAGATATTTCCTTGCAATGAACTCTCTCAGGTCAACTAGCATACATGACCAAAGTCTGCTGGACGAATTATTGCCAGATTTACCAAATGGGCCACTGTCTGAGTACCGAAAAAAGGCTTCCTTTAACTGGAAGGAAATGGTGTTCTTTTTGGATGATGAAGATATAGTCCAATTTAAGGTTTGTTACAAGATGTGTGAAATGTATATTATAGCAAAATGTTGCTGTTTCAAATGTTGCAGATCTTAATATATTGAGCTTGTTTTTATAAAGAAAATATTGAGAAGGCCAGTGTTGCAGTAGATTGGTGGCTTGGATCCTTCCTGCTCACCAATACGCTTAATTATATAAAACAGACTTACTGAGCAACAGTATGCATGCTGTTAATAGGTGTCAAATAGTTACATATATGTTGTTCATTAGAATAGACCTCAATGTTTGTTTTTAACCCTCCCACCCTTACCACAATGACCTATGTTTTGGCCGTGACATCTTTCCTGGGCTCTGGTTTTTCTCACAATTGCCTATTTAGCCATGCTCTTAATTCTACTACATCTGCCACTGTCATACTTGCATTTAATTGACCACAACCAGACATGTGCACATAGCTAACCACTCATTCATGCACACACACACAATTAGGCAATCACTCACACACACAAATGCAGATGTACTTGCCAATCACTCACCTCTGCATATAGTGTTATGTAGACAATCCTACGCACAGACATATGCACACATTCATAATCTAAACATATTATACTCGCTGATGTAATTACTATTCCTCTCCTGACTCTCTGTTGCTCATGAGGAGCTATGGCTCCAGCTGGTCCCTGGCGTTAACCACAATTTGTTTCACCTTAAGAAACATACACAATGACATCACCTCTTGGTGCCACTGCATTATATTCATAAGTAAATTGTTTGTCTAGTGAGTAGTTTGCATCATTATTAATGTTTTTCATGTTTGTTTTTGATATGCAGAACAAAATCTTTTCCACTCTTGAAAATGACCCCCTTTTTTATCGACAACCTGGTGAAGACTTATCTTTAGAAAAGTACAGAGAGCTAACGTTCCAACGGTGCAAGAGGATCTTTGAATATGACTTTTTGACTTTGGAAGAGACTATGGGAAAGCCCCAGAAAATATTGGCTCTAATTAACTGTTTGGGCATGTACGACTGGTCCTTGGGTGCAAAATATTTTCTAAACACACAGGTAACTTTTATAAACAACGAGTTAATGTATTTCTATATAATTTTTTTTCATTATTTACTCATAAATGAAATTGTTGTTCAAGGTCTGATAGATGCTAATTAAACACATGTGGTCAGATTTCCCCACAATCATAGGTCAAATATTTAGGGGCATGGAGCATTCTATCAAATACAAAATCATATCTCAACTGCAGTGTAAAGAACTCTAAAAATGGTTTATTTGACAGAGATGTGCCGTTTTCAAAGTAGTTGCTTTAGCGGAATTCTCAAAGTATGTTTTAGTCTTTCATTTGTATGTCACATTTACATTTTTATTTTAGGTATTTGGCAGTGCTATTGCCAATGGTGGCTCAGAACGACATCAGGCAATTCTTCAGAAAACAAGAAACATGGAGGTTGGTACTCAAACACACTCTTCTCCCCGGCGTGCATATCAAGAAACATTAGATGTTACCCTATCATACTCTGATTGATTTATTTATATATATATATATATTTTTTTTTCTTAATTAAAATAGTTTGGTAGAGCATAGATAGAAAATCATTTAGAACATATACAAAAACCTGTAATCAAATCCAATTTTCGTGCTCGTCATTTTTATAGTATATATTTTTATTCTATATTATTTTTTCTTTGTATGTCAGTGGTCGTGTGATTGGGGTTTATTTTGTCTTTGTTTTCCAATACAGATTCTCACAATCACCAGATTCAAACACATATTGTTATCCAATAGGTCTAGACCGCAATTAAAAACTCAATTAGCTTAAAGAACCACTATAGGCTCCCAGACCACTTCAGCTCAATTAAGTGGTCTGGGTGCCAGGTCCATCTGTGGTTAACCCTGAAGCTGTAAAAATAGCAGTTTCAGATTATTTTTAGGATGAGGGGGGTTGGTAGGGGTTATTTTTTTGGGGGGGAGGATGAGGGTGAAGGGGAGGGGTGTAAATTTTTATTTAGGGCCCCCACTCATCGCCCAGTGGTGGGGGCCATTGGGGAGGACAATAGGTCTCCCTCCCCTTATCCTAACTTGGGGCCCCCACCCACCGCTCAGGGGTGGGGGCCGTGGGGAGGACAATAGGTTCCCCCCCCCCTTATTCTAACTTAGGGCCTCCACCCACCGCTCAGGGGTGGGGGACGGGAGGGAGGACAATAGGTGCCCCCCCTTTATTCTGAATTTAGGGCCACCGCTCAGGGGTGGGGGCCGGAGAGGAGGACAGTAGGTTCCCCCCCCCCATTTTACTTTAGGGCCCCCAAATGCCGTTCAGGGGTGGGGGCCAATAGGTTTTTATTTTTTTTACAGTGAACAGCCATAGGCTGCTCACTGTTTAATAGACATGTCCCTACTCGCGTTATAGTGAGTAGGGGCTGAATTTACTAAGTAATCTTTACTTAGTATTAGTAAATGTGGCTGAAAGACCAATTTAGGTCTTTCAGCCTTTTGGTAGATAGCTCACATGCTGCATTGGCCAATCAAAGCCATGCCATTAGTAGGCATGGCTGTGATGGCTTCTAAGGGCACACGAGTCAAACACTTGTTGATTGGCTGCCCTGCAGCCTTTCACAACATGCCATTAAATCGCCAACTCCAACCCGAACATACAGTGAAATGTCAGTGTTCGGGTCCGGGGTACAAAATTCGTAATGTTCGGTACGAACCCTAACTTTTCAGTTCGGGTTCGCTCAACTCTACAGAGGGTGTGTCTCAAACTGTAGCTGTCTGTAAACCTGCAGCTTTGACTGGGGGTGGGGGTGGAGATAACTTTGTATATATGCTAAATAATTTTTTATATGCATTATCTTTTAATATTTACTCAGGTAAAATTCACTCTTACTTCATGTGTTACCTGTAACCCATTGAGCCTAAATAATACATGTCTTTAATGTCAACATATTAACCCAATACATGTTTTACTACTATTTCTTTATGTATAGATTTTTGGATGTTTTGCACTGACAGAGCTCAGTCATGGAAGCAACACCAAGGGTATTAGAACATCTGCAACCTTTGATGCCTCTACTAAGGTACAAAGTAAAAGGAAATATTTACAAAAAAATTAAATTGCCCCAAGGGTCATTGTTTGAACAGTACCGTTTGTATATCTATGCTTAAAAATGCTTGTTTAATAGATGGGTGATAGATGATAGATGTATCACGCAGCTTCACTTGTGTTTTGCCAAAGGATAAAAACTGAATAGCATTTGACATCAGGTGAAATCTCACACATCGGCCTAGAAAATCAATAAACTTAACTGAAAATCAATAAACATCAAAATTGTAAAGCTGCTTTTTGCACACTTTGTTGTGATATACAATTAGATTTCTTTTTCAGGAATACTTTTGTCCAGGGCTTCAAATATCAAGTCCTCTGCTACTGGCCAAGCCTTAAAGGTACACTATCGGGTCAAGAACATAAACATGTATTCCTGATCCTACAGTGTTAAAACTACCATCTTGCCCCCCCTTTTCCCTTCCATTGTCTCGCTAAATATAGTAAAATCTTACTTGTACTCAAGTCTGCTGCTGGCTCTGCCTCTCACCTGCCTACAGGTCATCATCAGAAGTGATTATGTGAGCCAATCACAATGCTTTCCCATAGGACTGGCTGAGACTGTCAAGGAGGCAAATCGGGGCAGAGCCAGCACAAGTCAAACACAGCCCTGGCCAATCATCATCTTCTCATATAGATGAATTGAAAAGACAGTGTTTACTGCAAAAAAGCTGAAGGGAATGATTCTACTCACCAGAACAAATACAATAAGCTGTAGTTGTTCTGGGGACTATAGTGTCCCTTTAAAACTTACTTGCCAATGCAAGCCTGGATAATCCATGGCTTACACACCAAGGCCCTGCTTTTGACATCACATCAGCATACTAACCATTACTCTATCTTAGTTGCAAATATTAGTTTGAGATCTGTTATTGTTAATAAACTGATTTCCATAGGAATGCAGAGCTTTCACCATTCTGAGATGTTAATTAGCATATTTCTGGATGGCTTGTATTGATCCTGAGCTGTATACTCCCACCAACACCTACAGCATCAAGCAAATTGTCAGCACGTTACTTTACCTTTCATATTCCAATGAGATTGTTTGTTTGCAGATCTTTATCAAGAGAAAATTAACAAAGGTCAAAAACCTATCTAATTTTTATAAGTGTAAAATCCTTGAAAATCCATTTGCCTCATTTGTAACACTACAACTGCATTTGCTGTTATTGTTTACTTGTGTTTGTATATGTTCTTTCTTTTTATATTCAGGGTCAAGTTATACAACTTTAGGATGGGGAGAATAAATGACTATTGCATATTTGTTCTCCCCATCCAGAAAATTGACGGACTCTTTATTACCCTGTATAACATTCTAACGTGCTTCCCAGGACATACCTGAGTATGCGATCGATGTTTCAATGTATGAATTCTAGTCAAACACAGATACTGAAAAACTGCAAATTGGTGGCACCAACTAAATAGTTATCACAGAGAAATGTATGATTTCTACTTATCACGGCATATTCACCTTCATAAATTATTCAGAAGGGTTTTACTGGAAATAAAAAAAACAACAAAAAAACACCAATAATCTTACAGTGCTTTATACCCCCAAATGCTTGTTATTTAATGCGGACAGTGGAGGAGATTTATGATAGTGTTAATTATTTTTTATTTTTTTTAAATGGTTTATAGGAGGTGAAGTCACCATGAAAAAATGCTGTGTTTTTTTTTTTTTTCATTTTTGTATCAATTTTTAGAATAAAACTTTGATAAATTTCCTCCAAGCATCACCAGATTTTTCAATATAAATGTTGTGGTATTGTCCGTATCGGGAATAGTGCCATAAATATGATCTATAAGCAACCAACAGCTAAAATTATAAAATGCCTGGTGTGTCTTTAGACACTGAAAATAAGGGAACCCAAATTCAGCATGGTGGAAAGAATAGTTGTTCAAAGGAAATTATATGACAAAAAAAAAAACTCTAGAGTAAATGGAGCCACAGAATAATTTAAAAAAGAGAAGTTTAAAAAAGTAACCAGATAAAGAGAACCCTCTAGAATGATCAAACCCAGTGAAGGGTGTCTAAACAATCCAAGTTGCAATATATTTTTGTATATATTTATACATAGTTTGTAAGCTCATTTGAGCAGGGCCTTCTTTACCTCGTCTCTGTTATATTCCGTATGTAAATTACTTATCAAATATCCCTATTTTTTATAAATGTAAAGCACTGCGGAATATGTTGGCGCTATATAATTAATATCCAATGTATATCAAAGATTGATGAAGAAGTAAAGTAGAGTGTATGTCTGTGATTTTCATCATTTGTATAGTGGCATTTTCATTATGGTATAAAAGCCTTCGTAATAAAAAATAAAAAAAGTATGAGAAAAAGATTGAAAAAATGTTAATGTATTTGCATAATATATATGTGTATCCGAAGACAATATGCCTGGAGTTGTGGGGAGGGGTTTTGTCCGGCCTAAATCTACCTCCTGACCTTCTGCCGACTATTGGAACCTGGTTACTAGGTTACCGCATACAACTTCCATTTTGCAGGCTTTGCAGCTGATGAAGGTGTTCCAGTATCAGTGGAGGAGACTCTGTTCCAGGAGTTGGCAGCCTGACTCGTGGATCAACCTCCTCCAGTTCTTTTCTTTTTGACCTTGTATGTTCGGCCACTCTGCATATCCAGTTTGGTGTCAGTACATTCGGCCTCTGTTTAGTCCAGCTAAATTTTCTTTGGTTCATGACATTCTGCCTACATTTGTGCCTTCATTACTTTACTTATTTACTTATGCCTCCCGAATGCGCCGGTTGGGAGGCAAATGGTTTTAAATATGACAATATATATAGTATGGATAAGTGCCAGTGTGTCAACTGTAGATTACTATAGGCAGTAAACACTGAAATGAGACGAGTCCCGAAATTCCCAAAAGAAAGTAACAATACAATATAAAACAATTTGTGCCAAAATGGAATAAATAAATCTTATATTCTACATGCGATTATGAAACAAAGTCCAAAGGGGACAGTCCAGTCATCACCAAATGCTCTTGATTCTATTGAGGCTTGGTGTTACGCTTCGGGGGTATATGAAAAAGAAAAGAAAGAGGGGGCCTATGGGGCAATATTTCCAAGCAAGTGAGGACATACAACAATCGTGTAAGTAACCCAAACACATTCTGTGGAGCTACCAACAAGCTCCGGGTTATGCTTGCGTTTAGTGGTATGATCCCATTAGTGGATATATCGTATGAACGTATTTCTGGTATCCTGATCTTGGCTAGTTTTATGATTACCCTTTCTCATTTTTAAATTAAACCCGAGGTCCGATAATACAGCCCGCCTGTCTTCATATTCCTGAAATCTACTTGGAAGTTGGGTAGTATAGCGATGACACCTCGCTTCTTAGAGCAGTGACTTGCTTTATAGGACTTTACATTTAGTTTGGTCTGGCTGTTCATGTTCCTTAGTCGGCCCTAGGTAGTCTTTCATCTGCTTGTGCTGCATAGCTTTCCTACACGGCCAACTCTCAACCTCATCTACAGAGGCATATCACCTCTCAGCCCAAAGCATAGTCACTTCCTCACATCTCCACCTTCTTGGCAAAGCAGTTAGGGCTTCACGTGTCCCGGCCAATCTATCTCAATTTTTCTTATTGTTCACGAGAGGCCACTACCTAACCACAAAGCTTGGTGGCATACTTGCCCAATTTATAGGTACCACCTCTTAGATGTTTTATCCGGCCTGCATCTACCCCCTCCCAGAAACCTCCTGGTGTTATGCTGATGATTGGAACCCCATCCATCTCTCTTTCAGTAGGTGGGCCCTCCCTTTTTTTATTTTTAAACCGGCCTACCTGGTCATCTGTTTCATCACACCTCAACCGACTTGCTTTTATTGGTATAGCTCACACTTGATTGAACATGATGTCCCATCTGGAATCTGCTGAAGCCCCTCTCCCAAGTGCTCCTATCACAACTGGGACTACTACAGCCTTCACTTTTGGTATTTATCCACTTTATGTTCCTTCTTCTTGATGTCACTGGGTATTGCCACATTCACCACCTTTGTAGTCTTTCGTTCCTTGTCTACCACCACTATGTCGGGTTAGTTGGGCACTCTTGCTTGTCTGTATGATGGTGAAAATGGAGACACCTAGATCACCTAGACAAAGTTATATTTATTAGCATCATTATGGCCTCTATTTCTCCCTCTACAATCATTTACTATTAATTATAAAAATTGGTATTGTCTTTCAAAAGAGAGGCTGTTTTTTGTGTTTAAAGTGCAGAAAAATGCCTTTTATGGATTAGTCCAGTAGCTTGTGTTCGGAATACAGCATTATGTATTTTTTATTTCTCTGTAGGAATTTGTGATTAATACACCAGATTTTGAAGCTGCCAAGTTCTGGGTGGGTAACATGGGGAAGACCGCCACGCATGCCCTTGTTTATGCTCAGCTGTACACATCTGATGGGAGATGCCATGGTTTACATTCCTTTGTTGTGCAGGTGAGCCTGATCCTGTAAAAAGATACAATTATTTTGTGGTTGTTGAGTAAAGCTAAAACTGAGCATTGTTTGAGTGATTTTAATACTAATGCCTGATATAATATTGTTGGATAAACTTTTCAAATTATGGAATATTATGAGAAATAATATTGAAGCAGGGGGACAGTTCAGTCCTTGTTAGTTTAACTTCTTCTCAAAGGACTACTCCAGTTTCCTCACCATAAAGCTATGCTCTGTTAAAGTCCTAGTGGATCAATAATTTGAGTTTGCTTGCAGTAGTTCTTGAAGAATTTGTGAGTGGATCCGTTAGACTTGTAGACATGCGAAATATGCCTGTCTCACGGACAACTGATCTAGGCTAAGTCAAATCCTAGTAAATAAAGACTAAACTACAAATCAAATCAAATGAGCTGTGAATTCCCTATTGCAACCACATTTATTTATATTATTTTATATATATTTTATTCTTTATCATGCTTGCCCCACTAGTCTGTTTTCTGTTGTGAATAGGCTTTTTAGCGTAGAAAATGCAATGCCAGAGCTGGTCTAAATATGATGATAATATCGTAGTATAAACTGAAACTCAAATACTGAACACTTGCATTATTATGTGTTTATTTAAGGAAATATAACACTTATTTATGCAGTTGCATTTTTCTGCAACTTGGGAATAAAAAAAAAAAAATTCTAGCATTATAATCAATACTATTGATCAGGATGTTAAAAGATTGTTACCTAAACACCCACACAGTATAGACTTTCAAATAGTGTTTTTATTTTATTTTTAAGGTTGCATAGCTAAAATGTTTTAAAGATCGCCTATCGAAACCTTTTTTTAGCTACAGTATTTTTTTTTTTCATGCTAATGGTCCATTTTTCTTTTGTGAGCTTGCATGTAATGGTAATTGCTCTTAATGTTTGATAGTAATTGCTATTTAATTGAGCTTCACAGCTGTTTCTTAACTTCAGTGAACCACTGCAATTAACTGTCCTTGAAATCCAGGTGACAGTTTTGTTTGAGTCCACTCTGTACACAGTTGATTGATTAGCTGCACTTGTAAATCTGTGTTTGAACATTACTACCACAGTGCCACGTTGTTTTTTAGATTTCTTTTTATGGACTTCTAAAATTAGGGTAATAATGTCTCTATTGTTTGCTACTAGCTACTACCACAGATTTATTACGTTTTTACCACCCTTCAGATCCGTGACCCCAAAACACTTCTTCCTATGCCTGGAGTGCTTGTCGGAGACATTGGAAAAAAGCTCGGCCAAAATGGGTTAGACAATGGGTATGTAATATTCTATTTACTATTTCCAAGAGCTTATAAAGTGGTTATGAATAGTCATTTGCAAACATTTTCTTCCCTGCCCACCTCCCCCAACACCAATAAAATCTGTGGATCATTTTATTAAACTTAATCCAGCAACCCAAAATGTCCTGTCTAGCTTTCCTGTTTTATTTATGTTATGATCTAATTTGATTAGGCCTGCTCTCTTTTTGAACACTTGTTGAATTGTTACCTTGCTCTCAAAATTTGAGATTGGTTTGTCTATGTTTTTCAAAATGATTTTATACTAATACTTTTATATGCAGAAATCAATGGGTGACCCTAAGCACCATAACCGCTTAAAGGACCACTATAGTGCAAGGAAAACATACTCGTTTTCCTGGCACTATAGTGCCCTGAGGGTGCCCCCACCCTCAGGGACCCCCTCCCACCGGGCTCTGGGGAGAGGAAGGGGTTAAACACTTACCTTTCTCCAGCCCCGGGCGGGGAGCTTTCCTCCTCATCTCCTTCTTCCTAGCGATGTCATCAGCTGAATGCGCATGCGCGGCAGGAGCCGCGCGCGCATTCAGCCAGTTCATAGGAAAGCATTAGAGGCTGGATTAACCCTCAGTATAAACATAGCAGTTTCTCTGAAACTACTAGGTTTATTAAAAAAAAAAAAAAAAAGGGGTTAAACCTAGCTGGACCAGGCACCAAGACCACTTCATTAAGCTGAAGTGGTCTGGGTGCCTATAATGTTCCTTTAAGCATTCTCTGGTCTGCTATAACCCAAAAAAGGAGATCCTTGTGTGGCATGCCCTTACTGCAGCTTTCAACAGAAAAACCTTTGCACAGAATGCTCAATGGTAATGACAGGTAAATAAAAACAAAAAAACAAAACATCAAGGCTGGATAAGCTGCAAATAAAACTGTAAATAAAGAGGCACCTAAAAAGAGACATTCCTTTTCTAATGCTAGGAAAGGTACAGAAGATGACTTTGATATGCCTGCTGGAATGAAGCTTTCCTAGTCCGGTATCTAATGAAGCTGGAGGCAAAAAGAGCTCTTTTACCTCATGGTATAATTAAAGAGATATAAATACAAAAAGTCCTGCGCTCAAACTCCCACTACTCTTGGGCGGCAGCAATGACCATAGTACACATCAGCCCCAATACATACAGTAAAAAGCAAAGAAAAAAGTTATCTGCGCTCTCTCCCAAATCCTTATGTATATTTAAACAAATGGAGGTTATTTAGTTACTCCAAAGACCATTAGAGGGAAATGCCCACTTGCCATGTCAAGGTGGGTCCTACACTAACCATTCGCCTTGCTTCTTAAAGAGATATGCTGGTACTTGGAGACAGAAGAAGCCTCCTTTTGCTTTGCACCCACAGCATACAGACTGGATAGGGGCTTGTCAGATGTGGGAGGAATATGCAAGATACTGGAAGGGAGTACAGGTATCTTTTATTTGTGATAGTAAACATTTTCAATTTTAAAGTATACCATTTGGGCTCAGTTCACCTTTCAGAGTGGTTCGTTTGATTATTTTCCTGCAAAAGAAAAGAAAAACAAATCTCACCACAATATTCTGATTATCATCAGTCAACACGAAAAGAATAATGATTGCCTCTTTGCATGATTTCAGCTGGATCATAAACGTTAAAAAGGGACAGTAGAAACCATCTTAGGAGCTAGCCGTCTTGGTATCTTTTTATAGACTCCAAAACAGCTTGGGTCTCCTTTTCAGATCACCAGATACAGACTTCTATATTAAATAAGAATTCCTGGTCTGCAGGAGAAGGTCTCCGCTTCAGAGTTCATGAACTTCCTCGAGGCTCTCTTTTCCATGGGCCTTGTTCGCTGGGCACATTGGAACATTAAAACCAGGGCAGATACGTTTCTTGCATTAATTCTGGTCAAGGCCTTTTCATTTTTAGATATGAGACTAAGTTTAAAATGATGAACCAACATGAAAATCTTGTGAGAGAATGCCTATCAGAAGTCTAAAATATTAAGGATAGATGCAAGCAGAAGAGTTTCTGGAACCCAACACAAAGGTCTCATGGCTCATCTTGTTCACTACACAAAGGCAACCATAAGAAGATGGTTCACAACTGCTGTTCAGAAAGCTTACACAAATAAATAATTTACACTTGCAGGAGAGAAAGGGTGTGTATGAAAGAGAAGGGGGAAAAAAATCAGAAAACCTATAAATCAGGAGGAAAAACGATTTCCAATGGTTTCAAGATGAATTATGACAGGCCTTTGTATCCTGGACAGTGTTGGTGAAGGTTTGTATGGATGATGCCTGAAAACAGCAACTTGGTCCTTCTCTAAACCCATTTGTTAAAGATGATTGTCAATCACAGCAATGGCTTGTGCTTCATTCAAGACTATGTTTGCTTCAGTTCATGCTTCATTCGTTTCTATTTTTGTATCAGAACATCCACTTAGTCATCTTTCATGCAAGTTGTTTTTCTTCTTTTGCGTGATTAGATTCCAATGATTATCATGCTATGAGTAGCCAGGAAAGAGATAATGCTTTGGGACATGACTGCAAATCTTTAGGAGGAAGAATTTCTTATTCCTCATGTAAATAATTGACTATTTCTGTCCTAACCAGCTTATGCCTTGGAAGTTAGCCGTAAAATGAAAATTCTGATAAGTACACTAAAAATATCCTCTTTTGTGAAGCTTCCATCGAACGGATCTTGTGCTGATTGCAGCTTATTGAGGCTGTTATGGATTTCAATAGTCACTGTTGAAAGCAAAAACGTATTGTCTCAACTTACTCAGCTGTCATTTTCCATGAACGTCAGAATCCTAGCACTTCCAGATTCGGCTAATGTTGCTCAAAAATATACACACTCCACAATTGCAGAAACACATGGCAAGTTATAAAACTGCATTCCTATATTAAAGATACCAGTAGCCACTCAATATAATTATAATGATATAACCTCGTTGTTCCTTTTATGCACTCTAGTCATCCGTGGACACGAGCTGCAATTCAGCATGTTTTAATGACGTATAATACACGGCAATGTGCAATATCAATTGCTATAAGCTTATACTGCCTAATATATTTCACACCAAGAACGAGAGCAGGTTTGAGACCTCATTCATAGTAAAACTAATTTGCACGAGTAACTGATCAGTATAATAATAATTTTTTTTTTTTTTAATATATATATATTAAATTTGTTTGAATTTTGGGGGGAGAAAGTTGAAGTATCTTTTCACATGTGTAATGCAGAACTTGGACCACAAGGTAGCGCTAGTGGATCAGAAATAACCCCTTTTCCAGTTATTTTTATTTTCCTAGGACAGCTATACAAATGCCTGCCAATACACGATGTGACTTTACCAATTATCAGTATATAACAAAATCCTTTAATGTTAACACAACATAGTTGCCCTTCATTATTGAATACTGTAAATTTGGTGTTAAATTTTTATGGTATTTTGTAATAATACATTACAAACTGCATGCTATGGTACTCATTTTGATATGGTTAGATTGTGCATTGTTAATACACTTTATGAAGAATGTAAGCTTGTTTGGCCAAACGTTTTTTACTTGGAAGTTTTGTTTACTCGTTGAATAGCACTGTGTCCGTTATTTATACAACATCAACATACTGCGCAATGTGATTTTATAAAAGTCCATATCACTGCACTTTAGCAGCTAAGCAATTATAAATGTTTGTATACTACTACGAAATTGTATGTGCTGTGTATTTGGCTGCGAAAGATTCATGGGAGTTGTAATTTGTGAAGAGCTAGTGATATAATATTTGAATACAATATGCAGGGCCTTAGAAGGGAAAGCGGTTCACAAGTGCGCAGTCCCCAATGGCAGGTATCCGGTGAAAATTCCGTAAATAGCACCCAGAACGCCAGGTTTCACTTTAAGGACTAACGAGCCATGCCAGCTCCTGTTATTAACCTAAACATTCTGGTGTGATCCAGCCATAGCAAAATGAATGCAGGTCTGATGACTCAAATTGGGTCTGGTCACCCTGGGTATTAATATATACAGGACAATGCCATGTCTTAAGAACAAACACATAGAAAAGGAGCTGCTTTGATTAGATCATTTTGGAAATTGGCGCATTTTCTATAGATGTCTCCACATAAATTCTGGCTCTATACATAACCTTGAACTATTTGAATATTAACAATGCAACATGTTTTGTTTTCTATGTAGCCAGGACTTCATATGTTCCAATATTGTGTTTGTAGCACTAGTATTTTTTACATTTGTTTTGGATCACTTTTGTTAATATTTTCTTGGCATTTAAATTGTTGTTCTTTCTGTTCCCTTATATTGGTGGGGAATACATATGTATTTTTATGTAATTATTTGTGTAATACAGTTTTTTTAGTTGTCGTGTCATGTCCAAGTACTGTCCAAGATCTATAGCATTTTTTTTTTTTTTAAAGGATCACAGTAAAGATATAAATACATCATGTATTCCTAATGGTAGACTGTTGCACTACCTGTTTAAATGTTTTGTCGAGACTAATTTAGCAAAAAAAAAATTCCACATGCGTTTATTCTCCCAGTGTCTCGGCTCGTTGACTGAGTTAATCAGTCCTGAAGAGCTCCGCCAATCCAATGCTTATCCATAGGGAAGCACTGAAAGGATTAGTGCACGTATGTGAAAATTGAGGTGCACCATCCAGCATCTCCTCTTACAGATTACTTGACCCTGCATTTCTATGGGGAGTGTTCAGCGTCCACATGCATGGCATGGATATGGTTAATGTCGGTCCTGCAATCTTTACAGGACAAAACCCAAGAAATCTCTTGTGGCTGCTGAGTGACAGCCATTAGAGGTGGTGTTCTACAGCAGTGTAGACAATATTATTTTAGAAAAAATATCGTTTACACTGCTTAGCCTGCAGGTGCAGGCAATTTGTCCCATAACTACTACATTAAGCTGTATTGGTTCTGGTGCCTGTAGTGTCCCTTTAAATGTTTTGGTTTGGTTTTGTATAAGGAAATCTTTGGCTATCCTGTTATGTTATTACATTAGTAAAATTTATTTAAACTCTTCTACGTAACTTAAATGTTTAAGAATTAATGTATATTAGGAATGGACCAAATTATTTTTCCAAGAGCCGATGCCCATACTGATTATCGGTCGTATTTCAGTGTTTATTTTCCCGCTCTAGAATTCTTTTGCAGACAGTTTGAGGTTTATTTACTGTCTTCTAACAGTGGAATCCTATCTTATGGGTCACTAAGCAGTACATTCTGACTGTGTTTATGTAAGAGCTTTTTTACTGCTTAATAAAACTCTACATTAACCCGTCTGTGTTTGACAAAATTAAAATAATCCTCGCACACATTATGCAGTTTGATATTTTGAACATTTCTTGCAATTTAGTCCACATCCTGCACGTTAACAGTTTAAAAAAAAAAATAAATTAAAATAATTGCATTACATGAACAGTGCAAACATGCAAATGTTAAAAAGTGTGTCATCTTTAGTGCTGTACTTAAAGGATCACCATATGGTCAGGAATACCTTTGTGCAGCACTGACCCAGGAAGCACCTCTAGTAGCTGTCTGAGTGACTGCCACTTAAGCTGTAGTTGTTCTGGTGACTATAGTGTCCCTTTAATAAATGTTTTTTTTAAAATGTCTTAACTCAATAACATGAGCTGTGTCGTGTACACATTCTTCATATGAGTTGTGGATATTTTTATGAAGAAATTACACTTAGCTACCATATAAAGTAGTAAGTGTACAACCTGTATAACAGTGCAAATTTTCTGTCCACTTAAAATAACTCAACACACAGCAATTAATGTCTAAACCGCAACAAAAGTGAGTACACCCCTAAGTGGAAATGTCAAAATTGAGCCCAAAGTGGCAATAGTTTGTGTGGCCACCGTTATTTTCCAGCACTGCCTTAACCCTCATGGGCATGGAGTTCACCAGAGCTTCACAGGTTGCCACTGGAGTCCTCCACCACTCCTCCATGACGGCATCACAGAGCTGTCAGATTTTAGAGACCTTGTGCTCCCCCACCTTCCGTTTGAGGATGCCCCACAGATGCTCAATAGAGTTTAGGTCTGGAGACATGCTTGGCCAGTCCATCACCTTTACCTTCAGCTTCTTTAGCATGGCAGCGGTTGTCTTGGGGTTATCATCATGTTGGATTAAAGGTGTGTTTAGCCCTGCAAAGGAAACATTGCCATACCTCCAAAATATTAATGTTTTACATTGCATAACCAAAACAAAATGGCAATTGCACCCAGACCAGTTCTTTGAAATAAAATGGCTTGGGTGAGTACTGTGGTCCTTTTAAAAATGAAGATATATTTCAGTAAATCTTTATTCTACCTGACAGTTTCCCCTAAATAGTTTCTTGAACCTGACTATACAAATACAAATCTTATTTTAACCATAATTCTTACTCAGCCATGTATTATAAAACAAATACCAACTCTAACCTTTAATAGTAACATGCATCCTAGTTCTACAGGTCTAAACCTAGACTGTTAATTTCGACTGGTCGCTACGATTGCCAATCACAGTGATCACATTGCCTTAGCCGTCAGCTAACATGTGATTGGCTCTCGGGTAAACACAGGGCATGGGAACATTCAATCCCTGTTGCTGGACTGTCTTGCTGAACTAGGTGCAGCTTGTCACAGCAATCCAATGTTTAGGTCAGTCTCTTTCACAGTATTGATGAATACCAAGGCAGCCAGCATTGACATAGCAAAACATGGGGGTACATATAAAAACATGACATGTACTATCGACCTGTGATGCCATTTAGCAAAGGACACCTGCACTTAAGGCATGGTGCCACGGACATTGGATGCTTGGTGAGGATTCAATCGCTAGCAAGAGCTCATCTGATTATCAATATATATTTAAAATTATACAAAAGCTACCAATCCAAAATGATAAAAGATTAACAAATGATACTTGCTTTTTAAAGTTTTGGTGTTTTTTTCTTTTGGCAAATCCAAATACATTATATCATTGGCCCTGAGCTTTTTGTTGCAAATATCATGTATGCAAATGAGGAATAGTAACAGTAAATTATACACCGAGTGTAGTGTAAAATTATACACAAAGGGATGTGTAAAAAAAAAAAAAAAAAAGTTAGATTGATGGGATTATTTACTAAAGTGAGGATCAAAAGTGAAATTCATATCGTGAAAGTCAGTTGCTATGCTTTCATTTTGGCTACTCTGGCCAAGAAATCTCACTTGAGTAAATATTGCTGTAAGTAATATTATATGAACACGTCATGCTTCTCTTCTATTATTATTATTATTATTATTTTTTTTTTTTTATATAGCACCATCAGATTACGTAGCGCTGTTCAACGGGTGGACTAACAGACACTTAATTTTAACCAGAAAACTGGACGCACAGGAACAGAGGGGGTGGAGGACCCTGCTCAATGAGCTTACATTCTAGAGGGAGTGGGGTATAGTAACACAAAGAGTAAAAATAGGGGTACGAAGTAAGTTGTTAGAAAAGTATTCGCTGAGGGCTTAGTTGGTAATTTTTGACAGTTGCAGGAGAGGAGTCATGTGGAGTGGGGGATGAAAACCTGCTAACAGTTTAATTGATATGCTTTCTTGAAAAAGTAAGTTTTCAATGATTTATTGAATGAGTGGAGACTGGGTGAAAGTCTTACGGAGAAGGGAAGGGAGTTCCACAGAAGAGGTGCAGCCCTGGAGAAATCTTGGAGGCGAGCATCAGAGGTGGGAGTACGGACAGAGGATAGACGTAGGTCTTCGGCAGAGCGCAGGGGCCTCGACGGGACATACTTGTGTATTAGGGAGGGTCGTTAGGTTGGAGAAGCATTATTTAAGGACTTGTAAGCAAGCACCAGAATCCTAAATTGAGCCCTATATCTAACTGGAAACCAATGCAGGGACTGACAGAGCGTGGAGACGTGGGAGGTGCGAGCGGACAGGAAAATGAGCATCGCCGCCACATCCATTATAGATTGCAGCTGTGCTATCTTGGAAATGTAAGACCACTGAGAAGGGGATTGCAGTAGTCAAGGAGAGAGAGAACAACAGCATGGACCGGCACTTTAGCCGCATATGGCTTTCTAATATAATTGAATCCAATCATTGTAGGAAAAACTAGAGTTTGTACAGTGGCCTTGCAGTTCAGTGCTATGTGACCACTTTGGAATACTTCAAAAATAAAAATGTGCATTTTCTTATTTTTGGCATTTTCCCCTTTTATTTCCTTTTTCTTCTTTTTCTGGTTTATGTTAAGGACTGAATAATGAGTTTGAACTGTGCATCACAGTCATTCTCCTTAGATCACACTCTTATTTTAGTTTTGTGGATATTTATAGAAAATTTAAAGTATGTGGCACAAATATTATTCAATCTAAAATGTTCCATTGTTTATTTTCACTTAAGGGAAAGCTATTTCTGAAGTTATCAACACGAGCAAGCGTTCTAGAGAGTAGAATTAGGAGAAGCAAACATTTTATTGCTTTATGCTCGTTTGAACTTCACTTTCATAACACAAGAGTTCTTTGAGTTTATTCAACATAATTTATTTAAAGTTTCATTAATTTCAGTGCGTACGTAAATATTTAGAACAGCCATAAATATTTGCCAAGCTTTTTCTGCGCACAAATGCCAAAATAAAACAAACGAGGAGCTTTTTAGCAGAGGTGAGAGCTGGCAATAAAGGGAGTCACGGCCAGCCAACTTTCTAGTATATAATCCTTTACACATACTTGGCTGGTTCGTTTTAGCTTATGTAAATCACATTTCTATTTTGCAGAGAAGTGCTTTAAGCAATTTTTTGTAGGAATAGTATAAGAAATAACAATGTTAAAACCTATTAAACATGTACTTAAATAATTCAATTATGTGTATGTTTGACTTTTGTGATGGGAAGGTTGACATCTGTGTCATGTTCAGTATATGTTTTAAATAGGGTTACTATTAATCATTTATAGCTGGCCAATTTGGAGAAGCTGATGGCATTTTTTGGCACATCTCCTCTTTACCAACCAGGAGCTGCTCTGCTTCTCGTGGTCTGATCTTATCCCATAAACAGCTGTCCACCATGCGCTTACGGGATAAGTTGTTTGTCCCCCAACCATAGATCCACTCATTACACGAGATGAGTAAAACTGCTCAATAAATTGATGGTGGTTATTACTGTGACTAATCGTTTATACGCAGCCCAGTATACTGTATTGTAAACCAGGATGTGTGCAGAGTTTAGCAAAGACACTTACCCGACATGTGCATGAGGTCACCGTGTGCAATAGTGAAAACATCTCTCCCATCCGAGCACAAGTTAAACAAAAGTAAAATTAGACTTGTGCAAAAATTAAGTGTGTTAAATAGTGTATTTGTTTCTAAATCTAAAATGGCTATAAACTAGTTACTTGACACAGTAGCTAAGTTTCCTTAATGTGCGTCTAAAAGCTGCCTCACTATTGCCTAATCCTAATGCATTTAATTTTAATTGCCTTCTGTATCTGTCCTAATGGTTTTAATTCAATATTTTCAGGTTTGCAACGTTCCACAGCGTTCGGGTTCCTCAGGATTGCCTTCTCAATCAAACTGGTGACATTTCGTCAAGTGGCACCTACACAAGTAAATACAAGGTATGTGTGTGCCTGGTAAGCAGGACCTGTGTATCACAATCAGGTTGGTCTGTTCCACTTTCTGCAGAAATAGTATTCTTCTATAACTCTAATCCACAATTTTCTATTACAGTTGGGCATACTATCATTAATAATTCATTCTGCTTTTAAAATTCACATTTTTAAAAAAAAAAAATTTTAATTTTTTTTTTTTATAAACTTATCCTGTATTCTGCAAAATAACTAAACCTTTTTTTTAATATTGTTTTGAAGCATACATTACAAGGTAGTCTAATTCACAGAACTGCTTATGATGGGCTTAACCATTTAGTTTATATGCTGTTTTGCAGTTAGTTGTATCCAAAAGTTTCTAATCCAGTATTAATTAAAATGTTCTCTTGGAAAACCTAAATGCTCTTGAAGTGTACGTTTAAACAAATGTAAGGGCCTTTTTACTAAATAATTAATTAAAACTTAAATGGAGGAAACAAATCACATTTGAAATAAAATGCCTAAATTTGCTATAGTCACAGTTTGGATATTCTAGCCTGAGTTTTGAAATTTTGTTTTCAATACGCTGGAATTTACAGTCTAGTTAACACTATTTTGTCTTTTTCTCCAGTACAATTTTCAAAAATGTGAAAATTGTCAGGAATTCAAAGTGAATTTCAAATTTAAAACCAAAATAGCGGAGTTGTATAAATTCTCCAAGTTAGCTATGCTTCAAGTTCATTTAGTTTGGTCTTAAATTTGAAATTTACTTTGAATTCACACCGACTCTCACTTTGGTTATTAACCCTGATGGTGTTTTTGATTCTTGCAGGATCCCAAGCAACGTCTCGGAGCTTCTCTTGGTACCTTGTCCAGCGGGAGAGTATCTATTATTGGAATGGCAGTGGTGAATCTCAAACTTGCAATATCCATAGCTATTAGATTTTCTGCAACACGTCGACAGTTTGGACCAACTGATAAAGAAGAGATCCCTGTCCTTGAATATCAATTGCAGGTTGGCTGTTAATATTATTTGTGGTCGGTTCATTAGTGACTGTAAAATACCATAGGATTGGTTAAAGTCGGTGAGGTGTGCTGGAACCGACGTAGGGTGTAGGCCTGTAAAAAAGAGGCCTCCCACCCCCCGAAGGTATTGTGTGAATATGAGAGGGTGCGGTGGGTGGGTTGAACAGCATATGTCACGGCAAAGGTAAGGAGAGGGGAGTAGCGTTTTATAGGAACGCTAACTCCTCCCACAAATACAGGCCTTAAACATATATATTAATTTATTTTTAAAATGTGCACATTATTTGGACTACAACGTTTGACATTTTTGAACATGCATCAACATGTCAGCAAATCCATGGCAGCTAATGGTCACACTTGATTGACCATTGTCATTTATTTGACTCTTATGCTATTTTGCCGTTTGCTGTCATCTTTACAAATGCCTACTACGTCACTGTTTTAGCCATCTTCATTTACCTTTATTACTTTCATTTCATGGAAGCTGACGTGTCCTGGTAACCTTAGAGCTAGGAAAGCGAAAAAGGACAGTAGGTAAATTTCAGGACTGAATACATAATTGCAAAGTATTCGTGAAAATGTGGAAGTACATGTGAGGTTGCATATTGGAAGGTTATAGTGAAATCAAAATTATCAAATGGTTTATAAGCTGCCTATACTCCGTTACTGTGTTACTATGTTTAAGGGGACATTTCTCTATTGAAAAATCTCAAAAGTAATAGGTCACCGTTGATAAAGGACCAAGCATATCTCATATTTGACAACAAATACAACTATCACTAAATATACAACTCTGTACATTCTAGATGTCTTTTATTTTCACTGGCTAGTTTGTATTGGAGTGACTCAGCCGCTAAGATTTGACACCTGCTGGTTGAGTAGCAGAGTTATAGGGTTCTCCTTGCTGCTGTTTAGTGTGCCTTGTTACTTTTCCATTGTTTCTGTCCTCCTGAATTGTTCTTATGTAATGGATAACTTCTGTGTCTTTATAAACCACATCATAACTCATAAGCGTAGTTGCATCTTTGATTTCATTTTTGCTAATGTTAATAAAACCTCTACTTTTGTTTGAAAGTTTTTCTGGAGAGGTTTGTAGAGCATGCAGTTATCAGGAAGGACACGTAGGAAGTCTTAAAGCTCCGTATTTAGTAGTGGGGTTTTCTTTTTTTTTTTTTTTTTTTTTTGAGAAAAATAAAGCATTGCTGAAAGAACAGGGATTATGTATAAATTGTGCTGGGATTTAAAAGCTTCCAGTGATTACATTAGCAGTTTTTACCAGCGGTGTGCAAATAAGAATGCGGTGTACACAAAGTGAGCTTGCTATACCTCCACAACAGGGAATATTTTGCTGAAACATCTGACTGCATACCTATTCCCAATTCCCTATTCGGCTCACTGCCCAGTATAGTATTTTGTCTTAAATGTTTTTAATATTCATAGTACATGTGTCATGTAATTAAACTTTAACCAAGTAGGACGTGTTAAAATGAGCTATAGTTTTTCATTCAGGCAGAAAGAATTACAGTACATTTTATGGTACTATTTACTGATCCATTGGGTTTTCAGGTTAGATTGCTTAACATATTAAATTGGTTATCGCTGATCCATTGATGACATAATCTCTGCATTTTAAAGAGAACAATCCAGAGCAGAGTGTTTAAATCATTCACAGAAACCTTCACAGCATTAGCTATCAGTTTGTGTCCTGCTTTATCCCTCTTCTTTCCATCTTTGCATGTGACCCTCCATTCTGAGAACAATAAATATACTGTTCTCGCAAAAAGTCCATAATAACCAAAGTATTAAAAAATATATATATTATAAATAATAAAACGAAGCACTCTAGGCACCAAAACAACTTTGGCTTATTGAAGTGGCTTTGGTAAATGGATCATGCTCCTGCAACGATTTTAGAATTTGCTATGTTTGTCTTGTAACAACATTTTCACACAAAAGTATATATTTATATATTGTAGACATCACAGGCCATTTACCTAATGGTATTTTGATACTTATTCCGTAGCCAATATCTGATAAATATTTGATTAATTTTTTATTTTTTTTTAGATTTTTAGTTTTTTGGGGGTTTTTTTTGTGTGTATTTAATTTTTTTTATGTATACTTCATAAACCTGATGTGTGCTACTACTGTGAAAAACATAACGTGTTCAGCTAAAACTACCGAACTGTATCCCTAACACAATAGGATCCCTCTGCCCCATGGTTGAGCATCCAGCTACCCTCATACTAATTCTCCTATCTTATAATTTGAGCAAAACATCTTGAGAAGCTTCCTTGGGTGCTTTTGCAGGATATAGCCACTAGCTGATTAGCTTGCTTTGTCGTTAATAGAGTAGCGATGAGCCTCCAGGTGTAATGGGGTAATTCAGCACTGGAAACTAACTTTGGTATTCCCCGAATCCTCACATTACGTGCTTTAGCCTCTCTTCCAGGTTGCCCACTTGTAGTGTCAGGTCGACACAGCGCTTTTGTCGCAAGCCCAGGGCAACATCCGTTGCCGTTTGCGCTGTTCTAGCCCTTCCCAGATCTTCTTCCACTGCCAGAATAGGGCTAGTAAGACCACTGCCATATCCTCTTGTCTTGCATCAGAGTCTTAATATTGGCCTTAATGGATGGAGCAGAATCTTTCTGCCCTGGGGATACTTGTGCAATGGGGCATACCTACTGAACTGTCGCGATGTATGTCTAGTTTGCATGGGTGGGCTTTGGGAATTACAATACGATGTGCAATTCTGTTTTCTCAACATGTTCTGTTGATTCCAAATGCAGTGTGGCATGCTGATCTGATGGGCATTTTGACATTCTTTCCAATAGCATGTTAAATCCTCTTACTCTCCGGGGGATTCACACTTTCCCATCGTTTTTATTCAGAAATGTAAAACATTATAAAGTTGTTGTTTTTTTCTCCCTATTCTTATATAACCCATAATTCTTTTAATCCATCACTTCCAATATATTTACAGATTATGAGCCCAGCTCTGTTTAAGGACATGGCCAACAGAACAAAAAAATACAAAAGAAAGATTTACTTGAATGTCAAAAGGTTTACAAAATATTAATTCTCATGTGTTTATAGTAGAAAGACATTTTCATTTAGCGCAAATAATTATTTCATAATGTATTGTTTACATGTACAAGATCCAAACTTTATTAATTGCATGATTTGCTAAGTAAGTCTTGTTTCCAAGAAAAGTGGCCCAGTTCTTTATACTGTGCTAGAAGAAAACACTGGGGTTTATCCATTCTACATTTTCTTTTTCGGCTTTATTTTTTTGTTGTTGTTGTGGTTGTTGTGTATTATACTAGAAAGCTCAGCGTTTAGAATAAACAAAACCTGACGGGTTAAACGTATTTCCCCAAAACAAGCTAATTTGGAAGTATGTTCTACATTTTAACTGCCTTCTTTTGAATAAAAAAAAAAAAGAAAATAATATTTTCTTTGCATCTCTATGATACTTGTCTTATTAATGTTTTTATTTGTTTCAGCAATGGCGACTGATACCTTATCTTGCTGCTACATACGCTTTGGACTATTTTTCCAAATGCTTCTTCATGAATTTAATAGAGCTTCATATCGGTATTTTAATGAAAGATAAAAGTCAAAGACAGGTAAAGTATCACAATAAACATATACTCTTATTTGCATAATGTGCAGATTTAAAGTCTACATCTGCCAAAAGCTCTTGTGCTCCTAATTTTATTTATTTATTTTGACTGCGACTGAATTCCATCTTGTGTTAAAAATTGAAAAAAAATTGAAAATTCAGTGTAACCAGTTGCAATAAAGTATGTTTTTTTCCTCTGTGCGTATGTTATGCTATTCGATGTCCAAATATTAGTGATGTCAGCAGAAATTTACTTGTGTTTATAAAAAGCCAATTGTGCCTTAGGATCTCTGTGGTTTGTATTTTTGAAGTTCGGTGGATGAAAGATGATTTATTTGTGATAATTCCCTGCAATCTACTGTCTAGACTTTCGAAGTAATAATAAATCTCAACTCTCTGGTCAGAGAAATTAACTTTGCTGTTTCCTTTTGCAAACGAGGGTGATTTTTCCATTTCTCTGAAATTGCCTTTTTATTTATTTCAAGCTACTATATGTTCTATTGCTTGGAAATTCTTTCATAAATCCCATTTAAACATTTTCATTAATTTCATATGTATTATACACTTGTAGACATTACAGACTTATACAAATATATTGTTTTCTTTAACGCATAACTCTGTCCATGGCATTTGCTTAAATAAGAGCACCATGCAAGGTCAATCTTTCAGAAGCTCTGTATTTTATATCACACCTAATGGCTGACACAATATGAACCGAATTTTGTTTTCATTGTGTACAAAATGGCAACTTTGTCCTTATGTATTTCTAAACTACATACTAGTCTGTTTCCAGTCAAGGAAAAGAAAATCTAGGAAAAAGTGGATCACACTGCAAATTAGGGGGCACTCCAAATGGCAAATTTGTTTTGTGTCCCTTAGGTACGTACTGAGAACTCTCTGAAGAACTGCGCAATTGCTTCTCAATGCACATGTTGAATTCGGTTTTTATTGGATGCTAATACATTACATTTTTTGTTTTTCCCATTACAAATTGTAAAGGATATTGCTTTCTTTTTTTTCCCTTGTATTTTATTTGCCTAGATTCAAGCTTGGTTGGTTTGTAGTTAAAGTTAATGCAAGAGGGAAGTCTGCTCTGAAATTTAGAAGTGGATCCTGTCACATATACACTGAACAAAATTATAAACGCAACACGTTTGTTTTTGCCCCCAGTTTTCATGAGTTGATCTGAAAGATCTAAGACTTTTTCTATGTACACAAAAGGTATATTTCTCTCCAATATTATTCCTATATATGTGTTAGTGAGCACTTCTCCTTTGCCGGGATAATCCATCCACCTCACAGGATATCAAGATGCTGATTATACTGCATGATTATTGCAAAGGTGTGCCTTAGGCTGGCCACAATAAAAGGCCACTCTAAAATGTGCAGTTTTATCACACAGCACAATGCCACAAGTCTTGAGGCAGTGTGCAATTGGCATGCTGACTGCATGAATTTCCACCAGAACTGTTGCCTGTGAATTGAATGTTCATTTCTCTACCATAAGCCTTCTCCAAAGGCGTTTCAGAGAATTTGGCAGTACATCCAACTGGCCTCACAACCGCAGACCACGTGTAACCACACCAGCCCAAGACCTCCACATCCAGCATCTTTACCTCCAAGATCGTCTGAGACCAGCCACCCAGACAGCTGCAGCAACAATCGGTTTGCATAACCAAAGAATTTCTGCATAAACTGTCAGAAACCGTTTTAGGGAAGCTCATCTGCATGCTCGTCGTCCTCATTGGGGTCTCGATCTGACTGCAGTTCGTCATCGTAACCGACTTGATTGGGCAAATGCTCACATTCTATGGCATCTGGCACTTTGGAGAGGTGTTCTCTTTATGGATGAATCCCGGTTTTCACTGAATAGGGCAGATGGCAGACAGTGTATATGGCATCGTGTGGGTGAGCGGTTTGCTGATGTCAACATTGTGGATCGAGTGGTGGTGGGGTTATGGTATGGGTAGGCATATGTTATAGACAATGAACCCAGTGCGTTTTATTGATCGCGTTTTGAATGCACAGAGATACCGTGACGAGATCCTGAGGCCCATTGTTGTGCCATTCATCCACGATCATCACCTCATGTTGCAGCATGATAATGCATGGCCCCATGTTGCAAGGATCTGTACACAATTCCTGGAAGCTGAAAATATCCCAGGTTCTTGCATGGCCAGCATACTCGCCGGACATGTCACCCATTGAGCATGTTTGGGATGCTCTGGATTGTCGTATACGACAGCGTATTCAAGGACCTGCCAATATCCAGCACCTTCGCAGAGCAATTGAAGAGGATTGGACCAACATTCCACAGGCCCCAATCAACAACCTAATCAACTCTATGCGAAGGATATGTGTTGCACTGCGTGAGGCAAATGGTGGTCACAACAGATACTGACTGGTTTTCGCATTCCCCCAGACCTCCCCAATACAGTAAAACTGCACATTATAGACCTTTTATTGTGGCCAGCCTAAGGCACACCTGTGCAATAATCATGCTGTCTAATAACCTGTGAGGCGGATCTTGGCAAAGGAGAAGTGCTCACTAACACAGATTTAGAGAAATAGGCCTTTTGTGTACATAGAAAAAAATCTTAGATCTTGGAATTCAGCTCATGAAAAATGAGGACAAAAACAAAAGGGTTGCGTTTATAGTTTTGTTCAGTGTAGTTGCTGTAAACTGTTCTTGATGAAGAATACCAGTATAGTGTATAATTCTTATTTTTGAATATAACTTGCTAGCAAAGCATATGTAGCGTAATTATAGTAGACTTCTCTGATTAGTTTTTATGAGAAGTATAGATGTCATTTATAGACATTTTAATGTTGTTGGTTTTCTTTAATAGGCTGAGATGGCATTGCCATACACTGCTTTCTGGAGCCCCTTACCTCCCCAGACATTTATCATGTCTTTCCGTATTACATTGTTCCTCTTTATTTGGTCCATGAACAGCTACTTTTATTTCCCCACACATATGGTGGATCTATCAGACCTGCTGGGACCTCTTCCTGGCATGACATGACAATATAATGTTATGAGTCCACGATCTGTGGTCTTCGTCAATGACACACCCCGCAAACAGTCAACACATCGACTATTTTTTTTTCTCCCTACACCACAAAATACTTTGATACGATCACTCCTAAAGTATGTCTCTGCCTCTTTTACACCTGTAAAATTAAAGTATCCCTCTTTGTCCATTTGAGATGTTTTGAGGTATGGGATATGTACTTTAAAATCGACTATTGTAACCCAACTCCATGACCGAATAAGGTTACAATCAGCTTGTCTTTTCTGTCTGTTTAAACTGGATTGCAAAACAATTCTCTGATGGAATATTAGAGTTACGTCCAAGCAAACAAAACATAAAACGGTTAAATTAACCAAAATAAAGCTGACTGGATGAACGCCTGGGAACATTATCCATAAAATTCTCCATGTGTCAGTTACAAATCTGGTAACATTTGTTCTCTTTTTAGCTTATTTCTGTATTGCTTCAATTAAACTTTACCGGCATTGCCATTCAGTCTAATAAGCACAGCATGTGGAGCACATTTTTAATTATCATTGGGTCTAGAACTCTTTTTCCAGCACGGTTGTTTGTATTTTTTTTTTTTTTTTTACAATATTCCAAAACATATCTTCAACTACCAGAAAACTACATTCCGTATTATTTCTCGTTTTTTACAACTGTTAACAAATTATTTTTCTGCAACACCTGTGCTCCTAGTATAGCAATGGGATCGGAATTTTTTTTTAATTTTTTTTATTTTATGTACTCAAGTTTTTTTATGTGTTTGTGTCTGACATGCTCTTTTAACCAGGGGGTATTGGACTGCAAATTCTTTTGCGATTTAGTCATTTCCAATACAGCTTTAATATTTTGGATTTCTGTAATACTAGAACATAAACAAAATATAGGTATGAAAAATATAAAACCATTAAATTTACAATATGCCAAGAAAGTTAATTTCTGTGTACACCAGTAATTTCAATTATTAAACTCCACAATTTACATGATGAAGGCCAAAAAGCGCACCTATTTTCCTTTTATATTTTACCGTTGTGAGCTACTTAAAGGATGCATTGCATTTTATGGGTCATCCTTCCTTTCTATGTCTTACATATTTTAGGCAGAGCTTGGCAGAGAAATCCATGCTTTGTCTTCTGCCGGTAAACCTCTGGCATCATGGACAGCACAGCAGGCGGCGCAAGAATGCCGAGAAGCATGTGGGGGTCACGGATTTCTAGCGAGTGAGTATACAAGAATGTCATATCACAAGGGTGGACAAGATTTAGACGAATTGTGATTTCATCCATTAGTCAGCCAGAGTTAAGCAAAACTATTTCAGCTGGCTGGATTGTCTTAAAGTAAACTTTTTCAAAATGAGTAAAATAGTGTATGGATCAAAACAAAAATTTCAAAAGTGTGATGGATAAGCTTTGCACACCAGATATACCAGATTACTCGAAATACTTGTAACATTTTCTCAGCAAGCAAGGTTCTTTACTAAAATGTGGCTTGTCTAAATCAAAGTTAATTTACCTTACACATATTGAAAACAGACCAGATTTGGAAACTTTTATATTTTGAAATGAACTTTGAATACACATAATCCACAATTGTTCTGTTCGGGTTATAAATCTGTACCTTTTTGGTACACCGAGTCCACGAATATGATACAGACTAAAGTAAAGCAAGGGTAAAAACAATGTGTTTTACATATATTTTGTGTTTTAATGTTTAAATCTTTTTGTACAATGAAGGCAAACTGCATCAGTTAGTTATTTGCAGAATATACTTATATAATGTTCTAATGATTGAGAAATATGGTTTTAAAAGATGTACAAACATTCCACAAGCTAATCTAAACAATGTAAACCAGTCATGTCACAACTGTAACACAATTAATAGCCTATGTTTCAGCTATTATATGCTAAATTGGTTTAAGAAAGGGATAGCAAAACCTTTCAGTAGCACTGTGCCAAAATAAGACTTGGAAATCCATTGGCGTGCCAGTCCCATTTTTTTTTTTTTTTCCTTTGATGTGTGAGTTCTGCTTTTCTTATGTACGAGTTCTGTAGCTGCTTTGTGAGGTTGTTTTCATGTGTAAATGTGCTGTTATATTGTGTGTAAGCAGTCTGTGTGTTACATGTGGGTTGTGTATCATGTTGTGTGGTATTGTGTATGTGGATGATAGGTCATATTGCATTTGGGGTGAGTGTCGGGGGGGTTAAGGGGAAGTTGCATGTGTCATGTACATTTGTGTGTTTCAATGGCGTTGTGTCTAAGTGTGGGCTGTTTGTAGCATTTCTGTGTGGGTTATGCTTCTTCTGCAGCCTCGTTTGTATATCTTGCTGAGTGGATGGATTCCTTGCGGTCCACTCGGGCCCAGGCTGGCCAGATAGAATAGTTTGGGCTGCGGTAGCTCTTGCTGGCTGCTCTCTTCCAGCGTCAATTCCCTTTAACAAGTTCTGGGAGAAAGTGATCATAAATCACTTCCTCCAAGTGCTGCAATGAATACATTGAGGACTGCCATTCACCACCTTCTACAATCACCACTGGTGCTGAATGTTCAGTATCTGAAGAAGTCCCACTATGGAACATTCTCAGATATCTGCAGCCCCTTGCATGCCGTGCAAATTCACTTTGCTGATCACTGTACCAAGATATTGATCAGTTTTCTGAACTGGAAAATTGTATGTATTAACATTTTAACCCCTAATCCTAAAGCTCAACAACAGCAGAACAAATTGTCAAATTACCCAAATATTTGAAAATCAGTGAACCATTAAGGATTTATGAGTTTAAAGTGGGCACGCAGAAATTTATTCTTATGACATAGATGTATGTCTACTGTGGAATCACCATGTTATTTATTCTTTCTACAGTGAACCGTCTAGGAGACATCCGGAATGACAACGACCCAAACTGCACATATGAAGGAGACAACAACGTGTTGCTTCAACAAACTAGCAACTATTTACTGAACTTGGCCCCCTCTCTAGGTGATGGTAAGTATTTGTAGCACTATAAATGTCAGGAATGTATCCTGTAACCTGTAGACACATTTTAGTGTTTATGGTAACTGTAATTTTTAGTGAGGTCACTATGGTCAGTCCAAAATGGAACACTGCATACTGAAGAACCTGGTTGATCATCTGTAGAATCAATACATTTAAACCATACATAAATATAATTATTTTTTCTATTTGTTGCAATAGTTTCTAGGAAGGAAATGTTGAAATATGAGTTTTTTTACATTTTATATAGTCATTAGTGGTTTATTAATAGTCCTTATTATGAACCTTTTAAAGGAGCCAATTGGAATTTGCTCACTGTCACAGTTTACTTAAATTTAATTTCCAGTCCTATGTTTCCTAAATTTGTAAATGCAAACATCATGGCTCACATTGTATAACGTTTCCTTTACACTGATTTTCCAGTAGTTATAGCCCGTGAAATTCTACTTTTCACAGGAGAAACTCAGTCCTTGGTATATAAAGAAAAGTTGCAGGTGTTTCAGTAAAATATGTGCTCCGTGTGAAAGGATAGAAAACGTTTTATTGCATAGAAACCCTTGGAGAACGCATACCTTCTGTTCATTATTAATGGCCGCTTATAGCAACAGGACAAGCGTTTAGTTATTGGGTATTTAAAGCGTTACTCGAAGCACCATGACCATTTCACTGATTTAAAATGGTCATGGTGCCTGGAGTCTAAATATACAGCATTTTGCTATAAAATGCTGCAAATATAGAGATAAACCTCTCTGCTGGGATGTCATTAGCCTGCCCTAAACAAGAGTGGGAGTTTGGTTCAAATTTGGCATCTGGTGCCAGACAGCCAATGATGGCCTGCCTTCCCTCCATTTTGCCAATGTCCTCCCTCAGCCCACCCTTCCTGACAACCCTCCCTTACCGGTTAGTGGAGGAAGATAGAACTGAGGTGAGGACAAATGTAGCCTCCGCGCTCGAAAGTAATGTCTTTTTTTCTTTTTTTTGTAAATAAACTTTTGACCAACAGATTTTTACACATTTTTGTAAATATTTTATTATATCTTTTCATATGACAACACTGACAAGAAATGACACCTTTGCTACAATGTAAAGTAGTAAATATATAACAGTGTAAATTTGCTGTCCCCTCAAAATAACTCAACACACAGCCATTAATGTCTAAACCGTTGGTAACAAAAGTGAATACACCCCTAAGTGGAAATGTCCAAATTGGGCCCAACTAGCCATTTTCCCTCCCCGGTGTCATGTGACTCGTTAGTGTTACAAGGTCTCAGGTGTGAATGAGGAGCAGGTGTGTTAAATTTGGTGTTATCGCTCTCACACTCTCTTATACTGGTCACTGGAAGTTCAACATGGCACCTCATGGCAAATAACTCTCTGAGGATCTGAAAAAAAAAAAAGAATTGTTGCTCTACATAAAGATGGCCTAGGCTATAAGAAGATTGCCAAGACCCTGAAACTGAGCTGCAGCACGGTGGGCAAGACCATACAGCGGTTTCACAGGACAGGTTCCACTCAGAACAGACCTCGCCATGGATGACCACAGAAGTTGAGTGCACATGCTCGGCGTCATATCCAGAGGCTGTCTTTGGGAAATAGACGTATGAGTGCTGCCAGCATTGCTGCAGAGGTTGAAGGGGTGGGGGATCAGCCGGTCAGTGCTCAGACTATACGCCGCACACTGCATCAAATTGGTCTGCATGGCTGTCATCCCAGAAGTAAGCCTCTACTAAAGATGATGCACAAGAAAGCCCACAAACTGTTTGCTGAAAACAAACAGACTAAGGACATGGATTACTGGAACCATGTCCTGTGGTCTGATGAAACCAAGATAAACGTATTTGGTTCAGATAGTGTCAAGCGTGTGTGGCAGCAACCAGGTGAGCAGTACAAAGACAAGTGTGTCTTGCCTACAGTCAAGCATGGTGGTGGGAGTGTCATTGTCTAGGACTGCATGAGTGCTGCTGGCACTAGGGAGTTCATTGAGGGAACCATGAATTCCAACATGTACTGTGACATACTGAAGCAGAGCATGATCCCCTCCCTTCGGAGACTAGTCCGCATGGCAGTATTCCAACATGATAATGACCCCAAACACACCTCCATGACGACCAAGTGCCTTGCTAATGAAGCTGAAGGTAAAGATGATGGACTGGCCAAGCATGTCTTCAGACCTATACCCTATTCAGCATCTGTGGGGCATCCTCATACGGAAGGTGGGGGAGTGCAAGGTCTCTAACATCCACCAGCTCTGTGATGTCATGAAGGAGGACTCCAGTGGTAACCTGTGAAGCTCTGGTGAACTCCATGCCCATGAGGGTTAAGGCAGTGCTGAAAAATAATGGTGGCCATACAAACTATTGCCACTTTGGGCTCAATTTGGACATTTCCACTTAGGGGTGTACTCACTTTTGTTGCCAACAGTTTATACATTAATGGCTGTGTGTTGTTATTTTAAGGGGACAGCAAATTTACAATATTATACAGGCTGTACACTTACTACTTTACATTGTAGCAGAGTGTCATTTCTTCAGTCTTGTCACATGAAAAGATATAATAAAATATTTTCAAAAATGTGAGCGTTGTACTCACTTTTGTGAGATACTGTATATACATTGTGTATTCACTGGTGCTTTAATTTATTTCACAGATAATGTTACGTTTGAGACTCCTCTTGGATCGGTCCAGTTTCTTAATGATTTTAAAAAGATTTTGGGGCAAACTTTCAAAGCAAAATCAATGGATGAATGTCTAGATTGTACAGGTAAAATTAACTTAATTGATTAATGTAATTTGGAGTTTACTATGCAGTGGACTGTTATTTTCAGTATATAAAGAAAATGTGGTAAGCATGCATTTGCTAATTTTACATATTGTGTGTAAGAAAATCAACTTATAAATATATATATATATATATATATATATATATATATATATATATACACACACATACATATACAAGTCTAATTTGGAGGGGGGGTAAAGAATCATTACCATCCATAATACAGTTACAGTTCATGATGGAAAAATGTATTTGTTATTTATTTTGTTAATCTTTGTTGTGGCAGGTTAAAAAATGTGCCAAACTCAATCATTTGTCGGTGCAAAGGTTAGATGTTACAAGTTTGGGTTTATGATAGGGTTAGATGCATTCGAGCTAGGTATTTACATATGCCATATAGATTCATTGTTTTTAAGTTGTTGCTCATGGAATTCCATAATAACCACAATCAACTTTTAACTCACTGCTGTCTCGTTCCGCAGTCAAAAGAAAGTGGTGAGATAATCCTTTAATCCTAATAAACCAGGAGAGATGATAGTAAGTAGTCTCTAGGAAGAGAGAGTGCAACAAAACACTGGATTTAGCGGTTTAAAATTACCAGTCATGGCTGGTTCACTTTAAAGGTTACGGGGATCCTCATAATTCCTGACAACCTTTCTCCCTGATGTAAAGTACGTGTATTTGGTGAATTTCAAGTTTATACTCTTTGCACACCTTTCATTCAATATTGTCATAATAATCCTATAAAACGCAGGTCTGTGCCTTGTCCTCCCTATTACAATGCTAATCTTTTAGTCTACCATATTTATCCAGGGCATCCTTTGACAATAAATCCTTAAAGGATCACTATAGGGTCAGGAACACAAACATGTATTCCTGACTCTATAGTGTTAACACCACCATCTAGCCCCCCTGGGCCCCTCATGCCTCCATAAATATAGTAAAAATCTTACTGTATTCAAACCTGAAGCTGTAAATCTGCATGCTGTTAGACTCAGAAAAACAAGCAGTCTGCTGACATGTGATAGCCTGATCCAATTACAGTGCTTCCCCATAGGATTGGCTGACACCAACAAAGAGGCAGATCAGGGGCAGAGCCAGCATGATTAAAACACTGCCCTGGCCAATCAGCATCTTCTCATAGAGATGAATTTAATCAATGAATCTCTATGGGGAAAGTTCAGTGTCTGCATGCAGAGGGAGGAGACACAGTGCTGCCCTGTGCTCTGCTGACAGCAGATCTGAGTGGATGGTGGCATATTATGCCTCCATCAACTCCGAAGTCCCTCTGGTTCACTCTGAGTGACTGCAACTGGAGGTGTTCCTAGCTTTCAATGTAAACATTGTATTTTCTCAGAAAATACAGTGTTTACATGAGAAAGGCTGCAGGGAGCTGTAGTTATCACCTGAACAACCTCATTAAAGGACCACTATAGTGCCAGGAAAACATACTCGTTTTCTTGGCACTCTAGTGCCCTGAGGGTGCCCCCACCCTCAGGGTCCCACTCCCGCCGGGCTCTAAGGGGAGGAAAGGGTTAAACTTACCTCTTTCTCCAGCGCCGGGCGGGGAGCTCTCCTCCTCCTCTCCTTAATTTCTCGGCTGAATGCGTATGCGCGGCAGGAGCCACGCGCGCATTCAGCCAGTCTCATAGGAAAGCATTCACAGTGAGAAGCGCGGAAGCCCTCTAGCGGCTGTCAATGAGACAGCCACTAGAGGCTGGATTAACCCATTTATAAACATAGCAGTTTCTCTGAAACTGCTATGTTTATAGAAAAAAAGGGTTAAACCTAGCTGGACCTGGCACCCAGACCACTTCATTAAGCTAAAGTGGTCTGGGTGCCTATAGTGGTCCTTTAAGCTGAAGTTGTTCAGTTGACTATAGTGTCCCTTTAAGAATTATGTCCTTTCCTTTGCATACTCTGTTACTGCAATAAAAAAAGGGACATTCCACTGACCAATAAAAAAAACAAAAAAAAAAAACTCAGCTGTACCTACAATGAACACCTGCATGCATTCAGGGGTATATATATCTCTATCTTGTATAAGCTGCAGATGTCTTGTCTAAAGCCTTTCCCTTCTATCCACACCCATACTTTTTCTGTGGCTGTCCAATCACAGACTTTCGAATGCAGCTCAATTTTTTGCAAGACAGGTACTCTGGGCAATTGCTGCCTCTTGAGTCTAGCTCCACTGTGAAAAACAATCGGGATGTAATAGGACTGGTGTGTCTAACAGCCAGGGGGTTGTACCAATGTTAATTTATAAATGTGTCAATTAGAGCACTTCAATATTTTGCTTACAAACCTACTGTGCACTAATCTTGCATATCAGCTGCCATATAATCTCTTATCTGGTTGAAATAATAACATGGGTTTATTTACTGAACCATGAATTGCTCTCAATTGAAGCCACAGTTACAACTGTTAGCATAAAATTTCAGACTTGGAATTACAAGTTGTCTTTTATGGCCTATATGTTGCATTTTGATTTTTATTTCGCCACAATTTGCTATTTAGGCCCCCCAGTTACTCAGCTGTCCAGTTCAGACAATGAGATCAGTTGATCCAGCTCAGCGATAGCTACATCCTTTTGCCATCTCATTGTAGTTGTATTGCTGGGAGGTGCCTGTTTATTTTTCAGCATAGCTCCTCTCCCGTGGGGCCAACATGAATATGATTAGCACTTGGGTCACGCTCATCTATCTAGTGCAGGACAGTAAAAGTTTTTCCCTTGTGATTTGCTGAGACATAAACATGAACTCCACACCCTGACTGCCTGTAAGATGAGAAGACAAAGTCAGTCTAGACGCCACCTTCTCCTTAGCCGTGGGGCTCATTTATTTTTTTGAGCCTGTCACTTGTTGCTAAGCATTGTAAACAGATGTGCAAAATGAAGATGTTTGTGAAAAACTTTAAGTTGGGTAAAGTTTATAATTGTCTGCTTATGAAATGTTAAAAAATAACTTCGGTTTCAAATAGTGTCAGAAGTATCAGATTCATCAGACAAACACTGCACATTATTTTATACATGGCCATGCATTTTCCGAACTAGTTAAAATAACATTTTGCCCGTCAAATTATACGTGTCAGCTTAGTCATTCACCCGGAGACTACAGCTGCTTACAATGGATTTTCGCTTGGAGCAGAATAACCTCTGAATGCATACCAGGCTGACGGTACTAGGAATCTAGGATAGAACCTGTCATCCCAAAACAAACATCCCGTCCCAAGAAAATGAAATCTTTTTTTTTATAATGATCTAGCAGTATTGGTATCCCAGGGTGTTTTAAATCTGCTGGTTCTGAAACGTATTTAAAACATTAACCCTTCGATTATAAGAAGTCTTTGCTTCAATTGTGGATAAAACAGTTTGTGAGTTGACGCACTTACTCATCAGATCAGGAATTATTATGTAAAAAAAAAAAAACATTATAGTTTTGTTCAAAACTATACATCCCTGTTAATATTAAAAGTTTTTGAATTTTACCATATGTGGTGGTGGTGGAGGCTTAACAATTGAAGTTTTTTGGGTGACTTAGCCATTTATTTTATTTTGTTTTATTCATATATAATCTCTGTTACTCAACTCTCAAATCACTATTCGTGACTAAATCCCCTTTATTACTTGCTTAACCTTGCATTTTGGGTGAACAGGATTCACTTGACTGCTAATTAAAGGACCACTATAGGCACCCAGACCACTTCAGCTTAATGAAGTGGTCTGGGTGCCAGGTCCATATAGGTTTAATAGTAATGGTAAATGAATGAGACAGCACTTGTCAACTGATAGGCAGCAACCCTTAAAGGGGAATCCCTCAAAAACCCTTTAAAACAAGATAAAAAGTAACAAATAGAAAAGGCTGCACCACATAAAATATAATAAAAGTAAACAAAGTCCAAGTAATAAGAAGTCCAACTTGTATGTCCTTGCGAATAGTCTTTTTAGGAGGCTGGTATAGTGGTAGGGTGTTCAAATATAGTAGTGGTTCCACTTATATAGAAGATAAAAGAGAGGGACAACCAATAGTGCAATATGTATAGCTCAAATATGGACGTAGTATAAAATAATGGTAGAGAACTCCCATTTACAAGAGCTTAAATCCAGCTCTAGGGTAAAGCGCGTACAGTGGTATAATCCCCGCTTATGGGATATGTGGTGGGTACCTCTCCGTCAGTGGTGTCCAGTTCTTTTAAAAAATGAACTGTTCTTTAACCTCTGATGCTCGCCGTCAAGACTTCTCCAGGGCTGCACCTTTCCTGTGGAATTCACTTCCCTCCTCTGTTGCTCACCCAGTCTCCACTCCTTTACTCGGATTAAACGTCTGCAGTAGTTCAGGTGCCAAAAGCTTTTTTTGTGTAGGAGGCAAGTCTGGCTCCTGTGAGAACCATCTAGGTTTAACCCTATTTGCTGTAAACATAGCAGTTTCAGTGAAACTGCTATGTTTACCTATGGGTTAATCCAGCCTATAGTGGCTGTCTCATTGACAGCCATTAGAGGCGCTTCCGCGCTCCTCACTGTGATTTTCACAGTGAGAAGACGCTGCCGTCCATAGGAAAGCATTGAGAATGCTTTCCTAGGAGACTGGCTGAATGCGCCCGCGGCTCTTGCCTCGCATGCGCATTCAGCCGGTGATGTCAGAAGAGGGAGGAGAGTCCCAGCGCCGAGGGAGCCCGGCGCTGGAAAAAAGATAAGGGATTAACCCCTTCCTCCCCCTTCAGCGCCACGGGAGTGGGACCCTGAGGGTGGGGGCACCCTCAGGGCACTGTAGTGCCAGGAAAACAAGTTTGTTTTCCTGGCACTATAGTGGTCCTTTAAGGCTAATGCCAAAACCTATTGCATTTCAAAACTATGGTTTCCTTACATCATATAGTTCCTCTCAATAAATAAATAACATTTGAAAAATTATCCTGTATTCAGAAAGAACGTGCCATGAGCACTTAATGTGTCACATAATTAGTGATATAAATGCTATATCATTCACTCTTATATCACTATATATCACTGTTGACTATGGAAAGCTGAATCTTCGCCTTTACTTTAAAAAATGAGATTGAAGTACAAACATAGGTTTTCCCTTTGTATATTCAACATCCACAATATTCGTAGGCCACTCATACTCTTAGAACCGTCTGGTACTTAAGCAAGTAACTTGTATTTGTAGTCAACTCCAGCACTTTAACATCGAGATTCAAGCTGGCACTAGATGTCCATTGAGAGCTTCGTGAAATAAGGTTCTATGGTTTACAGGTCCACAGAATTCCAAGATACCATTTGCAATGGTGGAGTTGCTTAATGCTCGGTGTCACCAAATTGTGGATTACTGTCAATATTTCCTGTTGGAATGTTGAATGTTGTCCATCAAACAGTCCAAGAGATTTTTTGTTTTTATTTATTTTTTTGTTTTTTATGATTGAGTTGACATTTCAGTGGAATTAGCGCACATCCTATACACGGTTTTTAATCCAGATCTATTCTTGAAGAAAAATACAACATAACAGATCTGCCTTTATAACATGCAAAGATGTGCTGGACAATTCTAGGCTTTAAATTTTTGACATATTTGCAGAGACGTTCCTTTCTAAATATAACGAACGATAACCCAATGTTTAAAAGTGTTGAGTTATCTCTCTATCTATACCCATTTCCATTTTGATCTGAACTATATTGAAAGAATGGATCAGTAAGTTACAACAGACTTAAAGAACATATTAATACATATAGTGAAAGCATGTAGTTACCCTTCTTACATCACTTATAATAAATATGAAAAGACCTATATAGATCTAAAACGGTATGAGAAACTTCCTCCATTTTCTTATCTCTATCGCAGGAACCTGTGTTTTAATGTTGTATCTTATGTATGAAATGTTACATTGGACAAGCTAAATGGTTCACTAGTAAAATAATGAGATGTATAGATCAGAATTAGACATGGTAATAGGTTATAAATATGGAAACTTATATTTGTGCATCTCAATATGTTGTGAAACCACATTTTATGTTTGTGATGTAGTATGTTATCTTTCCAAAATAAAATAAGATAAATAAAAAAAAGTGTTGAGTTATGGAAAAACTTGAATAGCCTACCCAATAGCCCACTAAACATAGTTTGGATAAATTGTGGAACTCCTTCTGCAAATCAAATGTCAGAACCAATCAACCAGCATTGTACCGGACATCATTCATGCTCTTAATGGAAGTAAATCCCAAATTGTTACAAGTGGGCGGAATGATCAAAAGCTATTTTTCCTAAAAATTTACTGATACTTATGTACTTTAAGATGCTGTCTGGAACATTTTTCCAAAGTTTTTTTGTCATTTGAGTGATTGCTTGCATGGTTGTTTTGACCACTCTTTTAAAAATCATTCCATGTTGTGCTTTTATGCTTGCTATGTTACATAGATAGATAGATACAGGTGATACTCGAAAAATTAGAATATCGTGCAAAAGTTCATTTATTTCAGTAATGCAACGTAAAAGGGGAAACTAATATATGTGATAGACGCATTACATGCAAAGCAAGATAGTTGTCATAAGTGCAATGATTATGGCTTACAGCTCATGAAAACCCCAAATCCACAATCTCAGTAAATTAGAATATTACATGCAATCAATAAAACAAGGAGTGTACATAGAACAATATCGGACCTCTGAAAAGTATAAGCATGCATATGGACTCAGTACTTGGTTTGGGCCCCTTTTGCAGCAATTCCTGCCTCAATGTGGCGTGGCATGGAAGCCATCAGCCTGTGTCACTGCTGAGGTGTTATGGAAGACCAGGATGCTTCAATAGTGGCCTTCAGCTCTTCTGCATTGTTCGGTCTAATGTCTCTCATCTTTCTCTTGGCAATGCCCCATTGATTCTCAATGAGGTACAGGTCAGGCCAGTTTGCTGGCCAATCAAGCACAGTAATCCCACGGTCATTGAACCAGGCTTTGGTGCTTTTGGCAGAGTGGGCAGGTACAAGGTCCTGCTGGAAAATGAAATCAGCATCCCCATAAAGTTAGTCTGCGGAAGGAAGCATGAAGTGCTCCAAAATCTCCAGGTAGACGGTTGCGTTGAACCTGGACTTAATGAAGCACAGTGGACCAACACCAGCAGATGACATGGCTCCCCAAATCTGCACAGACTGTGGAAACTTCACACTGGACTTCAAGCATCTTGCCGTGTGTGCCTCTCCATTCTTCCTCCAGACTCTGGGTCCTTGGTTTCCAAATGAGATGCAAAAGTTGCTTTCATCAGAAAAGAGGACTTTGAACCACTGAGCAACAGACCGGGTCTGTTTTTCTTTAGCCCAGGTAAGACGCTTCTGACGCTGTTTGTTGCTCAGGAGCGGCTTGACAAGAGGAATACGACATCTGAAGCCCATGTCCAGGATCCGTCTTTGTGTGGTGGCTCTTGATGCACGGACTCCAGCCTCAGTTGACTCCTTGTGAAAGTCCCCAACACTTTTGAATGGCCTTTTCCTGACAATCCTCTCCAGGCTGCGGTCATCCCTGCTGCTTGTGCACCTTTTTCTTCCACACTTTTCCCTTCCACATAACTTTTTATTAATGTGCTTTGATACAGCACTTTGGGAACATCCAACTTCCTTCGCAATTACCTTTTGAGGCTTTCCCTTCTTATGGAGGGTGTCAATGATGGTTTTCTGCACAACGGTCAGGTCAGCAGTCTTCCCCATGATTGTGATTCCTACTGAACCAGACTGAGAGACCATTTAAAGGCTCAGAAACCCTTTGCAGGTGTTATGGCTTACTTAGCCGATTAGAGTGGGACACTGTGAGCCTAGAATATTGCACCTTTTCACAATATTCTAATTTACTGAGATTGTGGATTTGGGGTTTTCATGAGCTGTAAGCCATAATCATCTCACTTATGACAAATCACGGCTTAAACTATCTTGCTTTGCATGCAATACGTCTATCTCATATATTAGTTTCCCCTTTTACGTTGCATTACTGAAATATATGAACTTTTGCACGATATTCTAATTTTTCGAGTATCACCTGTAGATGGATCAGTGTTTACTACTCCAGCTGTATCTTTAGCATGCAGATTTTATTTGGAGCATGGTTATCATGGCGTCTTTTATTTTCTTCCCTTTTCCCAAGGTTGATGAAATGAGTTCCATTGATATTGGAGAAAAAAAAACAAATGTATCTTTCCATGTTTCATATTTTAACTTTTTTGTAGTAGACATTGGCATGTGGTTGATGTTGTTGTTGTTGTTGCTGTTGTTGTATGGATAAGGGAATACACTCTGGAGTACATATGTTGACTTCAGCAAAGCTTTTGAAGCAGATGTCAACAGCTACATAAGCTCTAAGCTAATTAAAAAAAAAAAAAAAAAGGTCTTGTTTTTGATTGTGGTTGAAGTGTTCTTGAAAGAATGTGATTATCTCTGTGTGAAGAACATTTGTCCTGTTACACCCTTCCCCACCTAATTATTTAAAACCGCATCAGAGAGTTCCTCTGTTTCACTCTGATTGAGGATTAAATGCATATATGTAGCATTACTGTCTTTCACGTAAATCACCCAACAGAGATTCACTTTGATAAGCAGTTGTTACAGTAAATGCGGAATCTTATCAGATTATTTCTAAATCACATTAGTGACGCCATCACAACTATGAGTCATAAAAATCTCTGGCCTCAATTAGCACCAGATGTTTTTTGTTTTTTTTTTATTGGCCCGTATGGAAGGACTCCATTTCACTATTTTTTTTTTTTTTCTGCAAGTAAAATGTAACCTGTATAAATTATATATAATATAAACAATTTAATCATATTTAGAGTATGGAATTCACAGCATGCATACATACATACATACATACATACACACATAGATACTGAGCGGACACCACCAGATAACGCTTTCTCTTTGCCAGTTAAACCCCACCATAGTCTCAGAGGCAAGGCATTGGAGTAACATATTTATAGGAATTGTCTTTAAAAGCTCCTGCATACAAAGATGGTGTCTTGGCCTAGTGCTGTTTTTTTCTTCTTTTTTCCTTTTCTCGAATTTTGTAATAGTGTTCAGTGTGTGTAGATTTAGTAGCAGGTCGTATTGTCAGTACATACAGGCAGTCCAGGGCAGGCTGGGCCGAGGGGCAGGGAGGCAATTGCCCCCCAGGCCACCCTAAATAATTTTTAAAAAGGCCGCAGCGGGCCGGTCCTAATGCTGCAGCCGCCTGAGCGCTCTGTTAAGAGCCTCAGGCGGCTGAAGCACAGCTTCTCCCCTCCCCTTCCCTCCTCTTCCCTGTAGCATGGCCGAGCTCCTCTCCGGTCCACGTAGCCCATCCGGAGTGATAGGAAGGTGCACACTCAGTGGGGGGTAAGAAGAACACAGGGAGGAGGGGGGGTAAGAAGAAGAGGTGGGGTAAGAAGAAGGGTGGGGGTAAGAAGAACACAGGGAGGAGGGGGGTATGAATAAGGGGAGGGGTAAGAAGAGGTGGGGTAAGAAGAAGGGTGGGTGTAAGAAGAAGAGGGTGGAGTAAGAAGAATACAGGGAGGAGGGGGGTAAGAAAAAGGGGGGTAAGAAGAAGAGGGTGGAGTAAGAACAACACAGGGAGAAGGGGGGTAAGGAGAAGGGGAGATGAGGAGAACGGGGGTGTGGAGTGTTGATCATTATTTAATGTGTAGTTTGCAATATATATATGTATTATATGGTATGGTGCATATATATATCTAATATGAATGTACATTTAGCTGTATAACATAGGTGTATGAAATATTGCAGGCCTTTTTGCTTAGATTTGAAAAAGTTAAATTTTCAATGACATTTCCACAAGGTTAACAGCTAAAAGGTTGAAGTTAAATTAGAACAAACACATATGTTGTCAGTCAAATGTATACAAAACACTTCACTTAATTTTGAAGCTAACTATAGGCAGAGCCATCTAGGGTATATCCCAAACTTAGATATTCAATACATTACATCACGCAACAAGTTAGAAAACCTTTTTGGGAGTATTACACAGGTGGGGGCTGCTTTATGGAGGACATTGTCATTCACCATTCATTCATTCATCCATCTACTCTTACTCTGCCTGCTGTCACCACACATCTGAAAGGTATACAGGGACATATGCTGTAGCCACTAATACATTTGGTAAGATTAATTATTTACTGACTATTTTTGCATTCTGTAACATTCATTCAATACACTTTTATCTTATATTTATTTGAGTCATTGTTTCATTTATTACAATATTATTACAGTGCCTTTTGGGTCTTCAGACACTGGATTATTTTAGTGATAGTCAAGTTATCATCTAGAATGGTTAAGGAAAACAGTATTTATAAGTAATTTGGGAACGGAAGGGTCTGCTCCGTATACAGCTATAGATTGCATAAAGACACACTAAGCTTAGAATGACCCGGAGTGACCTTTTGTCGGTAAAGGTCCACATCATACCTGAAGCGAGCCATAACTATCAATATTGAAGGATCACCGAAAACCGACAGGGGGGACTGAGGGAGACGGGGGGACTGAGAAGAACACGGAGGGTGGGGGGGTAAGAAGAAGAGGGTGGCATAAGAAGAACACAGGGAGGGGGGTAAGGAGAAGGGGAGATGAGGAGAACGGGGACTGAGAAGAACACGGAGGGTGGGTGGTGAGGAGAACACAGGAAGGAGAGGGGGTAAGAAGAACACGGGGATGGGGGAGGTGAGAAGAACACTGGGGGTGAGGAGAACACATGGGGGGGGGGAGTGAGTAGAACACAGAGAGGGTGGAGGGGGGAGATGAGAAGAGACCGCTAAGGGAGGGTGGGGGAGAGCTCTAAGGGAGAGAACGGACCGCTCTATAGGACAGGGGGCAAGACAGGGAGCTCTTTCACACGCGCACACACAATGCATTCCTATACATACACAGAAACACAACATGCTTCCCTTACACACAGAGAAACACAACATGCTTCCCTTACACACAGAGAAACACAACATGCTTCCCTTACACACAGAGAAACACAACATGCTTCCCTTACACACACACAATGCAACCCTTACACACACAGACAATGCATCCTTTGCACACATACACAGGAACACACAATGCAAAGCCTTACACACACATGCAAACACACACACTGCATTTCTTACATATACACAGAAACACAATGCATCTCTTACACACATTCAAGGCACACACATACATACACACACCTTGCATCCCTTATGCATACAAACACATATTCACACAACCAGAAACACACAATACATCCCTTGTACACAAATACACACTGCTTCCACTACAAACACACTGCATCACCTACACAAACTGGTATCCCTATATACTACATACCATAAGCACACATATTATATCCTCTACAATAACACAAAACACATCCCCTACACACTCCACTCCCTGTGAGCGAACTCATGGGTGGGTGGAGCATATAAGTGGTCTTATGAGTGGGCCTTATGGGCATACTCCCCGTCAGACCCTGGGGCTCAGACCTTGAGCTGTGTAAGGGGCCCCAAAAAATGGAGCTGCTTCCAATTCTCCCAGAACATTGAATTTTGTGACCGCAGTTGCAAACAGCCTCCAGAAATCCTGTTCTGCACCAGACCAGTGGAGCCAAACTGCAGCCCATCATCATCCTCATCTGGTTGTAAGTAGGCAATCTAGTATGATATTAGTGACACTAATCTATAATTTACCTCACATTAAAGGGACACTATAGCTTAATGAAGTGGTTCTGGTGTCTGCAGGCTTTTTAATGTAAACACACACTGTGTGCAGCACTGGCGTTCGTTCATATGGCAGATCATATGGGTGGGGCATTGTGATGTCACATGGCAAATTTTTCTTTTGCCTCGGGCGGCAAAAATCCTTGCATCTGCTCTGATCCTGTCTACTGGTGACCCACAGGAGGGGAGTGCACTGATTGCACTGCACTCTCCTCCTGCCCAGACCCATCTTTACTGCAGTGCAAGTGCCCTCTGCCCCTAATTTACAGTGGCTCACACTCACAACAAGCAGTGCCTGGAGCCCTTTGCAGAGACGGGAACAAAGAGGTTCTGCGGCAGCTGGCCGTCCTGCAAGCATTACATTAAACAGCTGTTCCCCATGCAGCCACAGGTGGCGCTGTGCTGGGAGAATGTGATTACTCTTAACTTCCTCCCAGCCTACAGAGCAGCGCATGGGAGAGAGAGAAGAGAAGGCATGGTTTAATCTTACAACAAATCCAGTAAGCAAATCTTTATAAATTGGGGGTATCAGCTCTGTTTCCACAGTTTATTGGTGTTTACTCTGATGTCTGTATTAATATTGAGGGATGTCTAAGTAGGAACATCAGTGTGTGTCAGCAGGGCCAGACGTTGGGGTGTGCACGCTGTGCGGTCACGCAGGGTTCCATGACAACAGAGGCGCCCGGCGGCCAACACAGCTCACAAGTTGGGGACACCAGCCTATTCAGTTTAAACGATTCGCTGGTGGTCCACGGTGCGCACCAGCAGTAGGTGCAGTCAGATTATTTCCTCTCCCTCGTGGTTCCGACGCTCAGTTAGTGAGTCAGAGCACAAGTTCAGAGATTCTCAGCCTGAGCTCTGACAACATTGAAAGTCAGAGCCGTGAAGGAGCGGGTATTAGCATAACATCAATATCCGTTATAAAACCATGAAAAGGTGGGCGTGGATGGTGAACTGATTTGGTGGTGCAACGGGCCACTTGACTGGTTTTGCCCCCCAGGCCTAAGGCTGCCAGCCCTCCACTGATGCAGTCTACTGCATAAAAAGTCGACCACCTGCTCATTGCAGTTCAAGTTCAAGGACTGCATGGTCAAGGGTTAGAAGAATAGGAATATAACTATGATGGAGCATTTTTGTTCAAAACTCAGAAACAAGTTGAGCAGAAACCTGTGTAAACAAGCTTAGAGTGTAAAGGAAGTTGGGAGACCAAAGTGGAATTTAGTAAGTGCAGGTGATTGTACTCAGGGCTTAACATTTGATACCATAGGCTACTAGCCAGGCCTTAAAAGATATGCACCCCTGCAAGACATAGTATACTCAGCAAGGGGAAAATTCTACTCACCAAGTCTAAATTTTAACTTGCCAATGGCTGGTGTTGAGTGGACATTTTGAGCACTGATTATACTTTTATTTGGTGAGACAGAGGTATGGACTATAGTGAAGGGCCATAGTCGATTTAATATAGAATCCTTCCAATATTGTATGCCAAGGTATTATTTTATTAACAGCTGCAGACTGTTGGAGAGGTTATTTAAAGTCATTCTAGAAGAATGGGGCAGCCCATTTTTTTTGGTAAATTTTAAGTGCCATCTATTATTTGACTGTTTTTAGTTGTTATCATGCCAGATAATCACCATCTTCGTATCTCTATGAATCTATTGATCTCTATGAATAACTGGATGAGTTAAACGTTTTCGATTTTCCTTCCCATAACCAGTTGCACAGTTTGTGTTTACAGGAAAGGTACCCTTTTAGCTTTTTGCTAGTTTCCAAGTACATCCTGGATTTTAGATATAATTCCAAATGGGGTTAGTGTTAGTCTTTAGCCTTGGCAGTAATGCTTATTTTATAAATTGATGTCAGAGGTGGGGAGATTGTTTTTGTTTGCTTTTTCCACATTTAAAGTTTTATTCAGGGAATCAGATATGCCATCAAATTAAAGTAAATATCTGCTATGGGAATTGTTAATTTTAATTAAACATGCACTTTACTTATATATTTCATGTGTCTGGCTTTTTTTATTGCTCCTTAACATGGTTAATATATTATGATATATCCTATAGGGTATCAGTGAGATGCCATAGCTTACCTATTTTCCTTCAGAATATCCAGAGACTTAGCTATTGTTAACCTTTTTTTAACACCGGGCCAAAGGTTAGTGTTAAGATATTGGGGTTCTTTTTGAGTAAGTGACAACTCATGAGTAATGACAATATTTGAAACCAGTTGGAAAATTAGTCACCAAAATATGGTTAGCAGCTCCCTTAGAAAATAATGGGAGCCATTAGCCGCTACTTGGCAACTGGCCTTCTATAGCAGTAGCAGGTAACGCCCATTCACTACTTATGAAATTCTTTAATTACGACAGGCTTAATGAGGAAATTAGAAATAAGCCTTAACTTGTAGAATGAAAGTGAGTGGGACAGAACAAATCTGGAACAAGTTTACTGCGTATCAATAAAAAAAGTAAAAAATACAACATATATCTTTAAGGTATATCATTAGTGCATAATCTTAGAATCACTCTTTATGTGGTAATCTCTAGGTCCTAAATGAAATTAGTTAATCCTCGGCCCTCTGTTAGCCAGGGCATGCAAATGGTAAAATCAATAATGCCCCAGGAATGGTGGGTTTGTGGTATCTGCAAACTAGTCATTTAACTAAAAAGGCCAAAAGCCTGTTGACAAGAGGCAGCCTCCACAACAGTGGTAAATCTCTGTAGAACTCCATCTCAGTCCACTGCTGATTCCCTTATTTATAAGCTTTTAGGGGTGATGGGATGGAAAAACTTTATATACTTGAGAGTGTTATAGCAAAGACCTTGTAGATCAGCTGAAAAGTGTCAACTTGCTTAGGTTACTTATCAAAGAAATGGCCATCAAACCATTTCAGTCTGGCACAGGCTGCAGTTTCAATTCTGGATGATGTGCCTGGAGCCCTAACTGGCTCGGAGATATTAGTTCCATCTAATAATGTGCTTGGTGATGAGGCAGCAGGAAGCCTATAAAACGTGGGAGGAACTGAGGGAATTCAGCTGAACCAATAGAATCTGCAAATCCACTTATTTTTAATTGAGTTAATTGTGTCATAATGTTGCCGATACAGCCAAGAGCATCATTTTTATTGACTTTTCCATTAAAAATAACACATTTCTATTTATATAGTTCGGTTACCAGTAATTTGTTTAAGATATTGACAGTGATTAGACTTGCTCTTTAGAGATAGATGAGTAATCACAATCTTCCTATATGAGAATTGTGATTACTCATCTATCTCTAGAGTTAGAAACCTTGAAACTCATCAGCCAGATAAGGAGGTTAGAACACCAACTAGATGGGCAGGAATTTACTTTATAAAAACCAAGTGTTTGCATACCTACAGACACCTCCACCGCTTTGTGATATTCCCCCCTCCATTTATACTGAGACCTAGACCTGGAACCAAATTCACAGTTATGCAGATGCTGCTGTCAAATACTCCTTTTATCAAGATATTCAAAATAAGTCAAAGCATTTTAATTATCTCTGATTTTTTTTTAATGAGTATCTAGTATCTTTCTAGATTTTTATTTTTTGCACTACCTCATTGATGTCCCTAGTATAAAAAGAACATAGATTCCACTGTTCAACTTAATCCAAATCATGCTGCTTTTGACAAAGAACTTTAAGTACTTTAATGTTATTAATTTATAAAGAATTTCTTCATCCAGTAAAAATGCTTTTCTGAAAAAACAAACATTCTTCAGATGTTACATGTGTAGTGTGGCATATCGGGATTATGTCATTGAGTGGGGAAGGGTGGCCTATTTTAGCTTTTCCAAAGAAAGTGCAGATTATAGTAATAAATTGTTCAAACATATACCCAAGACATTGCTTAGTGATTTATTCTTTTTCTCACTATGTGCTAATGGTATATGTAGTATAATTTTGTCTCTTAATCTGAGTGCCATTGGAGTGTAATATGTGTAAACATGGTACATCTATTTTAAAAAAATGTTTGCCACCCCTGTCAAAGCTTGTTTCTATGCTATTAATCTATAACAATCCCTCCCCACGACCACTAAAGGGCGGCAGGTGCCCCGTGAATTATTCCCTATCTCTCCTCCCCGTGTGTGCCCCAGCGCTTCCCATAGATCGAGGGGCCACTCTCTGTAGCTTTGCTGGCTGTCTGGAGCACCCCTGCATGAACACATGCCAGTGGGGATGGTTTAAGAGGCGCACTGCTGGGCGGAAGCAGTAATTAGGGATTATTCTAGCCCTAGTGATTGAATAATCTAAATTTTATTAACGACAGGAGGTGAATATTTGCTTATCTTTCTTTACTGAAACTCCCAGCAGCAAAGAAATAGTTAACAATAGTGTAAAAACAATTCAACCAATCAGAGTGTATAACAGTATTATATGATGTCATCAAACTCCTCCCAAGTCCTCTTTCTTTCTGTAGCCGACGATATCAGAGTATCAACCATGTAAACTATAACTATGAACCGTGACCAATCCAAGGTCCTGATGTAGTCAACCATGTAAACTTTCAACGGGACTGATGAATCCATATATCACAAGCGTTGGGATTCTGCACACTAAAGGGAAGTAGAGAAAAAAACCATGAGAGTATAGGTTCTCCTACTAGTTGAATGCAAGTTTATGGCATGCATACTAGGGACAGCAATTTCAATAGATTTCATGTAAAATTATGTTGAGTATGTCAAACTCTTGGTTAGAGTGTTGTGGTGTAAACCTATGACAGATGATGTGTGAATGTGTTTGAAACCGATCGACTAGAATTTTTTTTTTTTTTTTTTAGTAACTTACCTTAGGGCGGGTATAAATGATAATGAAAAACAGAGAAGGGAGGGAAAATATTCGCCTCCTGTCGTTAATAAAATTTAGATTATTCAATCACTAGGGCTAGAATAATCCCTAATTTTATGGCAAGACAGGAGGCTTCATATTTGCTGTTTTAACGCTCTTATATGATAGAAGATGCAGCATGTGGCATAGGTTTGAAATAGAATGTATGAAAGGTGGACTCCCTGGTCCAATCTGCAGACGACAAAATGTCTGAGAGGGAACTACACGAAAGGCTGAGGATGCGGCTGCTCCTCTGACTGAATGCGTTTCAAAAGAGGAGTCAATACCTGCTTGGGCTAGTATCCATCTGATCCACCGCGCGACGGTGGGAGCGGACACCGGTTTGTGTGGTCTGACATAGGAAACGAGAAGGGGTCCTGTAGGGGAACGCAGAGTGGTTGTGGCATCTATATAGTGCCTTACACAGAGCGCCATGCAAAGCGACTGTCTATTCGGAAAGTAAGGGTAGAACACAGAGGAGGAATTAGTCTTTGTTCGCCTGGTGATGTGAAATTTAACGCCCTCAGGCGAAAAAACTGCAGCGTGGAAATCAAATGCTCGAATGTCGGAGACCCTACGGAAGGATACCAGACATAGGAGTAAGGCCAGTTTGGCAGAGAGTTGACGTAACGTCAAATTCTCATTAGAGGAGTCTAAAAGGGAAAAAACCTGAGTGACGTCCCAGAAATTGGAATATCTTGGAAGAGGGGGTCTGGCTAGCCTGATCCCTCGTAAAAGTCTACAAACTGAAGGGTGTTTTCCTATTGATGCATTGTCAATAGGGTTGTGGGTCGCAGAAATATCAGATCTAAAAACATTAATTGATCTATAGGACTTGCCTTGATCAAAGAGAGTAGACAGAAAATTTAGGATGATCGTCAGAGGTGCTGAAAAGGGATCGGTATCCCTTTCCAAATACCAGCTGACCCATGTCTACCATGCAGCGAGGTAAGCTTGTCTAGTGCCTGGGGCCCAGGAGTCCCATAGGAGGGCCTGAGCTGTCTCCGAAAGTCCCGAGACATTCCAGGATCCCCTGAAATGGTCCAAGCTACAAGCTAGAGCTGTCCTTGAAGGGCGAGTGGGTGACAGCGCCCTGCTGGATTCTTGAGGATGTCTGGGGATCGAGGTAGTAGAATTGGACAATTCACAGACAGTTCTAGCAGGGTTGGAAACCAGGTCTGGGCTCTCCATAGCGGAGTGACAATAACTATCATCACTACTAGGGCTTTGACCCAGTAAAGGGTGCGCTGGATCATGGAGAAAGGCGGGAACGCATAAGCTCCTGTCTCCGGCCAAGGGTGTAGGGAGGCATCGACTGCCCAGGACTGGGGATCTGGGAGCCAGCTGAAAAAAGCCTTCGCCTGGTGATTCAGCTGAGACGCGATCAGATCCAGTGTGAGGGGCCCACGAAGACAATGAATTCGATAGAACAAGCGGGAATCCAATTGCCAGTCGCTTACGTCCCTCCTGTGATGAGAGAACCAATCTGCGACTAGGTAGTCCATGCCTGGAAGATATTCTGCTCTGATGGATAAATTCCACTCTAGGCAGAATTGGTAGAGTTCCTTGTTAAGGTTGGACAGTAATTTGGATCGGGAACCTCCTAGCCGATTCACATAACGCACTGCAGAGACGTTGTCCATGCGCAGTACTAGTGAACAATTGAAACAATCTTTTGCGAAACTGCAAATCGCAAAAGATCATGAAATCAATTCTAGGCAATTGATGTGCAGTGCTTGTTCAGAGGGGGACCATAGTCCCCGGGTGGACATTTCAGCGCACGTAGCGCCCCACCCCAAGAGACTGGCATCGGATTCCAGAATGAAGTCTGGTTGTGATCCGAAAATGGCTTTGCCATTCCAGGTTTCCATGTTGTGAAGCCACCAATGAAGTTCCATACGGACTTCGTCTGTTAGGTAGATCAGTTGGTCGTAGAAGGTGGACTGGTTTAGATAGTAAGTCTTGAGCCGTTGCATGGCTCTGTAATGTAGGGGTCCTGGATAAATGTCTCGGGTAGAGGCAGACAGTAGGCCTATGGCATGAGCCAGATCGATTAGGCGAATCTGGTGGGCTGATAGCAATTTGCGAATGTCTTTCTTTATAGCCTTGACCTTTGTAGAAGGTAGTTGTAAAATCGCCTGTATGGAGTCTTTTAGGAATCCGAGAAACTGAACTTTCTGAGAAGGTTCCAGGTCGGATTTATGAAAGTTGATTACAAAACCTAGGTTTTGTAATAATGCCGTCGGCATGTCCGTGTGTTGACGTAAAAGGTCTGGATCTTGAGCCGTCGTCCAAATATACAATGGAACGAATCCCCTGTGATCGGAATAGCTCCATCACTGGTTTCATCAGCTTTGTGAAACACCATGTGCGGAACAAAGACCGAACGGGAGGCATGTGAACTGCCAAACTTCCTCTTGCCAGAGGAATTGAAAAAAAGCCAGATGGTTGCGGGCGACAGGGACAGTGAGATTTGCGTCCTTGAGATCGAATCTGGATAACCAGTCTCCCAGGCAAAGGAAGTCCCTGAGGAGATGGATGCCCTCCATTTTGAAATGACGATATCTGACATAGTGATTCAGGTCTTTCAAATTGATTATTGGACGCAGGTCTCCGGATTTTTTGTGGACCAGAAAAATATTGCTTAGAAAGGTATGTGGGAAGGGTGATCTTTCTATCGCCCCTTTTTCCACCAGTTTGTTCAATTATGTGTGTAATGCCAGGTTGTCTGTTGCAGACATCCAAAATGGTGTAAATGGTGTATCCTGGAAGGGAGTGGAAAGGAAATCTATTTTGAACCTCCATAGATCCTGTCAAAGCAGTTCCCACAGTTGGAAAAAATGGGTTAGTCAACCTGCTATAGGTACATTGAAAAAAGGAATGTTTATTACCTGGAGCAGTGCGTCTGCGTAAGGAAGCAGATCCACGTCCCCGGGTGGATCCTCTATTGGTGAATAGAGGATTTCTGAGGGACGAGGCCTGTAGCCTGTGAAGGCAGCTTTGCTGTTCATTCGGCTTCTATAACGTCCAGCTCTCCCAGAAAAATGACCTGACTGGGAGCGAAATACCCTGCATAGGGAGGATTGGGCCTTGTTTAAGGTAGTAAATACCGCTGCACGTTTGGACAGATCTGAAAGAGTCCCCAAATAACAAGCCATTGGCTTCTGGTCCCAGTTCTCGGGAGCTTAAGTCTGCTAATTTAGCATTGAGTTTATATAGTGCCGCCCTACCTCTCTCAGTGGATATAGCCACATTTGCATTGCCCAGGAAACATAGGGCTCTTTGGGCCCATTCTTGGTCTGTGTGAGGGTCAAATTCCCCACTAGTTATAGCTTCATCAGCTAGTATGAAAATTTGGATGATGGGACCAGCGATATCCATGAGCTTGTCCTGGGCTGTCTTAAGACCCTGCTCAATACCCTTGCGAGGGTCTTTCCCTGTTTTAGAGAGGAAGGTCACAAATAGTGGGTCAAACTTTGGCGTGAGAGCCACTTTACTTGGTATAGTTGGCCGAGGGCATTCGGCTCTGAGTTTAGCCCTTATTTCTTTTTCAAGGGGCTTACGCAGCCACATCTTGCAAAAATTAGAGATGCGGTCAGGTGGGGCCGTTTGGGCTGAACGTGGATGTCTAATGACCCTAGGGTCGAAATAAGAGACACCCAAGGCATCCAGAAGGGTGTCTGAGTCGGGTCCCTTGGGCATAGAGATGTTTGCAACTGTGTCCTTTTTGGTAATGAATGTCTCCTTGACAAATTCCGATGGGGTATCCCCTAGCGCAGTGATGGCGAACCTTTTTGAGCCCGAGTGCCCAAACCGCAATACATGCCAACTTTTTTTCTCCGTAAAGTGCCAACACGACAATTAAACCCAAATACCAAGGTTTAAAAAAACAACTCGTACTGTCGTACTGTTGAACTAATAACTTTTGTTTTAAAGAACACAGAGAGTTCAATGCTGGGGGGTTAGGGTTACTGCTGGGGTAGGGGTACTGCTGGGGGTTGGGGTACTGCTGGGGGGTTAGGGGTACTGCTGGGGGGTAGGGGTACTGCTGGGGTAGGGGTACTGCTGGGGGGTAGGGGTACTGCTGGGGATAGGGTACTGGGGGATGCTGCTGGGGGTAGGGCTACTCTGGGGATATAGGGGCTACTCTGGGGGGGATAGGGGTACTGCTGGGGGGATAGGGGTACTGCTGGGAGGGATAGGGGTACTGCTGGGGGGGTAAGGGTGCTGTGTGTCAGTATACCCCCCTCCCTCCTTCTTACCTTTAATGAAGTAGAGGGGGGGGGGTACACAGCGATCCCTGGTGGTCCCGTGGTGGTAAGCACTGCAGGGGGAGGGCTCCAGGAAGCAGCTCCCCTGTCCTCTCGCGCAATGCTGTGTGGAGCGTTGCCATGGTAACGCGCGGCACCGCTCCACACAGCATCGCGCGGGAGGACAGGGCAGCTGCTTCCTAGAGCCCTCCCCCTGCCTCCCGACCCGGAAGCAGAGTAGGCGCCTGCCGTTTCGGGCAGGCAGGCGCCTACTCTGCATTGATGGCGAACCTGTGGCCACGTGCCCACAGAAAGGGCCCCGCATGCCACCTGCCATAGGTTCGCCATCACTGCCCTAGCGCATTCGCCGAGGGTCCTCATCAGAATAGCCAAGGTAGTAGTCCTCCACCCCATCGCCCATTTGAGAAGTGGAACCCTCCAAGGAGTCGAATATAGTTTGGGCGGGGCGAGTGACAGTTAATTTTTGGGACTTGGCAGGAGCCTTGCCCTTGCCCGCAGACACACTATTCCCTTTCCAAGGACGTGTGACCTCCTGATCCGAGGGCTGAGAGTCCTCTGTGTCAGAGAGTAAATGTGCGGTGGGATTGACTTCGCCAGGAGTCTTTTCATTCAGTAATGGTTGAAACCAGCCAAGTTAAGTTCCTGAGAGATTGCGGGCTCAGTATTGTCAGACATTTTAGTTAGGACTATATTCGTGATTCTGACAAATAGTCGTAAGACAAGAATGTTAAATGGGGTTCACCCAATTGTGCTTAGTAAAATTTCTAAGTAGGGGGTCACCCAAATAAGCGTAGTTTGATGTATAAGGGCGGCACACAATATTTAGTGGGGTAGACCACTAAATTTTATAAGTGGATTGTACCACTGTAACAATACGAACTGGGGTTCACCACTCAGTAGTCAGACTTTTATGAGTATGTCTGTAAAATATTTAATAAAGTGTGGGGTCACTTTAAATAATATATTGTATTATTTGCAAAGGTGAGGGTCACTCACTTGTAGTAATGGTGTTGAGACACCTGTCATAAATTGATTAGAAAGTGAATAAAAGGTGGGGGTCACCCACAACAACATTCAATGAATCAAGTGACAAAGAAAAAGGTGGGGGTCACCCACAAGGCTGTCCTTTATTTAATAATGATAAGATACAGTAGGTATTTTCCTGTCAAGAAAAACAAATAGGTACAAAGAATAATTGGGAAAAAGGTGGTAGCACTTTAAGGGTGCTATGAGCAACAAGTAAATAAGATACTTACCGGATCCGACGTGAGGTGAAGCGATCGCACATAAATAACAAGGTAAACCGCGGTTTAAGATGGCCGCCGCCAGCAAAGGGGCGGGAGGAAGCACGTCAGGTAATTGTAGACGCGAGAAGGCGGGATCTGAGAAAGGGCACGAAATTGAGCCGCGGACTCCTGGGAATTGGGAATCAGAATTGAGAGGAAACCGCGGCCACAAATGTAATAAAATCGCAGAGGCAAACCCCGATGATTTTTAAAGGGGAACAATGGAGATAAAGTTTAAAAACTGTTCAGAGACATAAATAAACCAACATGTTAGGTATAATTATATGTAGTAAGGGTATTGTGTACTGATAATAAATTGTGTGAGAAACTAGTGAAAATGAATGTTTGATAAACAAAACATTACCACAGAAAATTATTCAAAAATGATAATAGAGATATGGGTGCTATAAAAATTAACAAATTAATGAGAAAATTAGTTCAAATATTGCATTAAAGGCAAAAACATAAGGCAATATAATTGGAGCAGACTCACCTGGGAGACAAGCAGCAAAGAAAGAGGACTTGGGAGGAGTTTGACATCATATAATACTGTTATACACTCGGATTGGTTGAATTGTTTTTACACTATTGCTAACTATTTCTTTTCTGCTGGGAGGTTCAGTAAAGAAAGATAAGCAAATATGAAGCCTCCTGTCTTGCCATAAAATTAAACTGCTCACCTAATGCCTGCCCGATGTGTACACCCGGCAAAACTGCTGAAAAATAGGGTACCGCGAAGGCGCAGCTTCCTTGAGCTGCCTCCCCTGCCCTGCGCCTAGAAAAGGTACTGATCTAATGGGCTTTGAATGTCTCCATCCCCTAACTGTGAATGGAAGGGAGGGCTGCTTGCTGTGTTTGTGTGTGCAGCGTGTGTGTGTGTGTGTGTGTGTTTTTTTTAAAGAGGTAGGCAGGTGGAGAGCGCACAGTGCTCTGTCTCCTCCCGGTCACTTCATGTAGCGTGGCCAAGTTGCCTGCACCATGGTAGAGGATCTTTAGTGAACAGCTTCCTATCAATCCGGGTAGAGGAAACAGAAGCTCATCTACTGGGGTCCGCTCAGCCACACTACATAAGGGGACGATGACGCACACAGAGGGGTTGGGGAAGGGTACAATGACACAGAGAGGAGCTGGGAAGGGGACATTGACACAGTGAGGGCTGGGAAGGGGACAATGACACACACAGAGGAGATGGGGAAAGACACACAAAGGGGCTGGGGAGAAAGAAACACAAATGGGAAAGTAAGAGACAAGGCACAGTGGAAAAATGATACACTAAAGGTGATGAAAGAAACAAAAGGAGGGTGAAATACACAAAAATGGTCAGACAGTTAAATAAGAAACACAAAATGGGTAAGAAAAATAAAAGGTGGGTTAAGAGACACACAGGTGAAGATGCATTTTTTTTGTGGGGGGAGGGACAGTGTCAAACTGCATATTCACCTGAATTGTCAAAAATACTTGCACTGGCCCTTCATCCACCACTACTCTACAGGCACCATGCTCACATACTCTGCATACACTATATATATATATATATATATATATATATATATATATATATATATATATACACATACATACACACACACACACACAATGCATACACTACATACAGTATACACACACAGACTCTGCATAACTATGCACAAACAATACATCCACTACACACACTGCACCTACTACACAAATGCATACTCTGCATTCACTATACGTACTACATAACATAATGGATGCTGGTGTGTTTTGGTGGGCATGGTTTTAGTGGTGGTGTTGGGAAGGGGAACAGCATTTAATTCTTGGTCTGAGGGAGCACAATGTCTTATATATTTTTTTTCCTCTCCGTGTGAAAAAGTCCAGATTTAAGACTTTTTGTGAACACAAAGCCTGTATTAAACTGTGTATCCTTGATAGGCCAATAGAATGTTATTTTCACATTATGCAGCAACTAGTTACCTTTCTCATTCTAACAGAGCTCATTTGCTGGCTTACAAAGCAGGCTGCATGGAGTCTCAACCACCTGCCACCAAAGTTTAAAATTCAGGCAGGTCCTTTTATTTCTGTAGTTGTGCGAGTCTGGTGCTGTTGGACCAGTTTGTGATGTCCCAATGTCAATTGCTCCACGTTTCCACAGTCCAATCCTATTATTGGCGGCCCTTAATTATAATTGTTGTGTATCCCATATTTGTCTTTTACAGGATTCATGTTACATCAGTTTGTATTTTTTTCCTTACCTCTTGACACCATCAACAAGCTTCAAAAGCATTAAATGTTGTGGAATGTTTTTTTTATTGGGAGGGGGGAAAGGGGAATTAAAGAATCCATCACCTACCTTTAGTTTGCTAGTACAATACAACCAAAAGGCCATTTTCAGTGGATCCAGTATATTCTGAATCAATCATCATGCACCATAAGTTGAATTTTCCTGAATCTTTGACCTTTTTGTACTCCCTTATCTGTTGCTAAGATTACATCATACGTCTAGCTCTTTTACTGCACATCTGTATAGCTCTGGAGTATGTGTTAGCAATTTATAATAAATCATACTTGTATAAAACCTTAATATATGGTGATGTGGAAACACCAAAGCTTTTACAGATTTGTGATCAAATGTGAAAACATGGATATGAAATGGAAGAAGGCCCTTAAGAGAGAGATGAAATCTTTGAAAATGGTAAAAGGAATAAACAAGATTTTCTAAAAAAAATTTGGCATTCTCCCTTCTGTTCACTTGCAGTGAGTTCAGGGATATCGTGAACCCAAAGGCCCATATCTTGGCAGCTTTTGAGATCTATCACAGTGTGATCAACAAGACTTGTGCTAACCAAATGTTACAAGGGACATATAGCAGACAAGGGTGCCTTTATATGGCATCAGTAAATTAAAAGGGTTAATTGTGTTGTGCCTTCCATTCTCACTTGAGAAGTTACAACAAACAAACAATGAAAGGCTATCGTGTGACCCCAAAGTTTTGACCTAAATGGTTAGAGCCTATCCTTGGCTTTTACACCTGAAACAAATGGCCACTTACATTTTACAGCAAGGAAAGCAACATTAATGGCCATAATTCATTAAACTATGGGTGATGCTCAATGGTCTAGCTTTCATTAAATGGAGACTTTAGCCCACAGAACAACTAAAGCTGTAATTGTGTGTCTATAGCATGTCCCTGTAGGTTCTTTAATGTAAACATTGCCTTTTCAGTGTTTGAGTGTTACTAGGCAGTAATGTAGACGTCCACTAAATGTGCTTTCTGGGTCAGTGCTGCACACGCTGAACACTCCTCAGAGAGATGCATTGATTCACTGCATCTCTATGAGGAGATGCTGATTGGCACAGCGTGGTGTTTTTGTCACACTTGCGCAATAGTCTCGCAATGCTTTCCTATGGGAAAGCATTGGATTGACGAAGATGGTTGAATTTGATCTCACCCAAGGAGGTGGAGTGGAGCCAGCCACAACGTGACCGGTGTGGAGCTTAAAAACCGTGCTTTTAACCCCTTAAGGACACAACTTCTAAAATGAAAAGGAATCATGATGGAATATTTCCATCATGTGTCCTAAAGGGGTTAAAACTATTGTGTTCTGAATACATGTTTGTGTTCCTGACACTAGAGTGTTCCTTTAAGGCAGTAAGAGAGACCTGGAATTCTTGTCATGTTTTCATCTCAGTTTTATTTGAGGTATGTGAAAATCTATGCAATTTATCAAAATGTGTACATTACTTGACTTTCCTGAATTCTTGGTTTGTGGTCTAGGATGACACATTCACTATTATTGCAGGGTGTATATCCTTGACATTTCCACCATATAAGCAAATATTTATACGCATATACACTCGCTAGCAGTTTGTGTATCATAATGTGTTAACTCAAATGTGCCTTATTTGCGTGATAAGTTCACTTTAAGGCTTTAGCATTGCATGAAATAGCCGAGGTTAAAGTAAAATATAAAAATGATATTAAAAGTCAGCCAAGTGGTTAGACCTGAAAAAAAATTCCAGCTGCAAACAAAGGAAGTATGGTCTTTTATAAGAAATCTGTGGTTTTAATAGCTGCTGATTGGCATGATTCAATTAAGAATGGGACCATTTAGCACAGCCAGCGGAAAGCTATAGGATTTGGATTTATGAAGTACGTGATGTGAAGCTTGGCCTCTTTGTAGTGTTTTGTTCGTAAAAGCAGGTCTTCAGTTTAATTGTCCTTCTTAACTAGAGAACCTGCGAACTCCCTGGGGGTAAATCTCTTAAGTTTTATAATGATTTAAGCAGAAATAACCCAGGTACGCAGTGACCATTTTTCAGCCTGTTTTTTTTTTTTTTTAAATATAATTTTGGAACACTGTATTCACTTATGCAAAGTCAAGTCACATTTCCCTGGTTAAAGCACAGTGCTGTGCCGAGATGTAGGACTGTGTCCGTACTTAGTGTTCTGTTTTCATGGAAAAAATGAGCTTTTCATTTCATTACTTTCTAGTGCTCACATTTTATAATGCTTAGCAAAAGGATTGCTGTAATGACATCAGTGGAATAATTACACACGTAGCACTTGGAATGAGAAGTTTGGGTTGAAAATGTCCACAGTAACTATTTTCTATCCCATTTTATGCTTTTTACACAACAGACTTTTAACCCCTTTGTGATCCAGCCTTGCATATATGAAAGGAACACTTTAGACGTATTAACTACTTTACCTCATTGGTGGTTATAGTACATAAAATACCCTGGTGCCGTCCCTTCATGCAGTACTAAAGGGAGACTTTATTGAAAAACAAATCCCTGTTTATTAGATATCCCCTCAATGAAATCATGTAGGCATTGATTTGTGCATTTATTATTTGTGGTATATCCATGGCCAGATTAAGAGCCCAGTGGGCCTGGTACTGACAATTATGATGGGGCCTAATTTCAGAATCTTAAGGACCAAAAACACTAAAACGGTCATACCTCTCAAGCGTCATGTATCTGATGGAGTTGGTGTTGGAGGGAAACTCAAAGGATGCAGCTATAAGAAAACACATACTCTATGCTAATCTCACTCTAATTTATGCTTTCATCTTTCAAGCAAATCCATACCCCCTAACAGCAGTGTCCAGTGAAGCAGGAAGTCAATGGACAGGGGGGTGAGCCAATGCGTGACCAGAACTGCGAAAAGCGGTGAACATGCCCAAAAATGGGGGCATGACTGTCCATGACTGTCCAAAGAATTGGAAGGCCAGCCTGGCATCAGTGTCCCTATGTATCACAGTGTCAGTGTCCCCATGTCATAGTGTGTCCCGTATCACTAGGAAACTAGGGGACAGTGAGAGACCTGGGGACACGGAGACATGGGGGCACTTGTGGATACAGACATGGGGACACTGAGACATTTCGGGACACAGGGAGAAATGGGGACACAGACACTAGGGACACATGGGGACACTGAGACATTTGGGGACACTGGGAGACTGGGACACTCAGAGACCCTAGGGACACTGGCTGGGAGACATGGGGACACTTGGAGACATGGAGACACTGTGTCCCCAGTGTCTCTGTGTCCCAATGTGTTTTCCAGTGACCCTATGTCTCACAGGTTCCCTATGTCTCTCAGCGTCCCCATGTCTATGTGTCCCCTGGTGTCTCAGTATCCCGATGTCTCCCTGCTGCCTTTCCCCTCATCCCTCACTTCCCTAAGCTGAAGGCTGTCTCTGCAAGCTGGGAGCTGCTATCTGGAGTCTCTGTGCTGTGTAGCTGCTCCCCCGTGGATCAGTGAGTAGAAAGAGGCAGGGAGGGATATGCTGTAACTTCCTATCCCTGCCTCTCTTCCGCATACAGTGACCCCTACTGGCTGGTGCTGGTATTGCAGAGTAATCTCCGTTTATACTGAGAAAAATATCTGCATTTGTATTGCCGGTATTACTGCAATACCAGCACGCCAGACAGCCTCAAATACCGGCTGTGCCTGTAAAATACCAGTTAGGTGGCAAACCTAAGAATAGTGTTATTTCAATTTTTTTTTTTTTTTTTTTTAAATGGGCCTGGAGCTGCAGCTTCATCAGCCCCTATGTTAATCCGGCCTAAAAACTGTTTGCAAATGCTGCAGACATGTTGTCGTCCGCCTTTGCAAGCCATTCTTTCCCTTGTTTTTGCTGAAGTGCATTATGCATGTGGAATGGAGCTTTAAACTATTTTTGAATGGTTTAATGCTAAACCAGTGTCCCCAAAAATTCATCCCCTCTGTGCTGCTTGGGCTAATGAGGAAGCATTAACCTAAGCAGCAATGATGACCACTTTCAGCTTATCTCAGGTGGTCGATTGCTGATACTAAAGTGACACTGTAGGCACACAGACCACTTCAGCTCCTTGAAGGGGTCTGGGTGCCAACTCCCATCACCCTTAACACTGAGCATGTAATTATTGCAGTTTTTATAAATGGCAATAATTACCTTTCAGGGTTAACTCCTCCTCTAGTGGCTGTCTACAAGACAGCCACTAGAGGAACTTCCGGGTGGATCGTCGCCTAAACGACGCTGAACGTCTTCACGCTATTCCTGTATTATACTATTATAAGACAATCCAGGATTTGGATACCAAATCTAATGCATTCGATACCAAATAAAATGTGTAATCCCCTCTATTATTCAAAGAATTCAGATAGAGAGACTTAGTTCATGCAGATAATATTATTATTTTATTATTTGTATAGCACCATCAAATTCTGTACCGCTGTACAATGGGATATCTCCTTTAGTTTCCCTAGTTCTAAAATAGAGATTGTTTCCCCGACAAAGTGCCAATAGCAGCAAGCAAAAATAAGTGTGAAACAATTTGAATTCTTGCTGGAAGCTCTGTTGAACCAGATTTTAATTTTACCAGTGGTAATCCAGGCATTTGACTCACTTGCACAGGTGTTTGCGTCTTGTTTGCAGAATATTAATTTACAACGATGAAGCCACTGCCCCATTCACACCTAGGTCTAGGTTCTATAGACATGGCGCAGGATATTACTTGCTAAATCTGCTAGTAGTATAGAAGCACTAGACAGCATGGGGCTTCTCCATCCTTGACATTGGGAATCATTTGTACTATATGAGAGTCTTTAGGAGTTTGGGTTCTAACATGTGTTTTGGCTGGCTTGATAACCAGTTACAGTTTACATCTTAAGAGTTAAAACCTGGGGGACCTGGCACCCAGACCACTTCATTGAGCTGAAGTGGTCTGGGTGATTATAGTGTCCCTTTAATAGAAGATTCCATTCTCTAACAATCTTTAGATGACTTTGTTATGAAGGCCATGACATGTCTTAAACGGTTTAAGTGAACCCTTTTCCTTACTAATGTTTTTACATTTTGGCTTATAGGTTGGTCAGCAACAACACATGACGACAACCCAATCGGAAAGTCAAGATACTTAATGGCAAACAAAGCCTAAAAACCTTTTAACAATTAATTGGGGCTAAGAACAATACATTGATTTTTATTAAACATAACAATGCACTTTGCTCTGTGGAGATCCAAGTATAAATTAATACAATTGCTAAGAGTTCCAGTTAAAAGAGACATTATATTCACTATAACAATACAAACCCATAGTTGCGGTTATAATTCCTGGAGTCCCTTGGCACAATCCCTCCATAAAGTATATAATACAAGCAATGGGCATTTAAAGGGAAACTATTGTGCCAGGGAAACAAACACTATTCGTGCTTTATTTATGGGAATACATATTTATTTATGCATTCGTATATGGTTTCCAAATTGGAGACAATTACTGATGAGTGCACTAAGGCATGCTTTTTATATTTGAAAAACAGATGTGTCCCTCAGCCTTGAGTATTTTGTTTATGTCTTATGCACAAATATTACTATAATTAGTCTTTTGTTGCTTTTATCACTGCTATCTACTCCGTCATACTGTGCCCTTTCAGAATGTATCTAACAAATGAGTGAAACCAGTTTTAATATAAAAATAGGCATATTTAAAATAGTCATAATTCATATAGCCAAATTCAAATACGTATTTATCTCAGATGTAAGGGATAATATTATTTATTTTGGTTTTGAGGGTATTTTTTCTCAAAAAAAAAGTTTTTGCTTACTTAGAATTTTTATTTATTGACTGTTGCATGTACAGGAGACTTATATTTTAAAACATTAAATATATATATATATATATGTGTGTGTGTGTGTGTGTGTGTGTGTGTGTGTGTGTGTATATATAGTACAAGATTCCACTATATATATATATATATATATATATATATATATATATATATATATATAGTGGAATCTTGTACTGGAAATGGTTAAACTAAATTGTCATGAGTGCTATTTTATGAGAAATTGCCTGTTGCAAACAATTATAATACGTTGTGTCTCGTTTTATAAACTACAAATGTCTTTACAAGTAAACCGTGTTGATCATATGAGTATACGGTCTCTGTTTGTGTTTTACAGTCCCCTTGGCAGCTTACAAATGGCTGGTTTGTTATTACCTTCGTGAGAGCCACGCTAAACTACAACACGAGAAAGAAAACACAAGTATTGACTTTGACGCAAGAAACAATAGCCAGGTACGACTTGCTGATACGTGCCTTTTGGCTACACAAGTGCATTTATTTATTGTATATTTATAAAACAGACTCCATGGGATCACATTTTATAAATGTGTATATATATTTAAATCAAATTCAGTAGGTTTAGAGCGTCAGCTGAGACTCTTCGCAATGAATGACTGGAAATGTTTGCAAATTTATCGTAGCTAAATCAAAATCTGAAATCTATGTTTAAATATTCACAAACCCTTTGACCCTTACAGATGAATGGCTCCAGGCATCTCTGGTGGCTGTTGTGCTTAGGCTGCGTCCTTAATTTCCTAGTTTCCTGCTTGTTTCTACTTCTACTCTATACTCCGATACTCCATAAATGCAGGATGCTGCTGCTTCTGTAAGGAGCAAGCTATTACCCATCACTTGTTGATTTGGATTTATCTTTTGGCTATCCTTTTGGTTTATTGTTGCATAATATCTCTACATTGAATTGCATGAGTGAGGATCGCACTTTTATTTAAAACTCTTGGGAATAGGGTGGTCTGTCACACATTTGCTGTTTGCACACCTTCAATGCCTGATTAGTCTGTCCATTGGGCACAATGGGAACGCTGCCACGTTTCTCAGCTTTGTTCCATCTAAAAATACATGAGTTGTCAGGGATCACCACTGTTTTCATCTGAAATTGGCCGAGATGACCCTTATATGCAAACTGAAGTTTTCTGATTAAATGTGTGTGAATTTTCAACTTCAATCCCATTTCAAACCAGCCCTGGCACTTTCAAACAGACAGACTAATAGAGTGCTTTCCTACCGATACTTGTAGAATGTAGCAATATTTTTTATTTTGTTTTTTTCTTACTTTAGGTGTATTATTGCCGATCTTTAGCCTTGGCATTTATTGAGCATACTGTATTACAAAAATACTATGACTGTACTCATGATTCGAGTACACCGGCCACCCTTCAGCCCGTGCTAAAGAACCTGTGTTCCCTGTATGGTCTGTGGTCATTAAGTAAGCATTTGGCAGTCCTCTATCAAGGTGAGTCCATTAAATTATTATTATTACACCAAAATATTCTGCTTATGTTGTTTAATGGGTGAAATTATAGGAACAGGAATAAGATGATACCGTAAGATAACACACTGACACAAAAGGACTGGAGCTATTCACATTAAGTACTATACCCACTACAGCCTGTGGCTCCATTGCCTGTTTCTGGATTGCCATGCAGAGCGAATCCAGTTATCTCCACTGAGGAAATCTGGGCTGTGCAAAGCTGCTCTCATTGGCTGAAAGTGTCAGCTGAGCGCTCTCTGCTTATAAACATAGCCTTGCTTAGCTCAGGGGTCACATCTGACTCATCCTGCAGGAGAAGCCAGATGTGGAGTGGGCACCCAGGAGACTCGGGTAAGCTGTTAGTAGCAGGCTGTAGTGCTTATGGTGCTTGGAGTGTTCCTTTAATTGGGACACTTTAGTCACCAAAACAACTTTTACTTGTCGTACTGCTCAATTATTTGCTATTTAGGAGTTACATCACTTTTGTTTCTGTCCATGCAGCCCTAGCCACACCTCCTCTGGCTGTGACTGACACAGCCTGCATGGAAAAAAAAGGATTCATTATTAATCAGATGTTAACTTGCTTTATAAGTTCACCTGCTCTGTAAATTCAACTTAAATCAAACATTGTAGGAGATAAGAAATTCTAAATTAAACAGACTGTGCTATACAGGATGTTTAAACAGTACATATATATTTTTACAGGGAGTGTTTTTAATAAGGCTGTGTAGGTCAAATGCAAGGAGGTGTGACTAGGATTGTATAAACAAGTGATTTAACTCCTAAATGGCAGAGAATTGAGCAGTGAGGCTGCAGGGGCATGATCTACACACTGAAACTGCTTCATTAAGCTAAAGTTGCTTTGGGGACTATAGTGTCCGTTAAATAGAAGTATTTTTTTAAACATCATGCAGACAATTGCTACTAGTTAAGGTAACAAGTCACTCTGCACAAAACACCCGACAGTTGTTATCAAGTAAGCCAAGTTTGTGAGATTGGCAGCAAAAATAAATATCAGCAGCTATCTGAAACGTTATTTAGGAGTCAGGCAGTTAGGTGGTTTGGTGGGTGAAGATGAGATAGGTAGGGCAACCTTGATTATTTGTTGTACCTGTGAGAGACAAGTAACGCATTTGAATGCCAGATTTATATGTATAGGAAGTAAGATATTGAGGGATGAGATAGTGATTGAAATTGTAATTTATAAACACATTTAGGATGTGTTTGATTGCCATATGGTATTTTCCTGCTTCTGCCCAACTCCACACACATAACATGATTCCATGGTTTCCTAATGGCTATTATATATAATGCTTGCAGGTGGATACTGTACTGGTGAAATGCCTGGAAAAATCTTAAAGGGAGCCATCATAAATCTCTGCGCAAAGGTACTGACATGCTCCCGAATGCAATGTTACATGTTAAATACAATAATTATTGTAAATAAATAACTTTTATTCAGCCTATATGTGTGTGTTTATATTGCATTCATACATATAAGAGAACAACTCTCTACAGAGGTTCTATTGGTTCTTGGGACACTGCTTATCCAATCAGTCATGCTTTTTTGACTGACCAGAGTGGTCAGCAGTTTAAATTGCAAATGAAATCAGGATCCAGGACACAAACCTTCTGTTATGCACATGGTGGTTCGATAAGCTGCACATCTGAACAAACAGGACTGAAATATGTCAGCTATCATTAGAGTACGTCAGTAGTCCTGCCCTGAAAAGTATTAGACATTAAAGACCACGTCCTTTTTCAGGGATTTCTTTATGTAAAAACAGGTGATGTTCCAGCTAACAAGGAACATTTACCAAATTTGGTTTTGAGTCTAATCGGTACTTGTGGGGGCAGAAATAAATCTCTGAAAAGGAAATACCACGCCTGGTCTTCTGTCTCTGCTTTATGACATTGAGGCATCTGGTGTTTGTCCATTCCTGGTTTGTTTGTGCAGTGTCCTACTTTGCATGTACTGGAAAAAGTACTATGTATGAATTTAAAATAACACCCTGTAATACAGGTTATCTTTTGAAAAGAAAATCTAAGTACCATACTTACTAGAGCCCCCTGTAGTGGTTATGATACACTGGTAGTAGTGAAATGTTTAAGGATGGCTTAACTAATGTTGACCCATGAAAGGAGATCTGTTAGCTCCTCTGAGTTAAGCCCCCAGCACATTGGCTCTCAGCCTATGAGCTAAACCTTGTACTGCTTGACTAGCTTATTGCAGGGAACTTCTAGGCTCTAGCGGAGGTAATGGGTGCATGGTTGACTGCAGTTAAATTGTTAAACTTTTCGTAAACAGTTTGAAAACTTATGCTGGGAAAATGTCAGAGCAATAATGGCACCATAACCACTACAGTGGATCATAATGGTTATGGTGACTAGTGTTCCTTTATTTAATGGTAGTGCCAGTTATACATAGTTGTATTTTTGTTTTCTTTCTTTGTTTTTTTTGTTAATCTTCTTCTTCATTTACACACATCTAGAACCTTTTCCAGGTAAATCTTTTAAGGGATGCTGTTCAACAGTTCAGTGTATTTTTACAGAACAGACCTGATAAATAAGGTACTTGATCAGGTAATTTAGTTTGACGCAGTTTTTAGTTAAAGGGCTAGTGGATCCAAACATAAGCTGGGCCTTAAGCTTGGGTTGCAGTAGGTATTGGATAAGAAGTGCCAGTGCATCTTGAGTTTGTTGCCAAGGTCTGTGTGTGTGAAAATTGATTGGCATCAGCTACTTAATATTGCCAGATCTATTTAATTTCCATATGTTTCAATTCAGCTGTTCTTCCTCATTTTGGTTTTGGAGGCCAATTAAAACACCCAATAAAGCAGATTTCTAAGTGAAGTGATGTAACCACACATCTTATTGCACATTAAACAAAAACAGACATTTAGTGTTTACACACACATGCATTTAATAACCAGCTCTAGCCATGCATACCTACCACTGTGTTTACATGTTTAGACATTCAGTAGATAATAACTCCCAACAAAGTGGCAGGAGAGGAAAATCAGTTTTCATAGCTGATTAGAACACTTGGAAACTCTGAAAACGGCAGATTCCAAAACAGTAAAGCTCCATAATGGACACTAGTTAAGGATTTGAACACTCACGTTACACCCTTGTGAAGACCTACAAATGTTGATGTCTTTTTGTTTTGTCCTTTGTTACTATGGAAAGTGAGAAGCTTTGCCAACACTTGTATCCTTCTCATGCAGCTGAAAGATGATGCAGTCTCTCTCGTGGATGCTATTGCTCCTTCAGACTTTATTTTGAACTCACCTATTGGCAGATCCGACGGAGAGGTACAATTTTGTAGTTTTCTTTAAAACATGTATAAGTACAAACATATATTTAATATGTGAGTGAATTTTCTATATCTGTCAAATAAATTAGATATAGGGAAAATACATTTTCCCAGGGTCTTTTGGTACAAAAAGTTAATAGTGTACCATATTGTTTGTTAAATCACTCACGTGTGTCCAGAACTAAATGTTCAATCACTTGTAGAAAATGAAAAGAAAGCAAACATAATGATTTCCCAGACAATGGTGATCAGTATATATAAAACACAAATAACAGAAAAGTAAAATATTGAATGCTCAAAATCACCAAGTGTGAGTCACTCCAAATCACACAAACAATAAATAACAAAGTAAAATAAAATATGGTGAGAGCACTATACACCAAATGTGAACAAGATAAGAACATGCAATGTTACCCTTTATCTTGAATTTTCACATAAATGTCCTAAAAGTATAAACTACATAACATAGTATAGCCTGTATGTAAAGGACAAATTAAATAAGATATAAAATAGCCCACTCACGCGGTGATCAGTGTAGTTTATGATGTCAGTGCATGCTTGGTCTTCATTCAGCAAAACACGAATATAGCAGTGGATAGCAGATCCAACATTATGATTGGCAGAATAAACGACAACACTACTATAACCTTCACAGTGAACCTGTCATGCAGAAACATTTTATCGATACCTTAAAACAAGCAGGTCGAACTCAAAGGCCAACATGGGCCAAATAAACCAAGTTTACGTTTATGTGGGCCGCAAAAAAACTAAACCTACAGTTTTCATAGAAACGTAGGTTTATTTAGAAAAGTACAGTATAAAAAAAGGTTCCAAACTGACACTGGACGTCCTCACGCTCGTATGGCTTCAAAATAAACAAAAGAGTAAATTTATTTTTATTGAGATGTGCATTTGCATATAACCAATGTTTCAGGCCAACTACCTTGACATATTAAGAAAAGTTTGTAAAAAAAAGAAATTAAAAAATGAAGTTTTCTTGTTGTTTTTGAAGTCCTATGAGTGTATTCTTCAAACTAGATGATCTCAGCCAATCCAATGCTTTCTTATAGTAAAGCATTAGGAGGCTACTGTGCATGTGTGGCAAAAAGCTGCGCGGCCCATTAGCATCTCCATGGGGAGCGTTCAGCGCCTCCATGCAGACCCAATCTAACACACTACCCCTCCTCCCACTCAAATACCCTGCCCACAAATGCATTACATTGCCCCCCTCCAACCAATCTAATACCCTGCCCCTCCTCCCTCCACTCTAATTGAATATACTGTCCCTTCTCCCAGCACTCTAATTTAATACACTGCCCCCCCATTCTCCATATTTAACACACTGCCTCCTCCCACCACTCTACTACACGGCCTCCCCCTCATACAACTCTAATATACTGGTACCCTCCCTCCCCCAAATTAATCCAATGCCCCCTCCCTAAAATTAATACACTGCCCACTCCGTCCCCTAATTTAAAACACTGGTCCCTCCTTACCTCAAATTAATACACTGCCACCCCCTCTTCCTCTACCTTAAGATGAGTCGCACATCCTCCAGTTCCAGCTCTGTTCAAGCAGGCCTGACGCTCCTCTGGCACTGCGAGCAGGAGGGAAGGGGGACGGGCTGGCCTGCGAGAGCATGCAATTGGCTGTGGGAGGGAAGACAAGAATCAGACAGGAAATATCTTTCATGTGTTGAGACTTGTCACAGCCACAACACAAAGTGGCCCCAGGGCCGGTGGGCTGAAAATATATCCATTGTCCCACAGGCCGCAGGTTTGACATGCTTGCCCTAAAGGGATATGCTAAGCACCAAAAGAACTTTCACTTCATGAAGCAGTTTTGTTGTATAGATCAACTCCTTCAGCATCACCGCTTAAATCTCTGCCTTTTAGGAGTTAAATCTCTTTATTTATGCAGCTGTGGCCTATTTAATTTTCATGATTTTTAGTCGTCTGCCACATAACACGTTAATTCAAACTGACATTGTGCTGGTAGAAGCATTGGGATGTGCCTGACTGATTGCTGCTACCTAGTGGAAATCTGCTTTTACGATTAATTTCAGTAAATAAAGTGAAACTTTACTGTCAAACCTGATGTATCCATTAAACTACTTATCAAATAGTGCAATTTAAAAGAAGAATTTATTTTCTTTTTATAATCTAGGTTTTAACCCCTTAAGGACACATGACACGTGTGACATGTCATGATTCCCTTTTATTCCAGAAGTTTGGTCCTTAAGGGGTTAATGAAGTTTAAATTCTCTATTGTACAATGTAGACGTGTCATCTGTAACAGGTTTTTGTATTTTTGCAGGATTAAGGTTGGTTACAGAAGATGTTTCAAATGTAAATACAAGGATAAGGTGCACTGTGCCTTTAAAAACAATAGTGTAACACTCTTACATTAAATAATGTTATTGTGTAGTGGTTGCAACCAACTTTTTGACTTGTATCCAACAACCAAAAAAAACTTTGAACAAAAAAGTGCACTGTGCTCTTTAAAAATGTCACCCTGTGCCGAAAAAACCCACCATTTAGCTGATGTCACAAATTGTAAAACACAACTATAAAAGGTCCAATACACCCTTAAAACACACACATTATTTCCTGTTCTGTATACCAATAACACATGTTTATGTCCAAAGTTGTTGTTTGTTTGTTTTTCCTTGGTTGTTGGGTACAATTCAAAAAGATAGTTGCAACCACTACACATTAACGTTATTTAGTTTGAGAGTGTTACGCTATTATTTTTAAAGGCACAAACCTTGAATTTATTAAATAGTGTGGTTTCGGGTAAAAATATTACATATATTTTTAAAGCGCCATTTATTCACTTTGTATTGTATGATTGTAATGTTTTAAATGGCCATATTGACCTTTTATAATTACCAGCATGGTCTTTTGTGCACATTTTTGTTTTTCTTTGCTTCTGGATTCAGCGCACACATTTTTTAAACAACTTAATTGTTTTGGCAGTTCGAGTTTATGGCATAGAATATAGAATCTCATTTCACAGAATCTGTCTCTGCAATTTTTGCCATTAGTTCTGAAAATCTTTACTAGACAACACTGACAGTCTTCAACCAGAATGCCATCATTTTAGTTTCAAGAGTTATTTTATTTTATTTTTAACTGAAAGAGAAAAATCTAATTTTGACTTGGTTAAAGCAAGGGCAGATAATCTGGTCTTTTAGCTACATTTCTCAAGATGCTCAGCAAGCCTAAAGGTTACTCATTGGTTGGCGGAGCATCACAGGAAATATAGCTCAAAACATGCGCTTTTCTGTCACTTGCGGATTTACTCACTAAACCACCAAATTGTAGTGAATCGAAAACAAAGTTGCAAAATTAGTCTAAAATAATCAAGTTGCAACTCAAGGCAGAATATTGCCAAAGTTGGAAAGTTTTTCCAAACCTGTTAACTAAGGCTAAATGTTGCAATTTGGTTTTCAATTCACTACCGTTATTTGTTTAGTGAATACACTTTTCAACCAACCAGACCAAGCCTTCACATTTTAGTAGCCCCAAATAATATGGGGTCGTTCATCTGATTTTTTTAAAATTTAATTTATTTATTTTTCTTAGGATGTCTGTAAACTTTTTGAGATTCAGTTCACTTTCTGATGGATGTTTTACTTTTATATCCTAGCTGTATAAGAACCTGTGGTCCGCCGTATTGCAAGGAGACAAGGTGTTGGAAAGGCCATCTTGGTGGGCGGAATTCTGTGCCAACAAACCTGTGATTGGCCAGCTAAAATCACACTTGTGATTATACATTAAGTAACTGGACATACATTTAAATGAGATACCGTGTTCTTTACGAATGGTCTTGAATGAAAACTGATTTGCAACCTAGTGTAAAAATGAATTAACTAATCGGCATATTTCATGTTCTAATAATAATATTGTATCCTTGAGTCTCCCTATGGGTGTACAAAGCATTGTTGACCAATGTTGTGACATTTACCATACCCTCACATGATGGAGTACAATGGAAACAAACTGTATGTATGTTTACCGCTGAAAGTGTTTGAACCACTTTGGGCAATGCCAATTGTGTACATGCATGCAAAGTAGTTGTAGTTGAAGAAGTACTATTTCAAGTATCTACAACATTTTTAGTCTTCAGTCAACAACTGGTTTCTGTCTTAATACACACTAAATCATTCCACACCACATGGCATGTGCTAGACATTTACTAGGCATGAGCAGTGAGCTCATGTGGGTGTGTTTGCATTCTCCTACAGTTTGCATGTCATTATTGTAACATGCTTGCAGTACAAATACGGTGTATACAACGATGTTGACATTCTTCGAACATGTGTCGTATTAATTGAGCAGTCTCTGTAATGTATTCATTGAAGATAAGTTTACCAAGTAGATGTGAAAAAGACTGTGTAATTGGCTACCATAACTTTAAAGGTTTACATATTCTAACACACATCAACCCATTTCTGCACTTTAGTTCAATTCTTGAACCTACCCACATTTAACATCTTGATATGAAGTACCATTGTAAGCATCATTTTAAAGAAGTGATTTGGGGTGTAGATCCCCTTCGCCATGCTGATGAAAACTGTACCATGTCTGAGAAACCGCACTTTAAATCATGTACCTTTACATTTTGCAGTTTTCGTGCCTCAGTCACACAGCCACCGGGGGGGGCTTTGAACTAAAATACGTTCAAATTTGAATCTCTTTTCTGCCAAGCATCAGCATGAAATGTATGGAGATGCCAGAAGCTTGATGTGCATTCAGTGTTACTCTAAAATGAAGTATACAGTAGATGATTATGCTATATAAAATCTGCCTTCTGCAATCCTTCAGTATCTGCCAACTTGACACCTAACCAGGAATATAAATCTACCTTCAGAAATATAACTACTACATTTGTGATGTTCATTTCATAGTGAGTACCAAATAAGTCCCTGTTAAACAGGCTTTCCAGAGTTCTTCAATTTACGCTCTTGGCATCAGTAATGAATGAGCACATGTCAATATAAGGATTTTTTTTCTCCAAACTACTGTGATATGAGGTGTGCATTAATATAAATGTGGTTATAACTGTTAAGAACATATGGTAATGTGCTTAAAAGGGAGTGTTTCACTTCCACAATCCCTTATTCTTTCTCTTGAAGCAAATGTTATTTGTCAGTTAAGTGAAAATTATTCATTTTCTTATGTATCTACAGCAAAGCGGTCCAACTCAGTTTCCCTGGTCTCCCAGAATGTCTAGATAATGCTCAACACATTGCTACGAGATTCATAATTAATTGGTTAATTAATTGTAAGCCTCTGATATCAGATTATCCAGCCCCTTAAAGCGATACTACAGTCACCAGAACAACTACAGCTTAATGTAGTGTTTCTGGTGTCTATAATTACTGTCACTGTTCACATTACTGCCTACTGACACCTCTAGTTGCAGTAGGCAGACAGTCACTACAGGTGCTTTCTGGGTCAGTGCTGCGCAGTGTGCATGGAGACACTGTCCACTCCACATAGATGCTTATTGGCGCAGTGCAGCGTTTTGGTGCATATGCACAATGGCCTCCCTCCTATGGAAAAGCATTGGATTGGTCGAGATTTGCAGCCACAGTGAGACCAGAGCGGTACTGGAAAAAAGGTTAATGAAATTAATTTTTAATGTAAAGAGAGGGGGGGGAAAGGGAACCTAAATAGGGATTTTGCCACTATGTATCAGGAATACATGTGTTACTTTAAATCAAATGGGAAGACATCCCTTATAAAGTGATGTGCTCCAAAATCTGCTCAATTAAATGTCCCCAAGCAACAGAGACAAATAATACAGAAGACCCAGAACAATTTACAAAGCTATTAAACTAAATCTAGTCTGTTATGATTTCCTCAATGTAAATGATTACTTGAAATATAATGGAAACCCAGGCTAGTCCTCATGTACTTAAATTCAAGCGTTATCATTCATTTCGTAACACATTTGGAAAATTCCAAAATCCACCATCAGGAGTTCTTGGGAACCACCAAAGCCGAGTGGTCGTCCCAAGTGATTATGTAATATCACAATGTATGAATGTAGTACCAGTTTCTTTTAGTCCGTTAAGTGCCTTGAGCTTGGGTTCCCCTAAGACCCTGTCAGACAATACTTCAAAATTTGCAGGGTGCTATAGATTCATGAATGTCCTAGCCCAGTGGTTTCCAAACATGTCCTCAATGAGCACCCCTACCAGTCCAAGATTTAGAGATTATCCAGTTGTGTCTAAGATTATTTTTTTTTCTTTCTGAAAACACCTTAGACACAACTGGGTAATCCATAAATCCTGGGCTGGTAGGGGTGTGTTGAGGACTGGTTTGGGAACCACTGTTCTAGTCCACCAGCATCTGAAGAGCTACAATTGGACATTCAAGCCACAGTGTATTTCTTTTGATTTTGAAAGTCAACTTGTTGAGTAAACATACTTGCTATTGTGTAATTTATTATCATCTATAAAGATAAACACATAGAATACTGATATTGATTGTGTTGGTATTTCCCTGAAAATGTAAATGCTGTCAAAAACTTTCATAACTCAAAGTAGGGATTGCTTAGTCATGTGAAAAATGACAAACTTGATGAAAGGCAGAGCTTCTGCTATCAAGTTTAGTCAGCTAGTGACAGCAGTGAACCTGGTATTATCTTATTGTGAGACACATTCTATGGAGGTTGCCACAGTTTCGGAGTATCCTCCGCAGACCTTCTTATTGTACTCTCACATATGTGCTGTGGTACCGTACTGATGTGGTTCCTAACGACAGCTGAAGCAACAGAAACTGAAGGCAGAAGAGAGAACAGCTTCAGGTAAGTATAACTTACTTCTGCAGCACCCTTGAGGCATCACATCCCAAGCAGTGTTGTCACCATCAGGAATCTTAGCAAAATATGTAAATCGAAGGTGACAAAGCCACATGAACAACATTTCATGTTTTGACTATGGCTTTTGGAATAATACAAAAATGGCTAATAAGTTCCTGATAAAATACATTTACCTTTTACCTGATATTATAACAATGTTTGTTATATAACGGTTTTGATTTTTAGCCGTCCATTTTTATATAAATTAAAATTTGTTGAATATGATGTATTTTTCACAAAGAATGGTAATTGTTTAACAATCCTTATTAAAAAAATAAATAATAAAATAAATTATGTTTAATCACTATTACATTTGTGTTTGCTATTTAATGTTTTTCACGAGTACCCTGTCCAGGTCAGTATTTGCAATTCATATACTGTTACACTGCCTTTAAATATTGCTGTTACCCACATTAAGAAAATTGTCATTGCGATTTTATTATCCCAAAATATATATTTCTTTATCATGATCTCCTCCAGTTAGCGATCTAATTGTGAAAGTACAATCCCCATAATACACATGTAATTAAAGTCTGGCAATGAATTCTGAGAATCCTAGTTCATCAGAAGCTCAAGATGCATTCGTTTGAAACTCCTGCTTGAAGTGGACACGTCTGCTATAGATAAATATAATCGTACATCAGTTTGTGTGGCCGAGAAATCTCAGCATAAAGCTCCTTGTGGTCTTTTCTAACTCCCAAGTGGCGCCAAGTTCTGCCAAATTCACTCCAAAATAGATGATTGCTGGATGACTAAAACAAACACTGCTGAAACTCCCCAAGGCCGCAGCAGTTTTGAGGTCTATAGTGGCCACATATTTATTGTAAATGTATACGTAGTTGGCATCCATACTAAAGCAGTCAAAAGCATTTGACTTTTTTTTTTACTGGTTTTTAGATTACGGAGTATAAATGGAATCATAACTCAGGAGTGTGAAATGAAGCCAGTGTTCAAAGATAAGTTTGTCCATCACAGAAGATGGCTGACATTCCAAAAAAGAAAATAATTGGAGTGCTAGTGTAAAATGTACTCAGAAAAAGTCAGGCAGTAAAAGGAGAGGTTAATAGTTAGAAGTGCTCTTGTGGTTAAATTGCTAAACCTTACGTTACTGTGAGCAGAGAACCAAATATAAATTGTTGGGATTTTTAAGACAGAATTTTTTTTTGAAAATAGTTTCTCAGCTAAAGACGTAATAGTAAGTTTGCAGAGTTCAGCTCTAATCAGGAACCAGGTCTGATTACCATTTACAGCCATGAATTCTTAGGAATCATCCAAAGTAAGAGGAGTTGGACAATTGAAGTCTGGTCAGAGGGCAGGTAAATGTAGTTTCCTGGTCAAATTGTAGAAGTATTAAGCGATTCAAATAATCAAATTCCTTGTTCCAAAATACAAATTAACATGGAAACAAGTAGGACAGACTTGTTCCAAAATACAAATTAACATGGAAACAAGGAAGACAGATAGTGAAAGAACATATTTCTAGAGTAGGTCTCAGACAGAATTCAGTGACTGTTGAAGGATTTCCAATCAACTATGATCCTTCTTCATAGAAAATAAAATAAAACTATCAAATGAAACAGGACTAATGCCAAAAATATCAAAGTAGGACATTTTGATATATTGAACTCTGAAAACCTTGGTTATCAAGGATCAGAAAAAAGAGGGAATTTTAAGTTCAGTTATTCATTATATAGCAATGAAAGTACCATTGACTGTGGATATGCAATCCACTTTACTAGAGCAATTAACATAAATCACAGCAATATAAATGCTCATTGTATTCACCCATGGGTAGTTAGGGAGCTTGGTATGGAAATGACCTACTGTGGTTTCGTTTTGTTTTCTGTTATTTAATTGTTTGCTTTTATTCAACATTTTTTATTTTAAATTGAAAAGTAGTTTTCCTTCTTAAAAATGATCAAATCTTTAGCAAAAAGCAGATGTGCCTATGTTAAGAAAAGGGTAAAATACTACTGTGATCATAACATCTGTGGTAGGGAAATTATCTAAAGAGTTTTATATTTACAGGTTATACACAATTAGATAAGATAATGCAGGCTGTGCATTTTCTGCCAAGGTGCCATAAAAAAACTACACTTTAAAGGGTACCTTCAACCCCTTCCCTACAACTTATGCTCATTTTAAAGAGCATACAATTTGGTCTGTACATTGTGCTACCGGTTTTGCTAGCAAATGTATAGAGTTGAAAAAATAAATAAGATTTTTCATAGGTCCTTCTCCCACATTGAATACATCTTCTGGTGAGACTTGGAGTTATAATCATGGGTGCAAAATAAAGAAAAGAACCAATGGTGCATATTATTATACAAGGTGAAACTCAGAACATGTACAATTTGTGAATGCCCACTCACATGATCTACTTCAAACCAGCTCCAGTTTAACAGGTGTGCAGCTGTATGTTTCCCACTTGTGGATCAATGTGTCTTGTAACAGCCAGTGGTTGATGTGCAGTAATTAAAAAACAAAAAAACAAAAAAAAAAACAGAAACAACCATAGCGTCATATTGTATTTTAATGTGAAAAATTAAGAGAAGTAGGAAACAGACTCGAAAGAAGGGAACTTAAGACTTTCACTCAATATCTAAGGTGTATGTATGGTGGTTTAATCTCCACTTTATGGATAAATTCGTTGGTAAAAAAAAAAAAAAAACACAAAAGTATACACATGTAAGTAAAAGGATATACAATATAGAGTTCTCTGTTGTAGAAAATGGATAAAGTATAATTGAGCCGTATTTATGTTTAGTTGAACAGCTTGACCTGCTCAAGATATTCAGCATAGGTTGTATAAACCCCACCAAGGATCACATGTTCTGGAATCGATAGAGTTCTTCAGAAAGGTGCCAGGAACAAAAATAAAATAAAAGCAACAATAAAAATTATATTAAAAAAAATAATTAAATGGCCAAATCCAGTATAGGTCTAAGCCAAAAAAATGCTTCATTGTATGGCAATAAAAAGTGAAATAATCCACAATGTTTCACCTTTACTCAAGTGAATTGCAGAGTTACCTGGTACACTTGGTTTTATAGGGGAGTGGAAAATGTAACTTTGCGGCAAACTGATGTCATGGTAGCGATCACTTTAAATATTGAGAGACATGATTATCTTTTTGTTCGTTCTTTTGCGTTTTAATCCATTTATATGTTGATGATAAACATTTTCATTTTATTTTGCATGCATTTATAAATTCTTGTTGTTTGCTGTTTGACAGCCAATATATTAGTTGATGTTTATAAATTGATCTATTGCTCAATTATTCTTACCAGTATTTTTTTGTCATGTAATGACAAATGATGTTCAAACAGCAACTAAATAAATACTTGCAAAAACAGAATATTCAATTATATAATTTTTCAATGTGAGGTAAATGCTTCTTAATCCAAGGATAAATCTGACTGCCATTCTGGGGTCAAAGTGAATATTTCTACCTAGTTTGTTGCAAAATTAAAAGTGCTTCAAACTGAGTTTTTGGTTTTTTTTGCCTTCTTTTGGATCAACAGCAAAAAACAAATGTGAGGAAAGCTGAACTTGATGGACACATGTCTCTTTTCAGCCTACGTAACGATGTAATGTAAATTTTGGCATTGGCATAATATTTAATGGAGCTAGGGTTTGATGGGCAGCTATATCTATGCCTGTCAACATAGGTATGCGTGTGTATGTGGCTATGTATATGTATGTACGCAGAGAGTAGATGCCGGCTGTAGCTCAGCAGTTACTTCTTCCTTCAGTTTTTTAACAAATCCTTATGGGTTTGAATCCCACGGGCGCTATCTGTTTACCCTATTGGAATTTGCTGGCGCTTTGTAAATAATATATATATATATTTTTTTTCCTGTTCTGTTTCTTTAAATGCATTAATTATGTAGCAGTGTACTTTTAATAGTTAACTCCCCTTTGTTCCTATTTAAGCACATACATTTCCCTGTTTCAGTATTCGACTATTGAGTCCTGTGTGTTTTGATTTATCGGTTATCTCTGTTATTTATTCCTGATATCCATATAGTGGGGATTATACCATCATACACCTGATACACAGAGTTTAAGATCTTGTGAGCTTGTTTCTTATTTGTCGTATTTCTCACATTAGATTGCAATATCACACTATTGTTTGTTTTGTGTTTCTTTTGAGAATTACTGCACTTTTACCACTGGCTGTTACTCACAAGATCTGCTATTGTACGCCATCTAAATTGGAACTGGTTTGAAACTCCAGATCATGAGAGTGGGCATTCACACGTTGTATATTAGTATTCCACCTTATATATTCGTCAGCACCATTCGTTCATTTTTTCTGATCTTCTTTTTTTGATATACCTGTGGATTTAACTCCAAGTCTAAGCAAGAGTATTTGATACAGAAAATTGTGGACTATATTCTGTTGGTTCTTCACAATTTTCTACTATATCCGCTGTTTGTCATTTGGCACAACCTAACCTAGAAATATAGAATTCAACTGCAGATAAGAACCATTCAGCCCATCGTCTGCCCAGTTTTCTAAATACTCTAATTTGGTCCCTGTTTTCTTTTAAGTTTGCCTGTGCTTCTCATTTGGGGCGTAAAGGGAGTCCCCTTTCCATAACGATGTTTGCTGTCACAGGTAGCCGACTGTTTAATTACCCATTGTTTGAAATAAAATAGCACTAAAAGAAGCACTAAAAAGTAAATAATTATATATAATACAAGGTATGTATAAATATAGAGTTTTTTTTTAATTTATTTTTACTGCTGTTTTTGTTAGCTTTATTGGTCACTTCTCACTTGATTTGTGAATAAAATCAACATTGTTGACTGTGCTCTTGGCTTTTTGTTTCTCCCCTCCCATCAATCATTACTTTTTTTGGCACCAGCAGCAGAATTCAGAATCACAAACCAAAACATGTTCAGCATTGCGCAGCTCGTTTGGTTTATAATTCGGGTGCAATATGTCTCATCACTTAATCGACCCAAATTTGGACAAATTGCCTTTGTACTGAAACGAATCATTGAGTCTGATGATTGAAGATGCAGCTGGTTTTTAATTGAGCATGGAATCCCAACTTCATGGTTTCTAGGACCCCTGTGTAACCTCTGGGTCCTACTCAGCAGCCTTGAGTCGCCTTATGGTTAATCCTACTCTGCATCAGGTTACGCCGGTAACACCCAGCACATCCGGCATTGGCATCCCCCCACCATCTTTAAACTTCACTAGATGCAAGTTCACCAACTACAACTGAAACTATACATACCAGCAATCAGAATAACCTGATCAATTACATTGTAAAACATTTTTACAATGTGACACATCGGAGTTGGCCATAATGAAAATATATTTCATAAAAACACATGACTAATTGACAAAATATGCATATTTCACGGAAGATGGGCTATTGTTTACTTGATATGTTTTTTTTATAGTTTGAAGAAAACCATTCATCCTGGTTTGTAAAAAATTATTGATTCTAAACATTTTTAAGGTTAATTTCAAGGTCAAATTTAGATACGAGATGTACAATGTCCACCATATTTTGTCCTTTCATAGCAAACACTAGAAAAGGGGTATGTATGTCTATATATGGAATTGCAAATTTTAGACCTGAAGAGGTTAAATGAAAACATCACTTATGTGATGCATATCGATAACCGTCTTTGGAACAGGGAGATAACAAGAAATAGAACCACAAGTACAGTGGCATTCACACAACCCATGGGGCCCCGGTGCGAAAAGTGATCCATGGACCCCTGCGACCGTGGTATGTACGCCAGTGCATGCAGATACGCATACACTTAAAGGACCACTACAGACACCCAGATCACATCAGCTCAATGAAGTGGTCTGGGTGCCAGGTCCCTCTAGTTTTAACCCTGCAGCTTAAAACATAGCAGTTTCAGAGAAACTGCTATGTTTCACTGAGGGTTAATCCAGCCTCTAGTGGCTGTCTCATTACATCCCCCAGCCTCCCTACCTTTGGGAGAGCTGAGGGGATTCCCTGGGGTCCAGTGGTGTCGCCCATGGGCAGGATGGCGGGCACGCAAGGGAGCACTCTCCCGAGTGCTTCCTGTTCAGCTTCCTCGCGTGTCGCGTACTGATACTGGAGCCGGAAGATGACGCGACCCCAGTATGTACGCCACTGCACACGTATGAATATGTCACAGGCACCTCGCTTCTCCAATCCTGTTGTCCATGGCCCTTCTGTACAATCTGAACCTGAACCTATGCAGTTAGGAGTTTTGAGACTGTCGGAGGCAGAGAAAAAGTTTAGGAGAAAAGAAGGCCTCTGCCTATACTGTGGCAAGAAAGTACACATAAGAAATGCCTCTCCCATTCGTCCGGAAAACGTACGCACCTAAGAACCATTAGGGGACCGGCCTTAGGTGTGATGTATATGTCCCCTGGTACCACCCAAAGTAGATTTCTCCTTAGTATTGTTGATCAATGTAATAAGATAAGTTTTACGTGTAACACCTTGATTGACTCAGACTCTGCAGAAAACTTTATCGATATGCAATTTAACAGTAAACACCTCATACCCATCAAGGAGAGATCATCAACCCTGGCCATCGATGCCATTGATGGGAGACCACTCTCTCAGCCTTTAATTACCCACGAAACACTGTCACGATAGGAGTGTTACACAAAGAACTCATCACATTTCAAATAATTGCTTCCCCTTTATACTTGGATTCCCATGGCTTGTTAAGCATAACCCTGTGTTGATTGGGCTAAAGGGGAAATGCTGGAATGGGGTACAGAACGTAGAGAGATGTATGTTACTTATTACTAAAAAGAGTGGGTATCCTTAATCTATCTACTCCTAAGCCTCCGTCTACTGAAATTCCTGTGCATTATAGGGAGATTAAAGAAGTGTTTAATAAAAGTCACACTGATACGCTACCCCCTCACAGATCCTATGATTGCTCCATAGATTTGTTTCCTGGCACTATAGCCCCTGAAATCACCACAGGAAAGTAGAGTTATGGAAGAAAACATTAAAGAGTCTCTACAAAAAGGCTCTACAAAAAGGCCACATATGTAAATCTTCTTCTCCTGCAGGTGCAGGGTTCTTTTTTGTTACCAAGAAAGGGGGAGAGTCCCCATTCCCATTCCCCTTATCTCAGAATTTGTTGACAGACTACAGGGCACTAAGGTGTTTACCAAACAAAAAGTGCTTTTAATTTGGTAAGGATTAAGGAGGGACATGAATGGAGAACTGCATTTAACACGAGAAATGGTCACTGTGAGTATCTTGAGTTTCAGAAAGCGGGAGGACATCCAGTCAGAGATGGAAGAAAGGCAAGCAGTGACACTTTGCAGAACTGCAGGGGAGAGGTCCGGGGAGGAGAGAGATATCTGGGTGTCATCAGCGTACAGGTGGTAGGGGAATCCAAAAGAGGTAATAAGTTTGCCGAGAGAGGCAGTACAAAGAGAAAATAGAAGGGAACCAAGTACAGAGCCTTGGGGGACTCCAACAGAGACAGGATGAGGGGAGGAGGTATAATTTGAAAAGGAGACACTGAATGAGCATTGGGAAAGATAAGAGGAAAACCACGAGAGGACAGAGTCACAGAGACCGAGTTGTCTGTAACAGGTATGTCACCCCTTCTGTCCCTCCTCCTCCTTTGGTTGTCTCTGAACAGAAGGCGGACGAAGTCTCCTCTATAATCGACTCCAGGTTTTCTCGAGGGTCTCTGCAGTATTTGGTTGATTGGAAGGGTTATGGGCCTGCCGATCGTTTTGGGGTTTCTGCTTCAGGCGTACATGCAGGCCGCAAAATCTGTTCCTTCCATTCCAGGTTTCCCCTCAAGCCTGGTCCTGCCCACCCGGTGGGTGTTCTTCAAGTGGGGGGTACTGTCACTTCTCCCGGCTCTTCTGACAGAGATAATTCATACTTACCTTGGTCACTGCAAACCTCTGCCCGATCTCCCTCTGTTCCGGTCCCCAGCAAGTACGACGTTCTTAGGAAAGCTGGCCGCTGCTTTCCTAAGAATGTTGTACTTTTTATAATGAACTCACTTTTGCCCACATATAAAAAGGGCGCCAATGTGCGTGCAACGTCACCTCACAGATGCGCGCACATGTTTTGGGGGGAGATGCCAGTGACAGCCAATTACGGCTTAAAGAGGGTTATTTAAACCCAAATTAAATTTTTGTCAGTGCCCTGTCGTGGTTTCCACCAGCTGGTTATCCAAGAGTGTGTTCCTGATCGTGTTTTTTCTGGTATTTGACTTTGGCTTTGTTTTGATTTCCTTGATTTCTGGTAACATTGACTTCTGGCTTTTCTCATCGCTTTGTCTCGGTCTGTGTCCCTTACCTCGGGAAGTATTTTGACTATTCTTATGTCTGTTAAGTCCGGCCATCCTAAGGTTTGGTTAGATGTTATCCTTAGTCCTAGGTGTGATGCTATTCTGCGTGCTTGATCAACTATAATCCTGACAATTTACTCTTGACAACAGGTGCATACATGTTATTATACAGTCGTTGGTTAAGTAAGACTGTCACATTCTTGACACCATCTTGGTTCTGTTCCCTGGTATCTCTGGATGTGGTCCACCAGGGTTTAAACCCAAGATGGTCCTAAGCAAGCATAGTACAAATGCATTAATAGACTCGCTAATGCAAACTGCACTCAATGCATTCAGTTCATGATCATAGAACTATACCAATGCCCTGCATGTGTACAACCCTGAGAGAAGTTGACCAGTGTAATGGTTAGTTAGCTTGGCCTGTATTTACATCAGACTAACACACTACATCACTGCAACTCCATGTATAAAGCTGCTTCACTTCCACTGTTGCTAGGT